GTACATTCGATACTCTGTAAGTACTCGATGTTTTTAAAGGGGGGGGGGTAGGGAATTAATTGAAAAGTAGAAAATTGTAATACTTAGGTATACTTACAGAAAAATAAATTCCACGAGACGTCTTTTTCCAAATCGAAAACTGTTGGATGTTGCCTGTCGCAAGTAGAGCAAAATCCAGTGTTGCCAACTAGGATGAAGTCAAATTGCCAAAAATTCCCAAGATATGTTACAATATCCCTAAATATATATGTATATATTTTGTTTGTAGGTTTTGTGCAGTAGCACAAAATATAATATATAATTAAGTATAATTATATATTATTCTGTCGTTACCTTTAAATCTGAATAGTCTACGACACACACGTGTGATTATATTATTTGTATTATGCCGTTTGTCGGAGTCCTATTGATAACAGTTATCTATAGCAAACATAACAAAAGATAGATTTTACAACGGAGTAAATATTAATTACAAATATTTTAGGATGATATCCGTAGGAAATGACTTAAAACATCTATATCCTTAGGCAAAATTCAAATTCCCTAAAATATATAAGAATAAATCTCCCAGCTCTTGTCAGTCCGGTCGTGTTAAGACATTTTCCCGTTGTAGGTAGGTATAATATATTATTAATATTTTTTTAATATACTATGACTTTAAATTATCACCATTCACACAAGGTCGGCCGTGTATGTACTTTTTTCGCATTATAATGGCCGACACCTCGAGCAAAATAATGTTTTCAATATTATTTCACAGGTAAAGCGCGGTTGGTAAGTGGTATATATATATATGATATTGCAAAGTGAACGGTAACAGTTGGTTAACCAACAAGTGACCGGACGACTTTTCACATTTGCAACGCGGTAAAAGTTCAACGGCGAGGCATTATGTTTTTTTGACCGGAGAACGTTCACTGGAAATTATTATAGGTAGGTGCCCGTCAAACGTCAAACGGTCCAGGGACAAATTATTATTATTATTATTCGCTTTCAATGTATCCGTTATAACTTTATGAGTCTTTTTTTGCTAATTACTATTTAATGACCATGACGAAAAATTCACTTTAATATATTACACGGCATGTCGTCGGTTTCGTCAGTCAGACTTTGAAAAATCCCAAACGCTGTGAGTATTACATATATTGTTGCCTAACTAATATGTTATAGGTAAAGCTCGGATGGTTATGACTTTTCATATTTTATTTTTAGTGAAATCAGAGTTACACTAAAATACGATATAAATTCGATTCTTAAAGACTAGTTTTCAAATCAGCAACTTATATTGAGAAAATTATACACAATATGAGAAAAGTAATAAACAAAAATTCTGGTCGTATAAAATATTGCTTAAATTTCTAAAATAATCACCATTGCACCAAATTTGAAAACATTACCAAAATAATTTTTGTAATTCAATGTTATCCATTTTAAATAATTAACCTTTGTAAAATGTTTTTTTATATTATGTTCAAGTCAGCTATTTGAAAACTGGGCTAAATTTTTTTAGTAGAACTCGATAAAGGCATATTAATGCATATTTTTATACTTAGAAATACATATTTTAACACATTTATGGTCATTAACATCCGAGCTGTAGTTATAAGTGTCGCAAGAAATGTTTTTATACCAATAAGTGATTAAAAAATGAACTGTCAAAAAATGTTTAAATATTAAAATATATCTCAGTAATTTACATTATGTTATATAATTCATATTAAGGCCACCCCATTCGTTACCACTTAAATATTAAATATGTAAATTTATATATTTTTAATTTTTTTCAGTTAATTTGTTGTATATTTACAATTGCTTATAACACCATTAGAAAATACCATTTGGCGAATATTTAAAAAAAAATACATAATTTCAGGAGTGCCACAAGGCGATCAACTCTCTCCATTATTATTCAAGTTATTTATTGATGATATTGTTTTTTTTTTCCATTAAATATTCTAATATTATTTTGGTAGCTGAAGATGCAAAAATAGATGCTGAACTTGTACATGAACAATTTAAATAGTTTATACTATTGGTGTATATAAAAATATGGTATAGTTACATTAATATAAATAAATGTCAAAGCATCTCATTTTATAAAAAGCTCAATTTTATTTCCTTTGATTATACTTTATCCAAATTAAAAATCAACTTTTATTTGATCTCCATGTATTACACAATTAAAAAAAAAACTCCCTTGATTATCTTAATCCTTTCGCATTAAAATGTCGTTTCTCTTCTATTATTCGCTCCCAGCTGGAATATGCTTCAATTATTATAAATGGGAAACATACACCACGTAGAGCACTATAAGTAATCAAATTGAAAAACATCAAAATAATTTTCTTCGTTTTAAATGCAATTTATATAGACACTCTGACTAAGGAGGTATTATTAATTATTTAAATTTAAGACCTTCAAATAGGAAGAAACTTTCACCATATGAGATTTCTATTAAAATTACTTAGTAATAATATTTTATATTGGTCACTCCTCCCTTACTATCCAACATATTTTCCTTTAAAATAAATAACCATGATATCAGGAGCAAAGACTTTATTTTATATTTCTCATTATTCCCAAAACTATATTGCATGTATATGCTGTAGAATTTTTTAAACGATAAATGTATACATACCTAGTGTATATATTCTTATTTTTATTATATCAATTTAATAGTTATAATAGTTATAGTTGTAATCTTATAATAATTGTGTATAGAAAAATATGTTTGTTATAATATAGCAAACATATTTTTTTTTATCTCTATATTGTATCTATTTGATATCTGTTATTCGCATTGTAAATTAGACTAACTGTCTGTTGTTTAAACAAAAACAACAAAATTTAAGAACGAGTCTAGGTAAACGTGTCCAGAAGAAACCACGTCCAAGTACGAAAATGCTCAAATTTATTCTAAGTTTTTAGTTAATACATAAATATTAATAACACCATTAAAAACATTGCTCCAATTTTTCCCTTGCAATCTTTCCAGTATTTACATTTCAATCATATTTCATAAACATGTCTTTGCGATCAGCTGATTTGTTTGTCTCCTATAGGTTATCCAGGAATTATTGATTTTCCCTTATGTGAGAAATGCTTTTGGGAGAGGGGGGAACGGTGAGGGATGAAATAGGGATAAGTGTAGGAGTGGGGATGGTATGACGGTTAAGGGGAAATCAATACTTTCTGGATAACCTATAGGAGACAAACAAATCAGCAGATCAGACCCGCCCATTACACATAATACCTATTCATGGTGGAATTAAAAATATTCAAGTGACAAAATATATTTTATATTTTTACAATTACCACAAGGAGTAACGCCAAAAGTTACATAAATGTTTTTCAGTAATAGTCATTACTATTTATTTACTACCTCATTTATTTAGGTTGTAATATTATAAAAGTATTTATATTTGCTAGATAACAATGCAGAAAATGCTGAATTATTATTCCTGGTATACTTAATTAATATACATTCCGTTAGCCAGCATATCATGTTATATTGATTTAAACACTGTCAAAATGTATTTTTTGACAAACCAAAGCTAAAAAATCAAGCTTAATGCATTAAATGAAATATTTAACCTAATGTATAATAATAATTATAGGTATTCGTTTGGCAAAATTAGTTTTGGGCATCAAAATAATATTATGTACATTGCGAAAACGTTATCGTTGAATATTTTTTGTTAAGCAACATTTAACACGACGAAAGTATTAAATTAAAAAAAAAAAAAAAAATCTAGCACATTGGTGACTGAGCATAGTGTGGGCACAGGTGGCTTTAACTTTTATGACCCAGAGTAATAAAATAACTGCTAAAAATATTATGTGCTTCCATGCGAGTTGGTAGATGATAAAAAATAAGTAAGTGTCAATAAAAAAAAAACTGTTGTACAAGCAAAATAGCGTTTATAGTCGCGTTATCAGATTTTTAAAATTTTTCTCTCAATAAAACAACATTTGCTTATAGATTTTTCACCTAACCTACGTTGAGTCTAATATTCTTAAGACCTTTAGCACAGTAAAGAAAATATTTTAATTTTTCCACCGTTATTTAACTGGTTAACAAACATAGTGAATCATACTTGTGTTTATTACACTCAAATAAATTGACAAATCGTTATTATTAGTAAAGGAAAATATAAATTATATTGGAACCAACTATTACAACTAAGTAATTATGTTTAATAAATTGTGTCTCGGTAAAAATTGATCTTTATTGCCATTGAAATACTCTATACAATAATATTCTTTTAAGTACATTAGGTAAAAGTACCGAATACGGTCACACAATAATTGAGTCATGCGAATAACGAAAGACATAATATTTAAAAAACATACTTTTACGAATAGGCGATAATATTTTTTATGATTTACCAATTGTTTTATTTCGATTGAACAAAATATATATTGTTATTGCACAATTATTATAACGATATAACTTCCAGTCACATATTGTACGAACGGAACAATTAGATTTTACGATGGCGTTAAAAAGTAAAATAAAAACTCCACCGGCTGTTAATTAATAAATAGGTACGTATAATAAATAGTAATAATAAATATAATATATGTACACGCTTATAATCAATTATAAAAAAAAAAAAATATATATGTATATTAAGTGTAAAGATAATATTGGATACATGGCACGGCCATAATTGCCGTGTATAAATAATAAATTAATTATTTAGCAAGTATAAAAACAAGGATGACAATGATAATAGTAATAGTAATAGTAATTGTGTGAAATATTATTTATTATGAATACATGTTGAGAACTTCATAAAAAAAAAAATTCCCTGATATTAGCTTTTGCCCAATAAAAAAAAAAATTATAATAATAATAATAATAATAAGGTAATAAAAGTAATTGTGTAAACGATATTATTTTCAATTGTAAGTACCATTTTTTCTTTTTCTTTTAACAATGTAAGTACTACTTCTCAACCACCGCACGAACAGTACGATTAATTTTATAGGAATTCTTTTTTTTTTTTTTTTTTACAATTTTATTGTCGTAAAAAACGATGATTAAAAAAAAAAAAATTCAAACCCGCGGTTTGCCGTTTTAAAATTAATATTATAATTAATAATATGTTTTATTGTCGATAAATTTTATCTTCACGCATTTTGATTGCCGAAAGGCAATCGATATTTTGTTATTCGGACGGAGATAACGCAGACGCCGCACAGATTGTACTGCGGGTGTCTTTAAATAAATACAATTTGGTAATGGCAATGTTACGACGACGACGATGAAGAATTCATTGTGGTGTTTGGCGACGACTCTTCATCCTGTCCACAGTAGAAAACATAATAATGTAAACAGCCGAGGGAATCGATTAGATTTGATTTTTTTTATAAAAAAATTGTATTTTTACCTTGCGCCTCTGCTGCAATTCACTATTGGCTCGGTCCAATTGCTGTTGCAGTTCCAATATCTGATCGCACCACCGTGATTCTTCGTTCTCCACGTGTTTGTGCAGTTGGCTAAGCATAGTTTCCTGATAATGAACCAACAATAATAAAACATAACTTTATAACACTTTATTCAACCAAACTGTTTGTCATAAAAAAATTTGAAAAAAAAAGGAAATTTGTGTTTACCGTGTCGGAAATTATACTTTTGTAATGCGTGACCATTCGGTGTAATTTGTCATTCTGACGTTCCAAACTCAACACGATCTCTTGCCTGTTTTGTTGGTCCAATGCGTGCTGTTGGTTCGTAACGGGACTACTGTTTTTTTGGCTACGTTGCAGCTGTTTCTCGTAGTGCCTGCGAACTTTGTTGGCTAGCGTTCGCGACCACTTTTCGTCGCTAACATCGTCATCGGCCAAATGTTCTTTGTCGGAAGATTCGTCCGAATCGGATTCTTGTGGTAGCAACTGGCGGCGCAACAACTGACGGGCACGCTTGACGTTGGCCTTGGAATTGTCGCGGCGTTTCTCATCTTGTTCCTGCATAAAATATTACAACAATTTATTTAAAAATATTTAACTTGAGTGACATTGAACTCTTTGAAAGTAAAAAGAATTCTCACAGATTTAATTCTTGCTTCGAGAGCCCGCTCCGTTTGTTTCAACGCCTCGAGGACTTTGAAGTTCTTTGTTCTTAATTCCTATTTTATATTCACAATTGTTAGTTTTAACAGGACAAAAAAATATATACATATACATATATATATATATATATATATATATATATATATATATTTGTTACAAAAAGATATACCTTATTCTTTTCCTCGTGTGTCCGCTTCTCGGATTTTATTGATTCGATTTCTGTGCGATATTTTTGTTCGGTATTAGCCGCGTTTGTAGTCAACTCGTGTAGTTTGTTTGTCAATTCTTTCAACTGTTTTTCTTTGTCGTCTACTTCGCCTTGCCTGAAAATTATAACATAAAAATGTATATCAATAACCATCAATGTTGTGTATAATAGTAAAAACAATTATTACAAATCGTCACAGCGCCGTTTGAGCTCGGCGTTGTCCTTTTTGATGGCTTCGGACTCTGCCGAGTCTACAATAACTGCACCGCTGGACGCATCCACTACATCAGGTTCTCCGGGTACGTATTCTCGTCCTTCAACCGCTGGTCTTTCAATTACCGCATCCGCTGTATTTTCATTTTCCAATGTAGAGGCTGTGTTAGGAATTACTTTGTTGGATTCAATTTTAGCAGCTAACTGCTCTTGTAACTAAAAAAAAAATTGAATTAATATACATTTTTTAATGGCTATCAACATAAAAATCGTGGTCTGTTAATATTATTCTTAGGGAAATTACACAAAAGGTTTAACAATTACTTTATTCTTGTAAAAATATTCTTTTGTTTTTTTAACTTTAAATTCTAGACCTTAAAATTATTTATAATACCTCTTTTATTTCCGAACGTAATTGTACGATTGTCGATTCCTTTTCAGCCATTTGATCCAAGTTTTGTTGCTGTTGCTGAGCTAATGTTGTTCTCAATGCTTCTAATTGCGATTCTAAACTTGCAGTGTTCTGTGAAAGTAATAATTATTATTATGAAAAGAATTCTGAATTTCTAAGATATATTTTTATGCTATATTATAATTAATTGTTGTTAATTTTACAACTAGCACATACGTTTTTATACTTGGACAACTCGGCGACGGCAGCCGACCTTTCTCTTACTTCTTGATTTCTAAGAGCTTGCATTTCGGCTAACTTATTTTCAAAATGCTTAGCACGCGTTATTTGAGTATTCAATTCGGTTCGATGGTCACGAGCTTTTCCGTGAGCTCCGGCCAATTGTTCTTCCAAGTGTTTCAGTTGAATTTCAGTTTCTTGCAATCTCTTTTTTAATTTCTTTTCCGCAGAATCGCTAGGCTATAAAATAAAAAGACATTTTTTGTTTTATTTTTTTTACAATTTCATCAAAATGGTGTGTAAATTGACTAACGTATTTTTGTCAAATATTATTTACCTTAACCCATTCAGTAGTTGTGCCGTTTGAATTATTGTTCAGCGATTGTTGTTTGTTCAGTAACGTATCCAATATGTATTGTGTTTGATCGCGAGATAGGTCACATTTTTCAATTAACTTTGTAATCATACGACTGCCATCGTCAACATCAAAGTTGTCAAAATCAAAATCTCGTAGTTTAGAAGACGGTTTATTGTTCTGTTTAGTTTGTGGTCGGATGTCATTATTTTTGTTCTTTTTGGCGTTTATTTCAGATGGTTTAATTTTTTTTTCTGCGGCGTTTGGAGAAGTCTTCATTGCGTGATTTTGTTTTGGAACCACCACTTCCGCCGGCGTAGCGATATTACTATTGTTAGTACTATTACTAACAACAGAATTGTTAGGAATAGTATTAACAGGTTTGGCAAGTACTTTTGGCGGTTCTTCAACAACTAGAGTTTCTTTTACGGGTTTCAAAGGTTTCGAAGGCTTTGCCACTGGTCGCTCGTCGACTTCTTCGGGTAGTTTTTCTTGAATCGGCTCTACTGTTGGCTTTGAGATTTTGGATTTTTCATTATTGATTTTCGGTTTCAATTTTCGCTGAATTATAAAAAAAAAAAAAAAAACCTATTAATATATAGTCAACAGCCAATGTATAAAAATTTGGCAAACTTACGTCTGTTTTTTGGACGATTCCTCGTTTGGATTCCGGCACCAAAGTGGCGGACTTCTTGACCGTCGTCGACGTTAGCCTGTTGCCCGTACGCGAAACGCGTTTAGAGGCCACTGCGGTGGCGGAGCTTTGCTTGGCCGATTTACTCGATTTTGTCGACAATCGGCGGGAAGAAGACGTGGTGTGGAAGGCATACTTCATGAGATAGAAAAAAGCAAAGCTGAACACACTGGTGATGACCAGGGCAAAACCCACGGCGGCCGCACTCATTTTATCGACAAGTACGCTAAACGAAAAACGGTCGGTCGGTCGGCTCGATTCAGCTGGACATAGTACTCGGCGGCAACGACTGCAAGCTTGGGACGGACTGTTTGAATATTATTACCTTACCGGAAAGGTAGGCAGGTAAACTCCCTTCGCGGTGGTAGTAGTAGTAGTAGTAGGCGGTGGTCGACACCGAAAATGTTGAAAAAATCACTTAAAAAAACATATTTTAAACGTATAAGCTGGGCAACACTACCATTCGCAAGTGCAACGCGCCGAAGAGAGAGTTCAGACGGCGAATAATCTGTTCCGGCGCAGGTTGAGCGTTCGTTAAGACTTGGCGTTGTACCGTCTTGGCAGTCTCGCCGAGATGTGCGTGTGTGTCGGTGTTGGTCAGCTGATGACGTGTCGCAACAACGTTATCAGCTGCACTCGACCGTGGCTACCGATAAGCGGTTCGCTTGGAGGTAAACACGGGTGTAGCTGCGGCAGCTCCTGGACAACGCTCACCGCAAAGCAAAAGTCGAGTATTGTAATAGTACCGAATATGATATAAAATACCTACCCCGTTAGTAATGTGACAGAACCGGAGAAGCGCCGTTTCGGATAAATTACAAAAAAAAAATTTTAATATTCAAGTCCTGACGGGGCCCCCGTTCGGAGGTAACCGCGTTATAGTAACCGCTAAACGACCGCAACGGTTACCACGGATTTTTATCGAACGCGACAGACGCCAATCGCGATTCTTTGACAATTTGAATATTCACCAAACGGCTTGCATTCCGCAATAATAACAAACCGGCGGACGATAGACTTTTGTCAATTGATTTTTTTCTTTTCTCTCTAAATCATAAACTTAAAACTACCGTCGATTCGACATTAACACAACACGAGACGGACAGCATAAGTGTTTCAATGTGTATTTTATCTTACCACTGTACATAATAATCATGTAGTACCACGAATTGTTCACAATACATCCAAGTTGGAGTGCATCAAGAAGAAACAGCCTGCGTTTGATTAAAGTAATTTTGTAACTTACCTAAGTAATTTGCTTACGTGCGGCTAGGATTGCCAGTTTCAAGTGCGCACCCATCTGCCGATAGGAGACGATTTGATCGTTTCACAGAGGCTGTTAATCCCGGATTACGTATTCCCTAGAAGCAGTGGGGAGCCCTTGGCATTATCCCGTAAAGCACCTGTATTCCAATCTAGTTTCCTAGACTCGCTAGACTCCGGAAACCTATATTTTCAGTTTGTTGATGCGATAAAGATTCATAAAGTAAACTTTACGACGAGATAGGCCCTTTTAGTATTTTTAATTTTAATGCTTTCCAAATACACGAGCCACGGATGTGGCTTGTTTGACACAAGTGTCAAACCGGTGACAGAAAATATTACACACTGTTATACCGCCTTTTCCACTCGGCCTCTTAAATTATAGATAAGCCAATATATTACAATTGAAACAAAAAAACTTGTACAGAAAACAGTTAGCAGACAGATCCACCTTGTCAATATTAAAAAAAAATGTTTTATACAAACAAAATACATATAATTTATACCTAGTTAATTATTAATAACTGAAAATCTGAAAACAATGTAACTTAGTAGTAATTTTGTATAATATAATAATACAATTTATAGAAATATAAAAAAAAAGAAATACAACAAAGTAACTTGCTTCTGATTGCGCACTTCTAGACCTATATAATGCTTGTCCACTTTGGAAACAATAACAAATTGTCATTATATTAATTTTCTTGTAGTGTTGGAAGCCGGGAGTCCGAGAAAATGGCATAGCCCACATAAGCAGGCTGTGTGACAAATCCAAAACATATACACTGTTATTTACATTCTGATTGTCTCATACAACATATTATCCGGCTGAAGCGGATCTTCGTCAGTACATTGTTGAATTTCGCGAGGTCGACAAATGACTGCACTTACAACAGTCGAGATGGAAAATCAATTTTAAAGTATGTAATGTATATTTTCTTATTATAATTTATAAATTTATACCCAAATTACTTAGTACATCAGAATAAACAACTAGATAATTAATTTATCCGCTAACATAAAATTAAATTAGGTTTTTGAGTAAGTTTTAAAATACTATATTGGATGTAATTAATCTAATATTTAAACGAGACAATTGTCCAGTAAAACGGATATTAATTATTGTAATTTTATATTGCGGTAATATATGAACTTGTAACCACAATTGTTATTAGTCCTTTTCTACAAAATGTCATATGATAAAAAAATTAAAAAACCTCCAAAATAACTTCTTTTTAAGAGGCAAAAAATTCTAGACGGATCATTTATCCATGTGATCACGCCATTCGGATCAAGAAAAATAAATTAAATATTTATACAATAGTAAGAGAGATAACGTTAACCACCGTTAAATTCGCCCAAACAAAACTCCCCAAAAAACAAAATCAATACAAAATTTGATTTTAAAGATTTAATTTAATTTTTCAAAATGGTTACTAACCAGTTAGTCAAAAAATGAATTGTAAATTTAATAAATAGTATATCACAGCCACCATCCCCTGTTATTTTTAACTGATTGTATTTTTTTTTTTTTAATGTGTGATTTTATTTTGGATTTACAGTTTGAACATGAAAATTAAGAAAAAAATCCGTTCAACTGGTGATGCAACCGGTGCTTACAAGAAATGGAAACACTAAGGTGGACGTCGTAAAAACTTCATGCTAGGCACTATAGTCACCACTTCAGACGTTTTGTTAAATCATACCTTGCACAACAGCTAACCCACCAACAATCATTACTCCGACAATTAGATATTGCCACAGCAACCGATTATAACACATTGAACACTGAATACCAACTTAACTGAACACTAACATGCTAAAAACCTAAAAGCATCCAAACGCAACAATGGGAATTGTCACATAATTCTTAACTCCTTCCTCAACAAAATACCAATATGCTCAGCGATACTGGGACCCGCAGACAACAACGGTGATTTATTAAACTTAACGGACGGTCACTAACTCATTTGTACCAAACGACATACGACTCGGAAGCTCATGACCCAACTTTTGACGCAGCTTTAACAGTGTGCATATTCAATCACTTGTTTTACGCACCGGACTTGACAAAATAGAATCTTACCTCGATACATATAAATAAAAGGAAGTTATAATGGAAAAAATAAGGGCTGTGTTTTTGGTGAAGTAGAATTTTAGTATATATTTTTGTTATTAAAATAAATAAATAATGTTTTAAGTTTAAGGGGAAATATAGTATTAAGAAAACACGGGGTTAACTTTTATTATAAATTTGTTAAATTAATAAACTATTTAACATAACCAACGTGGTGTCGACTACATTAATTACGATATCCTATTACCGTAGGTTATATTATTACAATGCAAGTGTAGGTGGACGGTTAGAGACAGCTTGCTAACAACTCTAAACCAAGGTAAGACTAACTCGAGAAACTGTGGCCACTGGAACTAACCGGGGTAAAAAAAAAACAAACAAACATTAAAGGCTAATACTCACTTCCTACAACGAAAAGAAAAAAAAATTCGATTTCCTTTTTATTTTCTACTTTGAAAACAAATAGAGAATACATTAAAATACAAAATTATGATACAGACTGTATATTAAAAATATAGACAATAAACGTAAAATACAACAAAGAAACAAACATTGAATGTTATATTTTAAACAATCCTAGAGTATTTAGCAAACAGGGAAGTTGGACAACTTTCAAAAATCTTACTTCTTCGTCATCGACCTGGAATTTCATGAACCTAAACCCTGAAAAAAGAGTACTCGTCTCTGGAGCAGAGTTGGAAGTAATTAAGTACATTTGTACTTAAGTACTTAAGTAAAAGTATGAAAGTTCCACTTCTGGAACATCAGTAAAAGGTCGGGAAAGCAAATGCAGTGAGTTAAGAGACTCGAGTACTTCAAAAGTAATTGCAAGTACAATTACATGTACTTGTAGTTCCACTTCTAGCGAGAACACGTATAAGTACAAATACTTTGAATAGGAATATAAAAGTAAAAAAATAACGAGTACAAATATTGTAAATATCCAATAGATTTAAATTAATTATAAATTATTCCTATAGTAAGAATATATAAGTTAACACATTAATTTAATTAATTCAATTGTACCCATATAAATAAAGTTAACAAAAAGAACAAAATTGCTTAATAAATAAACACTTACTAGACCATTAAGTCTAGTTCTAAAAAATTATAACACAATTATAAATAAACAAATTAAAAATTAGAAACAATATTTAGTTAGAGTGAAAGTTTATAAGTAGAATACATTTTTTTTTCAGTGTAGTTATTTTCAATCAAAATTTGTGTTGTGCTAAATTATTGGTTTACTACATTAAGCGTAAAGTTTTAATTGTTAGATAGGTAATTAGATACGTGTCCTTTAAATAATAGTAATAAAATAATTAATAGTCATTAAGCTGTCCTATAAAGTAGTAAATATATTGATAAGTGTAATGCGAACACTTAAATTAAATAATAGTAGGTAAAATATTAGTAATTAAGCAACGGCAACTATTAATTATTTATAGACACTATTTGTATATGATGCTATGTGTTCTGATACGAACCTGGGTCACACACAAAATATACATAACTGAGAAAATCGATAATTAGATATCTGATATGACATCCTTACATACATTACCTAAAAATCTTAAGGACAATACTCAAATAATAATTCCTATGCAGTTGATAGAATTAATCAAAGCTTGACCAGTTTAGCTAAACAAATTATGAAGTAGGCATTGCTGTTACCCAACAATTTCTATTATTAAATGCTTTAACCGATCAATACGATTCTGATAAAAACCTGTTGTCTGATTTAGTACATACCGCACAGGTAGGACAAATTCATTTAAGTATTTTAACACCAAACTATTGTTTTTGTAATTGATACACCGATTGTAAACCAAATTGAACTAAATTTATAAATAATCTAATGACTAAGACCTTTGACCAAGACATGTTACAAATGATAAATATATTTTCATTGAATCCCATTATGACTATATTGCTGTTAGCAAAAGTAAAGACTATTATACAACTTTTAGCAACCTACAGATATTACAGTGTAAACGTACTAAAAACTTTATCTTATGCCCACAATACCTCAATCGTTACACCCTAAATCAATGTAACCAATTTGTGAAAATGAATTGTTTTTTCAACCCCTTAAATTACCTCTTGATTGTAAGATTAAATATTTTGAATCAGACACAATATTTTCAATTCTTGGTTATACACTATCAAGGAAGAAAATATTTTATTGACTTGTAACGATAACATTGAAACTAGTTATCCACGGGGCAGGTTTAATAAACGTACCTACCCATTATTTGTAAAGCATATTCCAGCCAGGATGTGTTGATTCTCAATATAATGAGAATAGCAATTATTTTGTAGCACAAATTAACACTAATAATACTAATTATACGGATAAGTTAAATATTGTAAATGTAAACAAACTCTTGTAAACCGACCATGTATTAACTAACAATAACTAAACGATGTAAAAGGTATTTCCGAATCATTGTTAAATATATCTGATAAACTAAATCAGAATGATTTTCAAGACAATGTAATGACTAATACTCGAAGACATGTTTACAATGATATGTTGATGTATACTATTTGTACAATAATTATACTTTGTTGTATATATTTTACTAACTTTCATCTCTAAAATCCTAAAATTGCGCCTAAAAAATTTAAGATCATGTATACATTAAGGCATGCATATTTAATGTTCTATAAACATTTCAAATTGATCCGACCGTTTGTCACCAAGTTATAGGCTATAGCAAGTTATGCTTATTATTATGTAGGAAGAGTAACTTATAAAAACCTACTCTTCTTTTCAGACCCAGTGGGTTGTTTTAACTATTTATACTTTTTGACGATACTAGATAAAACTTTGTTTTTAATTACTAATTGCCAGCATTAATGAAAATTAGATTTTTAGATTTCGGGCAGTATGATCAAATTAAGGCGAAATCTTTGACAATAGAATTTTTACGCTGGACTACCAGCTTTAAGGTTAAAGAAGACTGTAGTCAATTTATTACGTTTCTTAGCTATTACTAACGAACAATACACTTGCATAGAGTAAAACTTATTTTGTCATTTTCAATTTAATACTATCCAAAAATCAAAAGTATATTGTTTTTTTTTACCTCTATTTTAACGGTATGTAATTCATAAACCATCTGATAATTTTTAACCCAAAAAGTATGAAATTTGCACTAAATACAAATCCATCCTATTGCGATTGGCTCATTCAATTATACAGAGACATTGTTTTCGCAGTGGTTACCGAGGAAATATTATAAACACCTAAAATACTAATTATTCCAATAGGTATGTAATTTTTTTTTTTTACTGTTTTTAACAGACACAAATATGGTCGTTTATGATGAAAACGTCACATATTAGTCGTCTGTCGCTGATCTAAAACCCAAGTTGGAATTAACACCGAAGAAAAAAAGGTAAACGTTAATTTTAATAAAGTTAAGAAGTTAGACCTGACCCGTATAAATCCGTTCTTAAAATATAATACGATAGTATTTCAAGTATATCTAAGTATTTTGTCTTTTGCTTGTTCTTTGACTGTTTCAGCGGCCCAAATGATGAGGGAAGAAACGCTGTCATGGATATTTTTCAACATATTTATTCCACCGTTTCTTTTCATCGGTCAGTAATCGTTTTCGGTGCATTCGCAAAATGAATAAAATCTAAAACTCCCAAGTTAATCGCGTTTCTTGTAAACATACAGGTGTGATTTTTAACCCTAGCGTGACGACATCTCTATACTTGATTTTTCTGTTGGGCTACCCGGTGTTTCAAGTATCCCAGTCGCAGATTATGAACGGTACGATGATAATATATTATTACATTTCAATATTATTATTTGCAACACTGGGCTGAAACAATAATGTTTACTTAATTTTGTGGTGGTCCAAATTTTAATTTTTCTATATTTTTAACTGGTATTCCTCAATTCTATTACTACCTATATTAAAAACTTGAATTGAACGATGTTGGCCTTCAAAACACCAACAGGCAACAGTGCATCGATCGATACTCATTAGCGCTATAGTTCTGTATTAGGTAAATAAGAACACAATTAAAATCGGTTGTTTAAATTAGAAATTTGTTAAATACAATTTTGTTAGGACTAATATACGTTGAAAATAAAAAATATTTCACCAGTAGGCTGTATCGAATACTGTAAACGATAATAGCGGAAAGTCAATGTTAATTTGTATTCACTTAGAATCAAGGAATTAAAATATAGCACTATTCTGAAACGATGGCTACGCTGAACCAATGTTGACCTTTTACGTATGCTTGTCTAATATATATTAGAACGATAAGGTCAAAATCCCAAAAGCATGAAAAATCTATTTTTCAATAAATCTTATTGTTTATAGAAGGGGAAAAACTGAGCGAATCCGATTAATAGAAAATACTTCATCGTTCAATTCGGTTTGACATATTCTCGTTTTAACATGGATATGTTATCAGGGTAGGTACAAGAAATTTCACGTCGCCATGTTTTTCGCGTTTCACTTTCGGTTAGAGATAAGTAAGACACGATGTACAAGCTATTTAAATAACATATGCGGCACACGACAAGGGATAACATATCCATGATCCAATGTTTTTTTCCGTAGAGCGAATAGATACGGCTAGTTTTTAATTTTCACCTATTCTACCGCACCCCCCCCCCTGCCTCGTGCCCGCGTCTGGCTGTAGCCGAATTGCCGTCGCTCTGAACGTACCGTACCGTGTTTAGGAGCAAAGTTCATCGAGCTCATGTCGTATTCGATTTTCGTGATGTTGGCCACGAAGCTGGCGTTCACCTGCGCGCTGCCCGCCATCAGTTTGTTGCGGCCGACCGATCCTCCCGGTTGGTGACCAGCCGCCGTCCGCGGTAACGAACAGGTAAGACGGATTAACCCGACGCGGGCGTTTGTTGTGCAGGCGAGCGGGTGCTGGGCGTACACGTCGAACGCTTCGGGCTGGAGTCCGATTTCGTGGACATTTTCTTCGCGATACTCGTGACGTTGGCGTTCAAATACAGAGACGTCCTGCCCCTGACCAACGCCGCGCTGTTCTCGTCCAACTACTATTGCCTGGCCTTGGTCGGCGTCAACGGCATCGTCGCCCCGTCGGCCGTGTCCGCCGGCTATTACTTCGTGTTCGTCGTGATCGCCTCGTGGATGTCGATAATGGGCAACATACCGAACGCGGTAATGGCGTGGATATGGCGAGCGGTGTGCCTGCACACTTGCGTCCACATCACGGCGCTGTTTCTGTACGACGTGAAAGCGTTCGAGACGCTCTTGGAACCGACCTTCCCATTCGTCAAGTACGAAAAACATACAGCACGACCCCGCGCACAGTCCCCCTCCCACCCCACCCCCCCCCCCCCCCCACATACGACTAGTCCGTTTGACCGGTATCGGTGATGGCGGTATGAGGAGCACCCGGAGAATAGGAATGAATCGTGGATGGATGAGGTGGAAAGGTAGATTTTACAAGACGGCAGCGAGGTCAGCAATGACATATGGGGGGGGGGGGGTGAATGTGATGAAAGCTAATAAGATGGTCGAGTACAGTGACTAGGGTAGATCATGATCATACACGCGAGCCACCCGCGTCATGCTATTCAATGCATTTAATCCCTGCACGTGAAAATGCCATGCGACGGACACGCTGTAAACCCAGAATAGTATCCAAACTGTGGCAATGTAACCGCAATGTACATGCTTATATTGTATTGATCGATCAAACCCCAAAGCTGGTTAGACTTTACCTGAGTGCGCGTTTCAGGAAAATCGGACTCTTGAAAAACGAAGAATATTCCGAACCCAAGGTGCGTCAGTTTACCATTCCGATCTTATTGGTACTTCAGCATTACAAACTGTGGTTTCATTCGAATGAGGCGAGTGATCATAATGCTCCAGAATAATATTATCGCCATGTGCAATCGAACGTTGCTAACGAATAGTATTGTCCTTAGATGCTGGACGACGAATCTGCGTTACTGCCACTCAATAAATCTTTGGTGATTCCACTGTGCGGACAAGAATTGAAAAATTTCGTTTTTCTAAGTATTAAAACAGTTGGTCCCAGAATGGCCACATTGGTAAGTACACTTAATGGAAAGTATCTGGTTTGTTATAAACAAAGAGACGGTGTTTGGGATTACATTTTTGATAAAACTTATTATTTAAGCAGATTGGTAAATGTTTTTAGCTTCGTCGTGCAACGGAGAAGGTATTGTATTTACAATAACGAGTTTTCATTTTAATTCCGCCAAAAGAAAGCTACAGTTCTCTGGAAAACAGCCTGACATTAACTACCAGCCGTTAATGTCGTTAACTGAACTCTACAAAATGAGGGTTGATTGCCGCCGACTGTATAATGATATAGGTTTAGGTTTTCTATATAATAAGGGGAAATCAATAATTCCTGGATAAGAGATTAATTAATCAATTAAAGAACATTAGCTGATCATAAGACATATTCAAGTACCAATGTCTATTTTTCAAGGGAAAGATTGACTTTTTGTGTCTGGGCCTACAATTTCTCTTAATAAACTTAGTGAAAAATAAACGAATTAGTTCCAAACGTGTGTCATACCTTTGTGTACAATTTCTAATCTCTAGATTTGCTACATAAAGAGTTTGGGTCAGTCATGATTAGACTGAGGATAAATCTAGTGTGGCTGTATAGCATAATATACATTTTTGTGGGTTAAGCTATTTAGTCGCTATGCGCCTCAATTATTTACTAAATATAATGTAAAAATAATTCCTAATAGATCACAAGATCTCTCTGATCCAAATATACTCTTGTAATACCTTTCAGGTTACCTTTAAGCCACAAGACAAATTACTTTTTTTGTTTTGTTAGGCGTGGTGTATTGCTTATCCAAGTTATTTCACATGGCCACTAATATTATGGACGACCGTATCTTGGGTGCAAAAATCATCTCGAACATGTTTAATGTTGATTACGTCTTACGCCATGTGTTTGCTCGTATTGGAATACTTGTCTGTCATTAACATTGTCGACTTTGACTTGACCAGATTCCTAATAGACTTTGAGTTCAAACCGTGGGACAAAAACGTTCAAAATGAATTACCGTCCATAGCTATTATAATCAAAGTAGGCGTTCGTCAAATATCCAGTGGAAAAAATATTACCATTGTTCAAGTATTATAATTATTATTTTTCCAGACACTACTAGTGGTAGTACTATGGATTTCTTTGTATCAGAGGCGACGTTTTAGAGTTAATCAAATACAAATCGAATTTCTTAAGTGGTTTTCTTTTATTGAAGACAACGCGTGTTATTTGTGGATTATGGCCATGGTTGTATCCATGTTGTGTTATGGTTTGATCGGTGACGTTTTCACGTGGATCCGGTTAGGTTACCTTATATTAGGGCTTTTATTTTTGATTATTTTCCAGGTAATTATAATAAAGCGTTAGCAGGCCGACAATTTTGTACAGTTACAACCACGGGCGGCAATGCATATTATTATTTTTCAGATATCTCTATCGCTGTGGCGTAGGACTTCTGCATTATTTTGGAGTGTTACTTTTATATACTCTATTGCCGTCACATTTCTCATACACATTAGTCAGTTGCAAAAGTTTTCCATTTGGTTAGAAACTAAATTGTACATATCGAAAGACACGTGAGCGAGTGATTTTCAATTAAATGGGTTCGGCTTAATATTGAAACGGTTTTTTTTGTTGTCCGATTGCAGGCAAAAAATCATAGGATTGCATGATCTAAGTGGCCTTGGCCATTTTCGACTAGTCATTCCGTCCGTTCTTGCGATTGCCTGTGTCATCTATTTACAGTACTTCCATGCGAAATTAATGGAAAGCACTAATTTGGAAACAATATTTCCCGAAACGTCAGACTCGTTCGAAATGGCCTACGCAGAAGAGATGAATAAAACGTGGACGGTTATAAAAGTAGCTTTGTACATTCACCTTCATAAGCTCGTTATGGTTTTTATAGTGATGTCCATTGTTTACGATGTGAGCTTTTGTCGGTTTTACATAAATTGTTATAATACAGGGTGTAATGTAAAGTTCTACCGAGCTTCAAATAAAACATTTAGGACGCTCTATTGGTACAATAAAACTCGTATCTCATTAAAAATAGTCCTACGAAAAAAATAATTACAGATTTGAAATCAGGAGAAAACCCCTTGTTGAATTGATATGTAACATGATTTTTTGGTATCTGGCCACACGTGCGTCCGTCGAGTGGCCGGCTTGTGACCAAAACGCATGTGACACATTATTTTGGGTTAGAATGTAATTCTCGATTCAGTGGTGTCCTTAGAGTTATTGTATATTAAATGGTGTGTCGCATGCCATATGTTGGTTTTAGTCACTTTCCGGCCACCCTGTGGACGCGTGTGTGGCCAGATACCAAAAAATCATGTTAGATATCAATTCAACAATAGGTCTTCCCCTGATTTCAAATCTGTAATTATTTTTTTCGTAAGACCATTTTTTAACGAGATACGAGTTGTATTTTAAATAATTTAAAAATGAATATAATTTATTGTACTTATAGAGCATTATGAATGTCTCATTTGAAGCATGATAGTCCACGATAAAAAAATATATGGCGTTTACTGTTATTATAGCTGTGCTTACTCTTCGGAATTGTAATGTTTTTGCTAATGGCTTGGCTGTTGTCAGACAGCAAGTGGGTGACAGTGATTATACATTTCTTGATCGCTACGATTTTGATGCTCCGAATGGCCTATCAGTTTGAGTTTATCAAAGCTGACCTATACGATATAGCCACTCGCGTAATAATACCGGATTGATTGACTCAACTCAATACGCGCTTTTAATAGTAATACTAATAATAACTGTTGTATTATATTTATTAGAGCAACTTGTTTGACTACACCCACCCCGAAAGAGCAAAACTGAATTTGGCAGAAGCGTTGGGTCTGTGGAAATGGGACACCAAGACATTAGAGGGCTTGGACTTCACTATCAATCCAATGTGTACACTTGAATACAATTTTAAGCGTACGACAATCGTTTTGTTAATAAAATTGAACTCATTATTCCAGTGATTTTGTTCGTGATGCTAATAAGAAGAATGATCGAAATCAATTTGACGTTCAAGTGCTATCCTCGTAGTTTGCCAACGAAAATATTTCCCAATATCACGGCTTCGCAGATAAGGAACGGAATGAAAGAATTATTCAAGCATCTGGCCAACGAATCGTTTCACATTTTCGGCCTAGAGGTACGAACTAATCGGATTAATCGATCGATCCGTCTCCGATCGACTGCTTTTGATTTCGTTTTACTCAGATCACCCTGACGTGGGTCAGCATGGTCATTGCTATGACTTTGGACGCTCTTGCGGTGGTGTACGTACTTTTGCTCTCGTTGTTCGTCGTCGTCAGCAGACGAACAGTCTCAAAACTTTGGCCATACTTCACGGCATTCGTCTACATGGTAGTGACGTTCAAGTACTTCATGTACATTATGCAATCGCTCTTGTACCACCACGGTATTTGTCATTATTTTCGCCATGAATATGTCTTATGGCTGGCAGAGGGAACGGGGATAAGGGATAAGGGAAATTGCTGGTTAACTGATAATAGATACAGAAGATCATAAGACATAATTCATGATTCGATGGAAAATTATTTATTTAATTACTTGACTAGCGTTTTACTTGTACTTCTTCAGACATTTCTTGGGAAAATGCAAGCTTCGTCGGAAGTGTTCTGTTGAAATTGTATGAATACCAACGTATTGCATCGATGATACAGCTAAGCGGTAAGACCTAACCTAACCTAACCTACCTCGATTACACATCCTCAATGGTATTTGTTTAGTAATCGATTTCGTGGTGCTCTATTTCGTTTCGCAACAGCTGAAAGTGTTCAGGCATAAAAATGTCGACCTGGACGATCAATTCGTTAGTTCTGAGACGTACGATTCGAAAAACTCGGATTTGCAGTCTAAAATGTTAGTCTTTTGACACTGTCCGTTGTCGGCATTTAACTTCGTATCTACTAATTAATTTCAGAACCCATCAGCTGATGGAACTTCAACAAAACGTGATGTACCATTATGCGTGTTTCACTATTTTCGTGGTGTTCCTAGACGGTATTTGGCACTCAGACTTGCTGGCAATCGGATACTTGTACGCTGCGTTTGTGTTTTATTGGAAGGGGCCACAATTCTACTTAATGCCCGTGCCGGAAATATTAAAATTGTAAGTGAATTTCGATGACCGTCACAAATGATTTTCTTTTAATCTTTTTCCCGCACAATTTTTTCTCTTCTTCTTCAAACTCGGATTTCTTTTGCCGTCTGTACAACACAGAAGCGTTATTATCCTATCCTCAAGTAAGTTTGTCGATTTCCTTTTCCTCAGTAAATTCCACTTACACCGATCCACCTTCACATCCATCTTCTTTGATTTAGTTGTTATCATCTATGAATAATATCCCCGCACTCTGCAAATGTTATACTATAGTTGGAGACATTTGCTGTGTTACAACTTATCGATGATACTGGTTAAAGTGACTGCGAAGTTTATCGGATGCCAAATAATTCAATATTTTGGATGGAACCCTACGTTTATTTATGCCCTGATTTCGTTGGGCTGCCAGAACAAAATGGCTCCGTATTCTTCAAGTAATTTTAACAGTGAACCCCATTTATTATCCAATAAATAAACGAAACGCTTTTTTCTTTTTTTGTTATTTAGAAGAAGCCATTATTACTTCTATAAATTACTTCCACGACGTCGAGCTAAAATGGGATGTAATAATTTTTGGATTGTTGTTGTTACACAGAAACGTGATAGGAATTGAAAACTTGACTATTTTAGTCGACGAAACAAAAGCGTCGGCCGTGATAGCTTTACTAATAGGTGACCTGGTAAAGGGGTGGGAATCTGAGGCCAAAGACTACAATCTCATAAAAGCACAGAAGTCGTTGGAATTGACTAAAATCAAATTAAACAAGATCAGAGCTATAAGAGACCAATATGATGATGCATATGAATGGCCTGGACACAGTTTAGGTAATAATTGTTTTTATTTCTAAAGTGCTTTCAAACTAGGGCGTTTGAGATTTTAAATTATTAAACGCATGTTCTATTCATCCTGAGATATAGGTCACATCTTTGTCGATTATAATTTGGGCTAGTTTCATTTAAAATGAATGAAGTTGACGTTCAAATCGTTCAACTTAATGGTACGTTTTAAAATTGAGGCGCTCAGATGCCAAACCGATTAACTCCACTTTTTTTCAAATTGCGAATAATAGCATGGTTTGATTAAAAAAGTGTATAATTTTCAGTGGCCAAGATACATAACTCCATAGTTGAATTTTGTACCACTAGTAGAGTGCGCTAAGAAAATTGGCAATTGTACTTACATACATTGTTTCAAACAACTTTAATATATTTGATATTTTAACTAGGTTTTAGCTATAACTTAAAAAATAAAGCGAAACCATAAAAATCTGAGAGCTTACAGCTTTAAAAAAAAAGTTTTAAAATAACTAACTATATAAATAAATTACCTAGACTGTAATTAGGTTTACACCGAATAGTATTGAACTTGCAACAATTAAATGAAAATTAGCAATTCCAAAACGGTAAACTATTAGTAAATAAGTATGTTGTATGTATAACACGATTAGTTGACATAAATAAACAAGAATACAAATCTAGCATTATTCACTCAAAATAATTTGCGTTACCGGTGTTATTCTGATAATATTCCTCGTAGCGTGTCAAAATGGACAGTATATGTTTGAAGAGATATCAGACGATGTGCATTTAGTCTATCCCGACAATGATTATCAAACGTTTTCGTACGAAAGTTATTCTAGTAAAATGCCAAAAAATGTGGTTGGTAAAAAAATAGTACTAGGTGTAATGTATGTAGTGAAAAAACTCAACAATTATTCGTTGGAATATCGGATGACTATGCAAGCGTTAGAAAGCGGAAAGAAGAAATTATTGGTATGTATGCCTATTATCAATTTTTAAACGAGTTACTATTTAGTCACTAATTAAAGTTTTAATACACGTTCTCTTGACACATTTATACCATTGTTAATCCTTCACTGCATGAATTTTTTTTATTTTTATGAAAAAATAAGGAAATATTCATATTATAATCAAAATATATATGCCATTTTTATGGACTTACAATATGCAGTCGAGGGTTAAAAGTTTAAAAAGTCCACTTCTCCACCACCGACATCAGGCAAACACCCAAAAAAATTGTGTCTGGTTTTCAACTCTGACTGTTTGCTATATCTCCAGATAATATCTCGAATATATTTTCAGATACAATTTAATTCGAAAATTGATCATTTTGGTCAACATGCTGGACCAATGATGGAGTGGATACCACTGAAAAGCGACGATTTAGACCACACTTTAGTCAGGTATATTATAATAATATACACCGAGAACGATGTAAAAGCATCGTTCGCAAGGTGCAAATAAAAATAATTCGCTTGAAAAGTAGCTTAAATTCGTGTGATATTTTCGATTAATCGTGTGTCGCAGATCCGAGTTTAAAGACAACTGGCACGAGAATAAGCACCTGCTGATACAGCTGATTATAGCGTTGAGAGATCTGATAAACTCGCGAACGCACATAATTTGCTACTTGATCGGGTTCGTTTACATGGCGTTGAACATCTACGACATCATCTCTGTGGTGTTTATAGCGATGATGACGCTGTGGGGACAACTGTCCGTTCCCAGGGAAAGCACGATCTTTTGGATCATGGCAATCACGTACTTGCAGGTGACTGAGCCGAATAATATTGTGCATAATTGACGAAACTGAGCACTGCTACCTAACACGGTATTTTTACCTGGAACAGGTTAATTGGGGTGAGAGAAAATCGATAAAAAGCGTGCCAATTGTTAACGCAGATATGTTATCAAGAAACTTAATGTAGCCATTTTCGCGTTACACTTTTCACTTTCACGCGATAAGAGATAATAGTTAAGTGATAAGATATTAGAGATAAGAGAAAAGTGATAAGAGATAACATCCGTTATTGATCAGCTGATAGTAATTTGATTAGGTTGGCAACATCATTCGAGACACCCGCTTACTATTGATAGAGATTAGGCGTGAAGGGGATGCGGATGGATATAAGGTTTGGAGAGGTGGGGTAGGGATGGTGATAAGAGGAGAAGGAAATTAATAAGAGACAGAAACTTAGCCGACCACCTGTTCCAGGTACTCTGAGTCTAGCGGTATTTCAGAACAAACTTAAGAGATTTTGATACACATTAATAGTAAGTATACTCGTGTTGATTTCAATTTTTAGATACAGATACTGCTGAAACATGTTTGCAGTTTTGATTACATGCCTTGGATGAATGAACAAGCTGCCGTGTACAGCAACATGACGAGTACGGAAAACGTGCTGCTATACCCAACGATAAAAGTAGGACTTGCGACGATAACAAATCAAGTCACAATAGATGTCGCGGCACTAGCAGTCTTATTATACCATAGGTAGGATCGACTTACTTGAAATATTTTACATTGACAGTGTAATTATTGTAAATGTAAACAACGTTTGTTCTAAATTTCAGTTAGAGAAGAGAGATTGAAGATGAGAGACAGAAGATAAGTGTTAAGAGATACGAGATTAGATATAAGGGGCAAAAAATAAGTTGTTCTGAGACATAAAGAGAGGCAGTAGTGGAAGATGGGGAAGTGCAAAAAAAAATGTTTAGTAGAAATAAGGGGATATGTAGAAAAAATATGTATATCAAGTTATTAAAAACCAATAATATACTTTATTTGAAATCATTTAATTTAAGCCATAAAATTGAAAACGTTCTATTATGATTTTCAGAAGGAAATTAATAAAAACCGGGCTTTGGACTCACGTAGATAAAAGTATGAAGTGGTACATAAAAAAACCAATAGCACATGAATATGAAGTGCTTAGATCCATCAGGATAATGTGTGTTAAGTGAGTATTGTTGAACTCTTAATAGTTTACCATAAAATATTATGATAAATGTTACTCCACATTTTTGCAGCATCAAAACACATTTAATGCCATGCTACTCTTTTTACGATAAGCTTTGCAATTACGAAACCGAAGGCAGTGTCGACGTTTATCCGTACATGTTCATGTCGGTCATGTTTCTGATGATCTATAATTTAATAGTTTACCACGTAAGCATTAATTAGTTACTAATGATTTTGACAATTTTTTTATAAGGAAGGCAAGAGAGCAACAGCTGATATTAAAATAATTAACGGATTTTAGCAGTGTTGACCGTAGTAGATTAGATGGACATTATAATCAAATTACATAATCGGTTACATCAAATTTGTCAAAAAAAGTCATAGCTCCCTCCCCTTCCAGGGAATATTTCTTCTTCTTCACAAATCTTCACATTATGACTAATCTGTTGTAGTCATTTATAGTTTCCATACTATTGTATATCTCCCTTGCCTTAAAATATAGCTTCTGCAAAACTCTTCTTCTACTCGTCTGGTAGTTTCCTCTCCACTAGCACTAGCACTTTAATAAAAAAAGCAATTAGCCTATGCTTACATTCCCTTACATTTTCTTCACTTCCGCTTGTACTCCATCCGGAACTCCTGCTTTTTTCTTTTTCATTGCTCTCAAAGCCCTCTCAGAACCTCACCTAGACGCAGGTTAGACCTAGAGGTGCAGTAGTGATGTCTCTACATTGTTGATACTACAAGAATTGTTCAGCAGGTATTACACTCTCCATCCCCCAGGCTTCCTCTAACACTAGCTACATCATTACTTCTTTCTTGTTGTGCTCGCATACAAGACAATCCGCCTAAACCTTGTTTAGGACTCCTCATACATTTTGACGAAAATAAATAAGTATAAATAATTGGCGTTATGTGTTTTACAGGACGCCATCAAATCGATCAAGATGAATAAGATTTCTAAACAAATCGTCTTACAAATTTTTCTCCACATGGGAATGATACTCCTGGACCGTTGGTTTTACGTCCAGCGCAACAAGGTTGGCAAACTAGTGTTCCACGTGCTCGTCGTCTCGTACTTCTTGTACAAAGTGCTGACTATGTAAAAGTATACACACCCGTGTCGATAAATAGAAAAAATGTCCAATAAATCCCATGTCCGCCACAGGTACACGTTAGCCGAAAAGGGCAAATTCGCCGTGTGGGCGTTCATAGAGTACGCGTACATTATGCTGTCAGCCTATCAAATCCGGTCCGGCTATCCGTTTCGATACAACGAGTCGTTCATATGGCACCGGCACAAAATATACAACTTATACCTGTTTAAAATGTAACTATCGTTGAAGGAAGGGTCGGGATAAGTGTGAATGAGAAGTTGATGAGGTAGTTGATAAGGGGAACTCGATAATTCCTGTATAACTTATGAGAGAAACAGCTTATAAGGGACGATTAGGAAAAGACTGAATTATAGCAGGATAATATTAAAAAGTCATTCAAATTCATAAGACCGTTTTCACATGACCGGATACAGATGAACATTTGGTAACTAAGAAGGGGCTTAGTCAATAAGAATCCAGTGTTCGACTAGAAGTATAACCTCCTTTCCATCATCTTGTCTTTTCCCATTCTTACCTTCCCCGAATAATGTCATGCTATAAAACATTTTCATACTCAAATTGTTCTCTACGAAGAGGAGGAAATCTAGCTTAACATACGATTTTAAGTAGGGATATTATGTTTTTGGTCTGGTCTATCTGGTCGTCAACCGAAAAGCGACACCTTGGGATAGGTCAGGCATGGTTGGTGAGCGAAGGAACGGGGAGGTAAAAATGGATGACTGTGGGATAAGTCAGGGAAAGTTTGAATCTAGATCAAAAGCCGAAAAACATATTGATGTTCTTGACATGAATACAATAAATGTCTTATAGCTGGGAGTCATGACGCAAACCTAACCTAACGTTTCCTACAGTGATAAGAAACCTATGATTAAGGATGCTGATAAAGGATCAGTGATAAGAGACGGCTGATAATGGCTCCTGATAAGAGAGAGATCTTTAGTTTTTTAACAAATAGAGGATAGGAAGGGAAGGAATCGTAGATAAAGGGAGGGGAGAGGGGGAAAATGAATATTATGAACATTCGTATAAGTACCATAGGACTACCATATTCATAATCTAATGTTGTTAATATCGAAGTGGTTCAAATTCAGATACTATTACTGTCCGTTCGTGTACGAGCTGCGGCTGGTGTTCGATTGGATCTGGACGAATTCGACTCTAACCATGACCGAGTGGTTCAAAATGGAAGACATATACTCGCACGTTTGCAGCGTTAAGGTAAAAACCTATATTGTAAACCATTGACGGCTGTGGGGTGACGAATAATTTTCCATGTTCGATAAATCGGTGAAATCTAGTGCACGAACGATTTGCGGCAAGTATTGGATCATAAGCGTAGCCATAAGCTTCCGATTTGGCTCAAGTTGATTTTGGGAGGCGTTCTGGTGACGGTCATACTAATAGTGATCATATTTCCCATAACGTGGTTCTCTTTGCAAACATTTGAAGCGGACAAGCCGACGGTTATCAAAATGGGTGTACATTTCTACGACAACTGCAAGATATTCGAAGCGACTTCGATCAGAATACAAACGTAAAGCAATACTATTTTTCAAAGACCACAGTGGGTGTTTATTTATAACATTCAACATAAACGTCAGACGGTTTATGTAATTAAACGCCTCATCAGTACTTATGGACAATATTCATTAGGAATATACATGGATAATAATTAACAAATAATAAATTAAAGTAAACCAACTAAATTAAAGTTCATCTCGTCTAAGTGATGGGAAGTTTAAATCCACCTCCCGTCCTAAATTTTAAACTCTAATATTGAAATTAATTTATTCTTGTTTCATCGAAGGCTAAATACATTGGACTTGAACGCGTTGAAATATGTATACCGCAGCTACAGTAAAGTAATGGACTTTCTAGACAGGTATACGGATCACGAAGTGAGCTCTACGATAATAGGTTTGAGATCTCCTACCACGTGGACAGTTACACCGCACACGTTTAACAATTTAATTCGACGGTTAAGCGATCCAAGTAAGTTACACCGATAGTGGTCTATTGTCTATGTAAAAAAAAAACAACTCTCAAACTAGTGGATAAAATGTCTAAAAAAAAATAACAGCCGATTGTGACCCGCTTTTGTTAGACAATTTATCGAATGTTTTAACACGGATATGTTATTGAACTGGATACAAGACATTTCAGGTCGCCATTTTAGCATTGCACATTCAGTTTCAGTTAGAGATAAGAGATAAGTGATAAGAGATAAGATATTCATAATTAAATGTTTTTTCGTAGAGCGGGGAAAATAACAGGGTTTTTTTTTAAGCGACAAAGGGACAAAGTTACATAATTTTATGGGACAAACAGCATGGTGCCATTTAATATTAGTTTTTGTGAGATTTTTTCTTAATATAACCCATAGACATATGCGTTTTCGAGTTTTCAATCATTTGAACTTTTTTTTGTATACAATCACAACGTGTATCGCAGTTGGGTCGCTGTACATAAGAATTAAATTGGTGTATTTCGACAGATAAGCAAATGTATTTGTACGTGGATTGGTGGATAACCCACGAAAACGGCAGCACGATCAGCAGTGGCAACAGCCTTGCGCCGATCGCTTGGAACGAGCGGTTGATGTTGGTCGAATGTATGAACTCTTCGATGATAAACTATGTTAAAACAAGCGAACCGGTAAAGAACGCCCTCGACGAAACTAGCAACACAACGTGTCAGGGAGTTAGAATCCAAAACGCTCTACCTAAATTCGTGGTCACGCACATGAAGTCGAGCAATGCCTCTATAAAACCAATGTTCAGCCTTCACGATACTGGTAAATATATTAAGTCATCGTTGCCCCGAACAACGCGAGTACACCCGTTAGTAGTAAGTGGGAACCGTGCCCCCCCCTCCCCCTCCCATCCAGTAGAGCGTTACCAACCTACCTACACGACACAAAAAATTGTCTAACAGTGTTTCCGACCCACCTTAATCTGTCGTCGGTTTATCTACTCTATCACTAATCTCCCAGATAAGCACAGGGCGTCTCAAAAAGAACGGTGGGGTTTCAAACGGCTGTAGGTCGTGAAGTGTTGGACCTACAGCGCTCCGGTAGGGCTTGAATGAAAGAGGGAGTTGTCAAGTTTTGAACGATTGCCACTAGATGTCTCTACCACCGTCTCTGCTCATGTCTGCGAACTCGATCACTTGGAGAGACATCTAGTGGCAGTCATTCGAAATTTGACAACTCCCTCTTTCGTTTAAGTCCTACCAGAGCGCTGTAGGTCCAATACTTTACAACCTACAGCCGTTTGAAACCACACCATTCTTTTTGATACACCCCCCCTGTATAGTGTATTATAATACGGCATGTACTTTTTCAGAAAAGCCGTACATGGACGCTTTTCTGACTTTCCATCACGCCAATGATAATCACAAGTACTGGTGGGACGTGAGCGAGATATGTCCCCAAGAAGATGAAACATCACACTATCTAAGACAAATACCGCATTCGTCGTGCGGTAGACCGAATTCTAAGTGTAGTAATGCTGTCCAAAATTTCAATTGCACTTCCGATTACAACATTTTCATATTCAGCGACAGATATTCTGACGTTTTTGGCTACTTTGAAAACCAAGGGTAAGCGTATTTAAAAAAATAGTTTGACAAGGTTTTTTAGTTTTTTTAAAGATAACGAGTTTCTCTAGTACACATTTTTTCACGCGGATCATCTTTGTTTCAAACTTATTGTTCATATGTTATTAGGCTGGATACAATAAACGTTATGTCACCATTGTCACGTCGCCATTTTCGCGTTACTCTTTCACTTTCACGTGATAAGCGATAAGGTATTAGAGATGAGAGAAAAGTGATAAGAGATAAATGACACGGGATAAGTGGTAAATTATAGATGATAAGGTAGCAGTGATAAGAGAGAAGGTGTAAAGAGATAAAATATCCATTGGTTTAATGTTTTTTAGCCGAAGAACATTTGTTGCTAACATACTAATATGACATCATTATAATAACATTAGAAATTACCCAAAACGCAAATGACTAATGATAAAAATGTATTTCGTAACACTAGTAAATATCACAATAATATTTATAATTAGGTAATAATGAATGCCTGCCCTTGTATTTGTTTGTTTTTAGAATTTTCGGTCTATACACGGTTGTCATCGTCTATTTCGGATACAAAGTCATGCACGACTTGTTCCGTTCGTATAAATTTAAAATGAGTTACGCCGACTTGCCGTATACGGATAGAATTTTGCAGGTCTGTTGACACATGTATTTTTTTTTTCTTTTTTTTTTTTTTTTGTGTGTGCATGTCACCTGCACTAGACTAAGACTAAAAACGAATCGCGTTACAGCTCTGTCAGGAGATCTACCTGGTAAGAGCGTTTGGCGAGTGGAAAATGGAAGAAGACCTGTACGCGATGCTGGTGTTTTTGTTTAGGTCTCCCGAAACTCTGATCAGGATGACAAGACCGCCCAAGCCGTCCGATCCGTTGCAAAACATAACGTGACGCGCGTTCCTCCAGTAATATTAGTATATTGTTTTCAAGTGTATTCGTCTGGAACACAATCTACACGTCACATTTGCATTGCCTACCGTATTACGCGAATTCTTTTTTCGCAACGACGACAATATAATAATATTATCAAGTCGTGTTGTTGGTTTTCGTATCGAATAAAAGTATGCCGTCGAAATTTAACGTTACTTTCGACCGTTGTGAAAATTACATCATAAGCCCGTTGTAAGGGATGGAAAATAGTGTTAACAAAACTATAAACTAATAACCGTTTTGTTAAATAATACTTTTCATAGCAATATTTTCTTATCAATATTCTCTTATCACTACCGAGAAGGTTGAGGTATGTTAGGTTAGGTTTTCATCATGACGCGTGACGCTAATTACCGACAGACTTCCGTCCATAAGACGTACTTATGTCAAAAACTTAGGGCCCAGGATTCATTAGGAGACTTTATGGTATGAAAAAAAGTGTAGTCAACTTTTAACAGCAGATACAGTTCAATGTGTTAACAGGTAGTTTAAAGTTTTTAATGTAAGTATTAAAGAAACCACATCATTTGCCACGCTGTACTTGTTGAGTACGATCGAATATTCCATACAAATTTGAAACTAATTTCCATTATTTTTAAAAATATTCTTGCTAGTCGTCGTTCAAGTTGAATAAGTTAATAATTTATATTTTAATAGAAAAGAAAGAGACGGGTCACTGAGGTAATTATAAAACATTATAACACCTTTATATAATACATAATATTTTATATTATAATAATATTAACTTGTATTGAGACACGGTGGAGAATATAAAAACATAAGTACACGATGAGAATACAATTAAATAGTTCACAAATATACCAAAAAATAAAAAACATTATACGTACATGTTAAAAAATTTTAATTGATCTTTGAGGAAGACCATCAAATATATTTTATAATGTCATTTCCGAATCCTTGTTTAACATTTTGCTGTCTTTAAGTTCTTTTAATTGATCTTCGATGCTAGAAATTTTATAATTTTGCCTTCTGATTTTTCGTTTTAAGGTTCTGTTTTGCCGGTATAATTTTTTTATTGTGTTTTTTAATTCACATTTTGAAGGAGATCTGCGATTCGATTTTGTTTTTGGAGACGATGAAACAAAACGCCGTTTTTTACTTTTCAAAAGTGTACTACGTACTGGAACTGTAATCGAATAGAACAAATTTTAAGAACATAATAACTTGTATTTCATCGTAGGTGTTATAATCTATGGACACCGACGTTGAAGACCATATTAGCTGTACTTAACCTTAAAATGTTTCTTACCTTCAGAATTTTCATCAGCTCGAATAAATGATGATTGTGTTAATGGTGTAATGGAGTACAGTAAGTACTCATTGCCAAGTAATGGAACTACAATAAAATAAAACATATTTTAAGAACATACTATTTCATTCAATTTTTTTACCGACTTAAGGTCAAAATTTCAAAACTTTTTTTTTATTCTGATACATCATACTATACTTGTTTGATTCATAACTTTTTTTAAAATTTTTTTTTATGTATAGGTAATCTTAATGTTTTGCATTTTACTAAAAAGTGATGCATTTAATAGCCTATAACTTTTTATCACACAAACCAAAAATTCCGAAATTTTTACAGCACTTATTTATATGCATGTAGAACATTTGGTAAAAGTTTTGTAATGGAGACTTTTTTTCACTAGGTGCTGTACGACTTAGAATTTCTCAACTTTTGTACTGTAGGACTATAATGAGAAATTCATTATAGTTGTACAATGAAAAAAAAAAAGTTTTGAAATTCATAAAATTTTCAATTTATTTTTCAATTTTTAAGTACTGAAAAATTTGAAAAAAATGTTTTTCAAGTATATCATGAAAAAGAACACTTAAATTAAAATTGTTTAGTGAAAGTTCCATCACGATATCATAATTAGGTAGCCATTAAGGAACGTGATGGTGAACTTAAGGTGTTTTCATAGCAAATTTCCGGAATAATGAAGAAAAATGTTTTTCTTCATTTATTTGGTTTTATGGAACTATTTTAATAGGACATGTAAGTTTGTGGCATTTCAAAAATCCACTCGCACACACATTAGGTGATTTGGCATGGAATGACCATAAATGGACAAACGTTCAAGATCATATTAATGTTTTCTTACCTTCAGACTTTTCGACACATTTTCCTCCTTCTACTGATACACTTGTAGATTGCTGTTGAACTAATTCATCATCGCTACAAACGGTTGGTTTAAAATGCGATTTCTGAGCCTTTGACGGTTGTTTTTTGGCCGAGAAAATTGTAGGAACCGCGTTGTCGTGTAAACGAACTTTGTAACTTCCTCCGGGTGGATCATAAAAACAAAATGGTTCAAAGTGATCACTACACAGTTTACTATATTGAGTAGGGACAAATCCTTTTCGATCAACCGCTCGAATCCACTGCTCGTTTCTAGTCGGATTCTTTAATGGAAATCTACACGTGCATTAAATGTGTATAATATCATGATCAACAAATACGAGTTGGAAGTATAACAGTAACAAGTTCAAGTACAACGAATGGTGTTAACTTACGAAAAAAAGTGGATATCCGAACCGGACGATTGTCGATTCACACAGCCATAAGCGGAGCACGAACAAACCATTATATTCGATAATATTAATATAAACTGATAAACACAATAACGATTGGTTTCGATTTGAAAAATATTAAAAACAAAATTGAAAACTTCTAAGTATTGTCAATGCCTGCCCATTATACGTTCGTTATCAATATTCGTTATCATAGTGTAAATATTGCCGTCATGGCAAATGGCCGCCACCAGACACACTTCCATGTAAACACTATGTAAACGGTGAGAGAGAGAGAGAGTTTTGTTGGTCGTCCCATGGAAGAAATAATAATATCATGGAAGAAACAATAATATGATAAAACCTGATAACGAAATTTTTAAATTAAGAATTTGAAATTAATTTTTTATTTAAATATCATTTTTTATTATTATTAAACGTTGTGATTTTTTATTGTATTCCATACATAATATTAGATAAGGCTTGAAAGAGGAACTGAAAAGTTATTGATTTTACAATACCTAGTCGTTTTTTTAATACATATATAAACATGATTTTCACTCTCGGACGTGCCAAATGACTTATTAACATCATAATATGTATATTGTTACTAACAAAGTTGTAAAGAATACAGCTGTTATAATATTTTTAAATAAATACGGAATACCTACTAAGAGTAGAAAAAATCAAAGTAAAATTAATTAAATATAATTGTGGTTATTTCACCTATATTAGTAAATTCAACATTTTAATACTCATATGAATGTTACCTTCATTTTTTTGTAAACATATTCCAAGTCATAAAATAACTTAAGCAAATAAAAAATACACGTAGGTGTATAATTTGTGAGTACTTTGTGGCAATCGTATTATACACAGGCAGCTAGTATAATATCATTTAAATTTTCAATTTTATCAAGTTAAATACGTGTGAAACATACTACAATATAGTTTTGTATTTATAATTACAATTTTATACTTGGTATTTTTACCTTGAAAAATGTATTAAAATATTTATACTTTTCAATAATCATACATTAGAACATATTTTCTCATATTTTCAATGTATTAAGACCCACACACCTAATGAGTTGTCATTATAATGAAATTATGATTTCAAATAATTAGTTTTTATAGTGGATAATAGAAATACGATTATAAAAAAACAATTTATACAGATGGAGATGGACAAAATAGGTGGTAGAATAGTACAACACCATTGGCAAATTAAGACAGAGGAGGAGCTAAGTTTTAAAAAATGTACTTTTTATATCTGGTCACCCACAAGTAGGTATACATTGTAAATTATTACAATATAGTAAGTGTATACAAAATATATTGCTTAAAGGTCTGTGCGTGTGATAGTACGCCGCCGCCGCCGCCGCTCGAGCGCGGTAACCGCGGTTACCACTGTGCCGGGTTACCGCTAAGGTACCGCGACTCGACCCGTCCCGCGGTAGTTGCGGCCACCAGCGACGTCGTGATACCGCGACAATTACATTGTCCCGGGCCCTGGCCATACCACGCTACAGTGGCGCATCGCACAGTATCTCCATCGCATCACCAATCACACAATAACAATAACAATACACAATCTCGGCCGCCGCCGCCGCTGCATTCTCATCCCGTCCCGTCGCGCACATCTCTCTTCTCGCTCACCACCGCCTACCTGCATTTTATTATTCGTGCATTCGCTCGGGTCGTCGTCGCACTCCCACCTCTCTCTTTTATATACACGCTTATATATTTTACTGTTTGCTCGCCGCGCGTTTTCATCGCGTCCAGTTGACCAAACCAACCGACGACAACGGCAACGACGACATCGACATAAACAACACGGCAGTATTATTAGTGTTACATTATTATTATTTATATTAAGCAAACAAACCGAAACCGGCGAAATGCGATAAAAATGTTGGCCACCGGTACCGCGTTCCGCGTCGCGACGGTCATGCTGCTGTTCGTCGCGACCGCGCGATCCGACGGCGGCCCCGTCCGTCCGGTGGGCCCGGACGACCTGGGCTATCTGGCCATGATGACCGCCTCGGACGAGGACGACGAAGCCAACGCGGCGGTGGACAAGCCGCAGGACAAGGACGAGGCCAACGGCGGATCTCTGTTGTCGTTCAGCGAAGACGCCGCCGACGCGACCAAGAGGTTCAACTGTCTGTCGTGCTCGTCGCAGGATGCGTCCAAGTACGACTGCAAAGAAGAAACGGCCTGCGTCCGCGCCATCAAGGTACGTTTGTTTTGCTTACCTCAAATCTTATATTATACGGCTTGCGTTAACCGCGTCGAGATGCGTCTCGTCGTCCGTTCCGTTGTCCGTTTTCGTATGCGTCGGTCGTATAATCTTCGGTAACTCGTATAAAGCGTCTCGTTTGGGTAGGCGGTCTAAGTAGTCCAAACGGTTTTAATAATATACTCTCTGTCAATCTTGTAATTTATTTATTTATTTATTTTTTTTACGGAAATAATTCCATATATTATAATATTACAGACATAACGTACAGTATAGGAAAAACTTACAAACTAGCATACAAACATTTTTACAACTACATAACTAGAAAATAAAATATCTAATTTCATTGAATTTGCAGTAGACATTAAAATACTTACAATGGAGGATAAACTATAATTAGTATACTTTGCGTATGCGTCAGTCGTATGAGGCGTGTTAAGAGACGCCTACTCACGAATCAAGTTTAGTCGACCGATTGTAGTTGATCAACAAAAGTCGAATGAAATTTGTTGTGAGAACATTTTGTTTCGATAGAGTAGATCGACTCGGTCAAACTTTATCGATCAAGTGGAAACCTGTCTTGAACGTGTGAAACTAATTGAATTGCGAGTTCGCTTTCAACTGGTCACTCTTACATTTGTTTAGTATATTTTTTTGTGTAGTGTTAATATAACAAAAATGAGCCTCGAGTGGTCTGAAAGTTTGACGCTAATCATAAACGTTATCATAGCCATCACTTCAGACATTCTTAAATGTTCTATTTGTCCTCTAATGCTAGTTCCTTCTTTAGCTAAGCGTCGATAGATATCTTCTTAATGTCCATTGCCGCCTCACACAGAAACGACAATTTTTTAAAACCGGATTCAAGTCATATTCAACTTTTGTTGATCGACTATAATCGGTCAATTAAACTTGATTCGTGAGCCTTTAGCGTTGACCGTAAAGACCCAAACCCATCAAATGTAACTGGGCCGAGAAAAAAAAACAGAACTAAACGTACAATTTTGTCGTACAGCAATTGAAACTCATTACTCATGCATGGACATTAATACTTACATTGATTGCTTGTAACTTGTAGTGTTGGAAATCGAGGGTGCGAGAGGACGGCATCGAACGCGTAAGCCGAGGATGTGTGACCAACTCGAAGCAAATACACCCTTGTATACAGTCGGTTTCGTCGCACACGACGTACTCGGCCGAAGCCGGTATCCGTCAATACATTGTAGAGTGTTGCGAGGGCGACAACTGCAACGACGGCGATTTCCCTACCCTTCCGGCGGTCGACATTGACAACAAGTTCAGAGGTGACTCTTTCGAAACGAGACGAATTTTATACATTATAATGTTTAATTATTATTATAATTATATAAATATTTTTGTGTTTTACAGAAAACATTGTCGATTCGGAAAGGCTGAAACTAATGTTTGCCATAGTGGCTCCCGTAGTTTGTGTGCTCGTCATGGCCGTGATCGTCGTGGCCATTATGCGTCGCAACCACAGAAAACGCTTGATATCCGCATCGGCGGCAGCGGCCGCTTCGGCTAGATTCGACATGGATCCGTTGGACAGTCACTACTACACCATGGACCTGTTGCGCGATCACGTTGTAAGTACGACGACGACGAGCAGTTGACGGCTGCCAGTATTAATTAATTAATATATTATTATTCACAATGTGATAGCAACCGGACGGCGGCGGCGGCGACGACGACTACATTACCAATGAACATTCCATGACGTCCGGCAGCGGTTTTGGTTTGCCGTTGCTCATGCAACGCACGTTGGCCAAACAAATAACGCTGTTGGACCTGATCGGCAAGGGTCGGTACGGTGAAGTGTGGAAAGGGCTGTGGCACGGCGAACACGTGGCCGTTAAAATATTCCTGTCCAAAGACGAATCGTCGTGGCGGCGAGAAACCGAAATTTACAGGTAAAACGACGTTCACTCTGATATCTAAAGTGTCTCTTGCACAAATAAACACGGTGTAAAAAATCCCATAAAGTCTTGTACAGCCCGTTGTTTGAACATGTGTTATTTCTAATTTTCAATTTTCAAAATTACTTCTCGTCCAATTACGGCTCACGTATGTGTTTTGCTTCCGTTACAGCACCGTGTTGTTACGCCACGACAACATACTCGGTTTCATCGGTTCCGACATGACGTCGTACAACTCCACCACTCAACTGTTACTGATCACGCACTACCACAAGAACGGCTCATTGTTCGATCACCTAAACAACCCCAGTACGGCTCCGCTCACGCGCGACCAGATGCTGAAAATCTGTTTTACCACCGTCAACGGTATCGTTCATTTGCATACGGAAATATTCGGCACTCAGGTAATTGAAGAAACGTACCAAAATGATTTCGATTAAATTGTCGTGTGGACATTTTTAACTAATAAATATTACCACTTAGGGTAAACCGGCCATCGCACACAGGGATATCAAAAGTAAAAACGTTTTGGTGAAAAACAACGGAGCGTGCGTTGTAGCCGATTTCGGTATGGCCGTCACGCATGTACAAAAGACCAACGAGATGGTGATGGCGGCCAATCCGACTCGCGTTGGCACCAAACGGTACATGCCGCCCGAAGTGCTCGACGAATCGTAAGTACAACGTGTGTTCTGTCGATCGAATAAAAGTGGCCTCTTATCAATATGAAAACATGTATATTTTCCGTCTGCAACAGAATCATCGAATGCTTCGAGTCGTTCAGACGGGGCGACATTTATTCGCTGGCTCTGGTTTTGTGGGAAGTGTGCGCTCGGACCGCTTGCAACGGACTGTTAGACGACCTGGACTACAAGCCTCCTTATCACGACCGGGTGGGCTACGACCCGGGTTTCGACGAAATGCGCAAAGTCGTGTGCACAGAACGTAACCGTCCGTACGTGCCCAATCGCTGGTGGTCAGACCCTGTGAGTAGCTGTTGCGACAATAACGTTCGGTCGTAATTAATTACAACAATAATTGTTCGAGTAAGACTAACGAAAGCCATTTTTTTAAATTTTTTTTATTTACAGATTTTGAGCGGCATGGCCAAATTGATGCGAGAGTGTTGGCACCCGAACCCCAACGCTCGACTGCCGGCGTTACGCGTGAAAAAGACTATCGGCAAATTATGGTCTTCGTTGTCTGCCGTGTGATTGTTTTTTTTTTTTGCTAGAAGTAAATTCAATCTATTTTTTTAACATGTGTATTAATTATGTACAAAATAACGCGCGTTAAAATTAACGATAAAAATTACAATATTTACATATTATTTACTACGCTTGACAACCAGTAAAAATTTTGTGCAAATTTTAGTCTTCGTTAACTACTTATATGATAATATAAAATATGCAATTTTTTTTTTTTTTTTTGACGCCAAGTTAAGAAGATTTTTTTTATTCTAAAAGTCGCGATGATTTCGAGCTTTAATAACTGATTATATTAAATAATGTTGTATGTATAACTCTAGATTTTAACGTCACAAAGGTGTTCCTATTACGAACGATAAAATAATAACTCTAAAATAATACTATATTATCGTCGTTGATATCGTCCAAGCGGGCCAATCCCATTTAAACACATAATAAGCTTATTTTTTTTATACTTAATATATATATATATAATATCCTAATATTTGAAATTATGTTTTTTTTTTTTCAATAGGATTAACGTGTGACTTTGTATTAATATTGACTATATATATTTTTTTTTATTATTATTTTTACTAACGCGTACCTTATTTTTTTTTTTTTTTTTTGAGACTAAGTTTCTTTTAAATAATTACACTATTAATGTGTACGTTATGATTCGATAGTTAATTTATTTAAAGAACGACACTGAAGAGTTTTTAAAAAAGTATTATAATTTTACGTATATATATATATTATATAAAATATGTATAATTTCTTTTCATTTTTTTTTTTTTAGCTTTAATACTATTTTATTATACTTGTAAACAACTTAATATATATATTTATACATATATTTTTTTTTTCTTGTATTCAAATGATAATATTGTAAAGGAAAATCGCTGAAATCTGTGATGTTGTTGCTTTCAAGCGTGTTTTTATAAAACTGTTGATTTTTTTAATATTTTTGTTTTTAAGAAAGATAAAAACGAGATAAATTTAAACATTTTCACATTTGTTAACTCTCATCGATTGATTGTTATTATTACTTGTATTTGACTAATTGTTTACTTGACATTAAAAACATTTCTACGACTAATGAAATATGTATTTGTGTTATTTTAACGGAAATTGGAGTCACGTCTTTGTTTGCCAATCTCTTTAGAAACCACACCGGTTTTTTTTTTATCATAATTTAATTTACAGACATTTGTTGATTAGAAAATTTGTTCGATCGTCGAAGTAATTTTGACGTGATTGTCGGTGTGAGCAATTTTTATATTTAAATAAGAAAATAATTTGCCAATAATAAACAATTTAATAATGATTTACCGCAAAGTTGTTTAGAGCTAATTTGTTATATTTTAAATATTTTTTTTTTTTAAATATTTATTACACATTAATTGGTATAGTACATGCATAATTTTTTTTTCTTTCTAGTCTGTTAATTAAAATTGTATTTATATCACTTTTTCCGGTGAATTAAATTAATAATCGAATTTCAACAGGTTACGCTCGGGTCTGAATATTAATTTTTTTTTTTTACTGTATTATTATTAGATTTGAATTTTAGTGTGTTAACATTGTGTGTATTAACATTGTTTTTTTAAAACTATAGTGGGCGAGGGGAAGCTACCAAATTCCGAATAAATACAAAATTATTATACTTAAACGTCAATAGATAAATTAGTTTACAAAATACGGTTAATTTTGCTAATTTTGTCTGTAAACGCGAAATAGATAGGCGACTATTTTATTTATTTTTAATGGCGTACATTAAACATGTTAATAAACGATAAATTACTGGTAATAATTTCTGGATAATTACCATTTAATATTTATATATATATATATATTATAATATTATATTGTTTATCGTATTACTAATTCAATTTAAATTAGCTATGAAATTATATATTACAATGTGCTAACAAACTACAAAGCAACCAAACTGTTTAAATAATTCACGTTATATAAATGCCAAAATCATAAATAAATATTTTAAAAAAAATATATATATATATATATAAGGAAAACACTAATTTTTAAAAATTTAGCTTGTCAATTTCTTTTTTTTTTCCAACAAAAGAAATAGTTTCAAAACGGTCCAATCAATTTTTTCTGACAAGTTTTAAAAAGAAGATTGCGTTATTATTAATTAATTATAGTTTGTTTTATTATCTTTTTTGGGATCAAAAAATATTTTTAAAAGCCTATTTGATTAAAAAAAATTATTGTCTACATATTTAGGGTAGGTTAGGTTCGGTTAGGTTTGGTTAGAACAAGGTTAGGTTAGGTTAGTGTGAGGTTAAGTTTGGTCAGTGTGAGGTTACTGTAAGGTTAGGTTAGGTGAGGTTATGTTGACTTTTAATTAGGTACACAATATTATTTTATTTTACCAGTTTTATAATACAATAATTTCATGGAAACTCGACATCTTAACATGCCTCTACCATCCCACAAGCCAATTAATTCAGTTGATTAATTATTAACAACGTAGTGTTTGGCACACTTTAAATTAGCTAGCTTTTAGATATCTTTCTTCAAGACGTATACTCAATTAATTGTTTTATATCCATTGTTCACGGCCATGATAATGATAAAATTCAGTTGCTGAGCACAAAACTTCGATGCCTACTCTAAAAAGATGGATAATTATTATAACTCGGCGTCGAGCAGGTCGCAAACATTTTTGTTGGTAGCACTGAAAGTTCTTCGGTAGGCATATTATATTAAAACTAATAGGTAGATACTTACTTTATTTACATCAACCGACAGTGTAATATAAATTGCTGATAGTCTCTTCTTCTTGGAAAGAAACAATTCGATGGGTTTGGTTAATATAATAAACCTATTATGCAACAAAAACCCGTTCAATCCAACAGGGTGAACTTGAAGTACCCCAAATTTAGATTTGGTCGGTTAAGGCAGACATATCATATTTAATAAAATAACATTAAAGAATATTAGTACAAGATAGTCCTTAAACAAAAAATTCACCTTGGCCTTATTAAGAGCAGACCAGAGTGTTTAGCTTTTAATTTATTTTATATACAAGTTCAATGGCGCAATTGGAGGTAAATGGTATAAACGGTAACCATAAAATTTGAGGTTAAAACTATACCGTGGTATAGTTAAGCCTAGAACCTCCCAGAGCGCGAACCCATCAAATTTGTGCGGCTGGAGGACATTTTTTGGAAAATTTCAAATTTGATTTTACATAATTGTGTAAAATTATAAGTATTGTACAGGTACCATCGAGTGTATGATATATATATTTTTTTTTTATAATATAACAATAGTGCGAATTGATAGTGGGCCAAAATAGCTGTTTAATTGTGTACATTTTGTTGTATGTATAAATAATGGCACTAATGTAATAATACATATTATGATACACGTGTGCGCCATGACCGTGAGTGAACCAAAGAGAAAAATCAAAATAAGTTAATGTTCTCAATCAGATTAAAAACTAAACAAAAAAACATAATATGCAAGTTTAACACAAAAAACAATACTTATATACGAATGATAGTGATAATATATTACCACTTGTATACTTAAATATGAAATATTGTTATTTTATTTTTTTACTCTCTTTTATTTCAATATTAGCAGTTAATTAATTGCCTACTAGATTCAAATGTGTTTTCTTTTGTTTGACTTAAAAATATCAACGTTCAATTGCTATTGTGTACTTAGATATTATTTTTCTTGTTGTCTCCAAAAAATATGTCATTCGATTGATACCGAATTAATGGGCTCTGCTCGCTTTGTATTATTTTATTAATAAAGCTGTCAATATCTTAATAGGGTTATTTTTTTCCCTTTCAAACAACCGGTGATCACGTCCAATAATTATGCACGAGTATATTATAGTTTTATCTAAAGATAATAAATATATATATAGGCATACCATTGAGTATACTCAACGATAGTACTTATACCTATTAAATTATATTATTATACATTAAACATTATTATTATTTTCCCTCTAATTAATAACGTGTAAACGGGTGCAATGCATATTGTTATAATGCTGACACGTATTTAATGTAACATTATTTTATATTATAATAATATAGCTGTTGTTTTCAAATATATGTAATTATTTTATTAATTATTACAACATAGTGTGTGTGTGTGTGTAGCACGCGATTAAACCGAAATTATTATAATAATTAACGTATTAAAATATATTATATTGATTCGATGTCGGCTATGTACGGACGTTTAAATTTTGTTTAAAACGTTTAAAAAATATATTTTATTATTATTCGATAATTATATACGCCAGTAATAATATTGTTTTTGACGGCCAACCGTTTAGCCCGGTTTTGTGTGATAACACGTCGTCATGACTGTTGTTATCACAAGGATTGTTATCAGTTAATCCTAGCACGTGCGGTGTCCGTGTTTTGCGTGCTGCAGTTGTCTCTCTCTCCGCGTGTGTGTCTTGCCGCCACTCGTCGTCCGCGTTGAATTTTTTTCGCAAAACAATTTCAGACATGCATCCGAGTGTTGGGCGCCCGTCGTCGCAGTGTTAGCCCGCCCGCCGATTTTCCGTCCCGTCGTACCGCGTGTACCGCGCCGCTTGCCCAACAGTCAAACCCAAAGTCCCAAGTCCGTGCCCGCGATGACGTTGGCCGAAAACGAACACGGCGGCACCACCCAAGGGGTCAAGGAAGGCGCCATAGGATTCGTGGCCGGTTGCGTGGGCGCCGTCGCGTTGGTCTACGTTGGCCAGCCGTTGGACACGGTCAAGGTGCGCATGCAGCTGGAGCCGCGGGCCTACCGCGGCATGGTCGACTGCATGCTGACCGTCAAGAAGCAGGCGGCCGAGTCGGTGCCGCGCTCGCCCAGGCGGGCGTTCGTCCGGGCGCTGTACGTGGGCACCACGCCGGCGCTGGCCGCCAACGTGGCCGAGAACTCCGTGCTGTTCGCCACTTACGGCGCGTGCCAGTCGATGGTGGCTCGCACGCTGGGCTTGCCCGGGGCCGACCACCTGAGCCCGATGGCCAACGCGGCGGCCGGTAGCATAGCGTCGTTTTTCTCGTCGTTCACGCTGTGCCCGACGGAACTGATCAAGGTGCGCCTCCAGGCGGACACCACGAACGGCATCAAAGGCCAGGCGAGCGCTCTGCGCGTCATACGAGAGGTGTTCAGGACCGAAGGGGTCAAAGGCTTCTATCGCGGGTTCGGTTCGACCGTCGTGCGAGAAATGCCCGGCTACTATGTGTTTTTCGGAGCCTACGAAGCCACTCGAAAGCTGTTGTCGCCGTCGACCACCGACGGCGTACGCAATCAGCACTGCAGCCCGTTCGCCACGATGACGGCTGGCGCGGCGGCCGGAGCCGCCCTGTGGGTGGTCATCTATCCGGTGGACGCGGTCAAGTCGCGAATCCAAGCTTGCACGACCACCGCCGGAATCGGCACCTTGGCGACGGCCACGGCCGGCGGCGGGGGCAACGGGAGCGCGGGCAGCACGGCGTTTCTGGGAACCGTCTTGTCGGTGGTGCGACACGAAGGCGTCGGAGCCCTGTACAGCGGTCTCAAGCCCACCATTGTGCGTACGGTGCCCGCTTCGGCGGTCATGTTCCTTGCAATCGAGTATACAAAAACGCTTTTGAATCGTTTATTCTAATCGTCGGTAATAGGATGTGTACCAAACTAGTTCAACACACAAATCTAGACACAGTCTTCCATTATTACTTTTAAGACTTAAGCATAGTTTTTGTTATCTTATTTTATTATACTATATATATTATATATATGTATGTATATTTATATGTTACGTTTAAAAGCTAATTTGTTAAAATATTTTTTTTTTTTTTCTTAGTAGTACACTTGTTTTTTTTTATGTTACCACTTTAGTTGTATCGCGAACACTTACGGGTGTTGCGTTTCGAATACGATTTCGACTATAATTTATTTTGTTTGTGCATGTGACAATAATTACGTCGATGTTAAAAAATTACAGACTTGTGTAGGAAAACAATTTTTTTTTGTTTTTTTTTTTTTAATTAGACGAACAATTAAAACGGCCCACACAAATCGAGTTGTTTATTTCGAGGTACAAATTCATGTACGATCATATTAAGTAATTATTGAATTATTTTACTGGCAAAGCTAGACAGAGATTATATATATATTTTTTTTTAAATTTATTAACGACCCGTGATTGAAAAAAAAAACCGTTTAGATGTTTTTTAATATCGTATAATGTGCCGCCCATTATCGAGACGATGCCTTCGAGTTTATCATCTTGCGGATGATTTGAAAATAACGTATCGTGCTAATTAATTTTTTTTTTTTTATATCGTAACGACCAGAACCGGATGATTTTTTTATTCGTAATATTGTAAATATGGTAATATTGAAAACCGATTTAAATACCTTTTATTTGTTATTCGAAAATAATTTCAAGTGGATGTGTTTAATTGCTATCAATTTCCATTGAGACCGGGCGAGACGATAAATGACCGTTTCGATTTTTCAACAGTGGTCTTAATTGAACGTGGCAATTTAGTGCGATACATATTTTTATCTCGGTACCTAATTGCACACAGTAAACACAATAAATTGCAGCCTAATAATGTGGAGATTAGCGGCAAATAAAAATCAAGTTATCAAATATAAGTTGTGCAAGTAAGCGATACAATTTTGAAACAAACCTTTTTTTTTTTTTAACGAATAGAATGACTTTTTATAGAATTATTCTGATTAACGCCTGAAAGACTGTATTACATTTATATTATTCACTGTCGAGTAACGTGAGAGTTTATCTGTCTAATTACCAATTAAAAAATGTATAGCACTTGATTAGGTTGGCTTAATAGGTTTTTTTTTATTTTCAACTTGATGGTATTTTTTTAACGTTATTATTTATGGAATAGAGGTATTTGATGGCCTTACCTATACTTAAGCTTCCCCTCCCCCCCACCATCTTGCAACAATAACACTTGCCGTTTAATGATTATAATTACTAAGAACCTAATAAAACAAAAGTGCCGTAGGTTCAGCGTCCGCTGTCGAGAGTAAAAAAAAAAACAATATTATTGTAATTTTATGCAAACAGTTTTATCTGTTTATTTTTTTAGCTTCGATGCGAATGTCGAGAAAGGTACCTTTTCTCTTTTAAAAGGACATTTCTCTCTTAAATAAGTTGTCGATGAATTGTACACAAAATACAAACGTAACAAAATTCAAACAACGATTTATAATGTTTTCGACTGTTATTTTTTTTTATATAATGATTGTTATAAAAAAAAAAAAATACAATGGTTCAACACACGCGTTATGATATATTCTTAAATATTAATAATTAAAATTAAAAAAAAAAATATATATGACATGACAAAACTTTGTACAACGTATCGACGATGGACGTATTATATTAGATGGTGTATACTTATTTCAAAAACGTCGGACCGTTATTCAATTGAAACAAATCATGGCTACTTATATTTTAGCGGCGGTGGAATTAGGAGAGACCATTCGCGGAATGTATAATATTATAAAATTGTTATTTATACACATCACAACAATAACACTTAATTAGGACTACGTTAGAATCCGTAAATTATCATTTAAAATATCGGTATTATATACATAGAGTGTATGGGTATAATATTTATATATATATAAATATATATATACATATAAATATGTGTATTACATAATATGTATACATATATCTTTATTATATACAAACATATAATTTTACTTTAAAAAAAAAAAATAAATTGGTTAACAATAATAGTAATTGTATACTTCTTTCCGCCTTCGGTATATATATATATATATTGTAATAATAAATTGTTTCGAACCTTCATGATTTTTTTATTTTCTCATATTGTGAATGTTTTTTATACTTTGGCCTTTTTAAGTACAACCGCTATCGAGTTAACCTTACGACAACGTCGTGTAGTCCAGTTGCACGTACAGATGTCGGACTCCCACCTGAGAGAATATCTGTTCGGCTTGTTTGACGACAAACCTGGCGTCGACCTCGGCCGCGTTCACTTCCAATTTTATGCAGCCGACGTACGAGTCGGAACACAGCGTCCAGAATCTGGGTTCCTGCACGCCGTACACGCCCCTGATCGTTCTCAGTTTTCTGTAGCACTGCTGTAGGACGGACGACGACGATCCCGCGCCGTTCAGGCTCTTTTCTTCCAACTCCACGGGCGTGCGTTGCATCAGTACGCACGCGGAATCTTTCAACAACGGTATAACACTGAGACCGACCAGGCACCCGATGAATATCGAGCATATCGGATCGGCACGCATCCAACCGAAAGCTCGCATCAGTAGAGCGCTGACCACGACGCCGACACTGCCCAACGTGTCGGCCAGAATATGCAAGAAAACGCCTTTCATCAGATGAGACTTTGCGGGATCACTGGACGTCTGGTAATGACTGTGAGAAGAATGGTCGTCGGGCCAACTGTTGACGTTATTGTTGCCGCCGTTGTTGTACATGGGTATTGCGACCGACTGAGGGTTGCTGTTCTGGAGCAGCAGATTGGTTTCTCGTCTGCGGTTGTTGTCTCCGTCGAAATGAGAGTGATTGGTGGAAGCATTGTGGTTGTCGTGCGAATGTCCGTGTCCTCCACCGCCGCCGCCGCCGCCGTGGGAATGTCCGTGCCCGCCGCCTCCTCCACCGTGCGAATGTCCGTGTCCGCCGTGCTGGAAGGCGTAGATGCCCACGAGGTTGACGAGCAGACCGAGGACGGATATCAGGAACAGCCGTTCGTGGTGCACTTCGGGCGGCTCGATGGCCCGTTCGACGGCCTCTTCGAGTATGAAAAAAGCGATGAACAACAGGAACAACGCGTTGACAAAGCCGGCCAGCACTTCGGCGCGCTTGTAGCCGTAGGCGTACGAATCGTCGGCGGGCCACCGGCTGACGATCTGGGCGGCCAGTCCGGCCACCAGGCCGGTGCAGTCGAAGAACATGTGAAACGAGTCGCTGATCAGCCCCAGGCTGTTGGTCCAGCAGCCGTATGCAAACTCCACAAAGGCGAACGTGAAGTTCAACACCAGGAACGCCAACAGATTCCTCGAGTTCTTGTCGGACAGCGCCGACCTGACGGCATCTTTCAGCCGGCTGGCCAAAGGCAGTTTGCCGAAGTTACTGTTGCCGCCCGCGCCGGGTTTGTTGGTCAGAGGAATCATCGTTTGCCGAACAAATTAAATTAGAAAAAAATTGACTGCAGCAACAGCAGCGGGTCGCGTACATTCCGCACTTGCAGCTGTTATCACATTGTTATCGTGTACAAAATGATAACACCTTATCGCAACGCCACGCAATGGAAAAGACGACGCCGCTGTCCGTGGACAAACATTTCGTTGGAGGTAATTATTATTGTTGATAATATTGTGATAACGTCGATGTGATAACGTCAGTAATGCACAATATCGTGATAAGGCGCAGTAATGGCAATAATTATTGTAGTACCGTATAATAATATTATCGTTTGTACATCTAATAAAATGCGAACAAATCGTTTAATGATCGCGCCCTTGGGTAAAAAAAAAACACCGTTTTCACCTTCGGTGCCAATATATTATAGTATTGTTTTCCCATTGTGTATCGACACCAGAATTTTGGGTATTCCAACATATTATAATGACACTACAATTATTTTGCATCAATTTGGTCGGATTTTATCCCGTTGCTATTTTTGCATAATTTATTTTACAAAAGAGTGATTTTTTTTTTTTCGAACATGTTCATAATTAAAATAATATGCCTTCCCTTCGAGGGAAAGATTTGAATTCTGTTTTGTAATCGCACAGCTCACGATCAGTAAACCTACCTATTAAATTTGTATTGTTCATGTTTTTTTTTGTAAGTTCTTTCCAAGTATTTACAAATACTGCTGTTGGAAGGTCACCGATAATTAATACCCAATTGGTTTGCAAGTTTGCTTTCAACTGGTCTCTCATAAATTTTGATTAGTATTTTTTTGTTTGTGTAGTGTTAAAATATTACAAGTGTCGAAGACGTTAGCACAGATTAGATAAAACTATAGCTAAAACAACTATACAAGTATTTAAATTGGATTTAAAAAAAAAAGTGTTATCTAAGCTGTGATATAAGCATATTGTTGGCTTAAGCAAAAAGGAGACACTTGTAAATTTGATTTTGTTATTAATAGAGCTCTGATGTTAATGACCGCATGAATGTATAATAAAATATATATTTAAAAATATCAAAATATGCAATTATATATGCTTTTTTTTTTAAATCGGCCAAACAATTTTAGCCGAATTTTCCAACAGCCGACTCGACATTATATAAATATATATAGGTAACATTTTACATAGTTAGGTTAATTAATTATTTAAAAAGGCATTATTATATGCACATCAGGATTTATGTTGAATTCCAATTATTTTGGTGATGTTTTTCAAATCTAAAAAGAACAAATACAAATCTTGGACAATATTTATCAAAGATAATAACAAAACGAAAAACGTTTTTAATAATATTATTTACTTACAAATGTGCTATTAAATTTGGAAACAATCATTTTATAGACAAACATAAGACCAGATGTAAAAAAAAAGTACATTTTAAAACTTAGCTCTTCCTCTATCATAATAATTGTCCAATGTGTATTCTACCAATAATTTTGCTCATAGGTCATTTTCATTTATATAAATTGCTTTTTTTTTCGTCGGATTACTCTATTAGTTCTATTCGTATTATCGACTATAAAAACTAAAATTATAATTTCATATACTTAACACTACCATTCAGGCCATAATGTATATAAAAAAAAAAAAAAGAGTATATTGTCCTACAAAAAAGAGTACGAGTGCAAAAGTGGCCTAACCCATCAATTAAAAGCAATAAAAAAAAAATTGTACTTTATTTATTTATAAACTTTGTTGTTTGAAATAAATATATGCATATCAATAGAATGTTTAAATATATTTAAGTTATTTTTTTAAATTTATTAAGTTTGGTTAATTTATTATTGACTAATTAATTAAATGTATGGGCATGGCCACTTTTGCACTAAGTTTGGCATTTTTCAAATCGTAGGCAAGTATTTGGATGCGGTAAAATTTATTGTGATTTGACTAAAAAAAAAAAAATATTCATCAGAGTTCAATCGGTATCTAACTTATAATACGAATTGAGAACAGCTCTGGTCTGTGTGTGTGTGTGTGTGTGTGTGAGCATTACTTGCTTTTTTTTTTTTTTTTGGTGGTGGTCTTTTCAGGTGGATCGTTTGGCCAGCAAATAATAATAATAATAATACGGTACGGTACACCTAACCGAGCGTTGTGTGTAATTGATTTAAACGGGATTGACATTTTTCAGACCGGCCTCGGTTTAAGACCTCCACACGACCGCATAATAATATTATCATTACTGTTACCTATTGTTAACGTACAGACTACAGAGGGTGATTGTATGCGACAACAACACAACCGTGCGATTGCGGGTTTTATTATTTTTGGGGGGGGGGGTGGGGGGGATACGACGTGTCGATGTGTGATAGCAGCTACTGTCATCATCATCATCATCATCGTCATCGTCGTCGTCGTCGTTATTATTATTATTATTTTGTTATTTCGTATCATTGTACATATACGGTAACCTATATGTGTGTATTGTATATATTATGGCCATCGGTGTGTGTGTGTGATAACCGCAGTGTGTCGTTCGAGTGCAGTCAGTAGTTGACGTTCAATAGTGTTCAACATCTTATGTCGGTTTTCCTTGGCCGTCCATTCCGGCTGCTGCTCAAGACCGCCGCCGCCGCCGTCTTATCTGTCAACAAATTACTATTACTATTTTATATTACTAACTTATTGCTATTATGCGGTAAACGAAAAAAAAAAACCGTTTTGGCCCGAAAACACCAAATTTTATTTCCACTTGAAATTTTCAACAAAAAAAAAAAAAACCAACCAACACACACACTTTTTAATGGTGCTACGATATTATGCCGTGCCCTTTGGCCGTTGAACGGTTCACAATGTCGTTGACGGGTCGAACGACGACGGGCAACTCGTCGGTCGATAACGGCCTGATGATATCGTCCGGACGCCTTTAACCGCCACCGGTCGACCGCGCTATGACCGTCGGGGTCTGGGTCCGGGGTTTTTGACCATAGCCATTTTTTTTGTTGTCGTCGTTTTTCCTTTTCCTTTACAATACCACAACAACATGTGGTGGCGTCCGTCTCGTTTGCGCGGTTATTACGCCACCGTGTCGACCGAAGGATCCGCCACGGGCTCGGCCGGTAACATTTTAATGATGGTAGTGGCCGCGGCCGCCAATCAAAAGAAGAGAAGGACCACGACGTTGGGAGGAATGGCCGTGCTGACTTTGGTGTTTCTGGTGTACTACATTTGCCTGTACTCGAATACGTCCAATTACGTGCTCGTAGTGCCCGCCGGCGAAGACAGTGAGTATTAAGCTAACTGATTTGTATGAAAATGTTTGTGAAGATATTTTCTGTTTGACATTGAACTAGGACTTCACTTCCTTAAAAGGAAATGTCTTATCGTTGATCTAGATTGAAAATAGATATCGATATAATTTATAAATATGTTTATTTCTGGAGCGATAAGTGCCAAAATTACTTTATTTTGGTCATAAAAATATTCCCTCAATTGTAGAAATCATTATAAACTATCTAGATCCAGGTACTATTTGTTTGTCCACCACAGATAGGTTTCTGAGCACATTTTTTTAAATGCAATTAGTTGGTTGGGTTTTAGTTTAAAGTTTTTCTCAAAAACTCTTACAGATTTAAGACTCTATTTCTTGAGTTAAATATTTGATTGATAAATCGAAATTAAGTTTTTTAATTGCTTAAGTGAATGTTGTTTATTTAAATTTTTTTTTTTCGCGATGCTTAAGAACTTGTTAAACAAACTAAAGTTGATTTTGAAAAAGTTGCTTGGGAGATATTATTTAATTAATTACATACAAACTCAATAAATAATACAATCTTTGCGTCTTGTTGATAGTAACATTAATTAAGTTTAAAGTAATATGTAGTTTAAATGTAGAATGTACATTAGTGTTATTTGTAATACAATTGTTATATTTATTTTTTTTGAAAAAAACTCTAATTCGCTCAAAAATGCCATTTTTCTTTTTGCAGCTTGTATTAAAAATAAAAAAATATATAAATATTAAGTACAATTATTACAATATAAAAATGTGTACTTAAGTGAAATATTTTGATGAAAATTAAAATGTGCTTAACTTTGACAATAAATTGCTTTTGGTGTTGTGTTTTACTTTTACATTTTTGTTAAAAATATATTTTTACTTAGGTACACAGCTTTGTATTGCAATAATATTTATATTATATTATATTTATATTAATAATTAAAAGTGGCTTAAATAGAGTTTTTTTTTTTTTTGGTGAATACCAAACTTAAACGTTATCTATAAATGTGTTATAAAGTTATGTGAAAAAAAAAGGAAATTAAAAACTATATAAAATTGTTAGTAATAAAATAACTTGATAATTTTAAATAAAGGTATAAATCTAATTTGTTTTGTGATTTAAACGTAACCCCTTTAAATTAAAAACAATAACAAAAATCGATTAAAAGTGAAATATTATAATAATTAGACAAAAAAGAAGGTGGGCTTTAGTTTTTTTTTCTAATCAAAACTTGTTTATAGATAGAGAATTTTTATGTTTTAAAAAGTTCGAAACATGCACTAATAAAGTCTTAAAATATTCTCTCAATATTCCGTTAAAGTGCGGTACAATTTTTTCAAAGAAATTCTCAAACCTGAAATTAATCTCTTATCACCAAAATATTCTCTAATATGGAAAATACAAAATTTTTTTCCATGAATTTTATCGACAACTTGTTAAAGCCGATAAACTTATGTATAAACCTAAAAATCCACTTATTTATTTCTCACATAAAAATTGTTAATTTTGCTTTCAGATCCAATGTCGTTGAGTCCGGCTTCGGCGTTGCACTTGACCGGCGACAAACGTTTGGCGAAAAATGCCGGTAGCTCAAAGAACGAAGTTGGGAATAAAATGGGCAACGCATCGACTCCGGCGAAAAAAATCGGAGCAGCTACAACCACTGCCGAAATTTACGATCGAGGGTTTCGGATCGACGGTCGAGGTATATGTACCGAAAATACTCGGTTGTTGATAATTATCACGAGCAGTGCGGCGTCCAGTCATGCGGCAAATCGAAGAGCAATTCGCATGACTTGGATGTCCAGGTACGGCGGTCACGTATCGACAGTGTTTCTACTTGGCACGCCCAACAAATCCGACGGCAAGAAATCCGACAAGAGCAAAGAGGAAAATAAAAATGAAAATGAATTTTCGGATTACTTTTCTCCTATTGCCGACGATAGTTTGTATCAAACTAGCCCTTTGAATGTATCGATTTCCGCCGGCTCCTCTTTGGATATAGATTTGGAACTCCAGCAGAAAATAATCTTGGAGAACCAACGGTACGGCGATATTGTGCAGACAAACGTAAGAGACACCTACACGAATTTAACGCTGAAATCGATCGCCGCTCTAGAATGGACTCTGGAGTACTGCCGTTGGGCGCGATACGTACTGAAGACCGACGACGACATGTTTATCGACGTTCAGCGGTTGTTGATTTTCATTCGGAACTTCGAGGTGCGCGAATGGAACGACAGGAAGAAAAAACTCGACGAACAGTTGACGCAAAAAACAAAATTATATTTGGAAAAACCTCATGCATCCAATTTGAGTAACGCCGCCGGCTCGCTGTCGTCTCAAATTCCACCGATCAGCAACGATCCCATGATCTGGGGCAGGCTGGCAAAGAACTGGAAGCCTATACGACAACTATCGTCAAAGTACTACGTCAGCCGACAGCAGTACAAGCCGGCGGTGTACCCAAACTTTTGCACCGGGCCGGCGTACCTGCTGACTCGAGGCGCCGTCGGGCCCATTTACAAACGGGCTTTGGGCATGGCCGACAATCGGACGGCTTCACAGTCCAACCTCTCCAGTCCGCCGTACTTGAAGTTGGAGGACGTGTTCCTGACGGGAATCGTCGCACAGGACTTGGGCATACCGCGCAAGCACAACGAAGCGTTCGCCAACAAACGTCTGAGCGGACGGCAGCTGGAAAAATCCATTTGCTTCACGCCGACTCTGTCGAAAATCAACAGCGAAGAGGCTTCGTTGAGCTACGGCAAAGTTCCCACGTTGAAAAAGAAGTTTGTGTCCAACAACATAATATCCATACACATGGTGAAGTATCACGAACAGTTTGACTTGTGGCGCAGACTGATGGACGGACGCACAAAATGCAAGTAAAAGGCTGAAATTTTGGCAATCGACCGTGGCCAGGCATCGTACACGACAAAAGTTTTAGTTAGCGTTAATATTTTAGAGTATATATATATATATATATATATTTGTGTTTATTTTCCTATAACGATAAGACAACGGACAACAGTGGCCAGCGTGTTTGGAATACATTCGTTTGGAAAAAAATTATCTCAAAATGGAAATGCGTTCTTTCCAAACACACTGGTACAGGTTTGTCGTGGACGAAACCTAGCCGTTTAAAATTTAAAAAGGTTTACGATGTGGGCCAATAACGCGTTATTAGTAAACAAAGAAAGGTACAAGTTTGTTATGAATTGATAAAAAAAAAAAAAAAAAAACCTATGCCCCTGTAGTGATATTGTGTAAAGCACACACACACACACAACTAATCTCTCTACTAGCTCTCTTCTACTATTAATTAATAATAATAATTATTTTGTTTTTTTTTTATCGCTTTAAGGTATACAATTTTTTACAATCTACAGTTTGGAGTAGACAAAAAAATGAGTAGCTAATTGTTTTTTTTTATATTTTAAGTACCATACACGGCTACGCTATGTGTATTATTTATTCTACTTGTTGTATTTAATTTAAACAAACATAGCAATAACCTATTATTTTCTACGTACATTTTGAAATACAGTATTGGCATGTATACCAACTATTAAGCTATTCGTGTTACGTTAAACAGTATAAATATATTTATTAAGATACACCCCAAAGGACGTATACGCATTTCAAGTAGGTAGTACCTAGTAGTGAATTTTTTTTGAAAATTATATTAAGAGAGATTACCATGATTATATTTTTTTATCACACACCATATTGTAATGTAAGTATATATTGTATATACAAAAAAAGTTCATATATATATATATTTTTTTTTTTGTTACTAAAAATCAAATTTTGGTTTTATCGTCATCACTGTTAGTTTTTATTTTAGAGAATTATATTTTATAGAGTTTATTGATTTTGAATTTTCGATAGAAAACCTCTGTATTTTCAATGTTAATAATTTATATTATATTTTAAAATATTGTGTCGCGTTAGCCACTATTGAACGCCTTCATTAGAGTTACGTGTATTTATATGTATATATATATATATACATATATAAATTATAATGTCAAATTTTAGTCGTAGTCATAGTATTAGGTATGTTAATGTATGTTTTTTTTTTTACCAACCAACACGAATCAAAAATATTATACGATATATATTATTATTATTGCGACGAGACATCGTAGCGGTTGAAATTGTTGCTGTATTTGTATACTATTTTTACTGTTGATGCGAACAAAACAAACAACTCTGTAATAAAAACAAATACGGTTGTATTGTAATACATATAAATAAGTTTTTCAATTTTTTTTGTTTCTAGTATAATAATTTGATGGAAAAATGTCAAATAGTTATTTCCGTTTGTGTTGTTTACGGCAAAAATATTTCATACGCATTCAACGGCCACATAGAAAACATATATTATTATACAAGAAGGACGATGCGCAAATGTTCAATTAACACATCCTAGTCTCTAGGTCAGTCCAATCTAGACTATTCAATCAGTCGTATACTATTTGACTCATCTTGCATGACACATTATTAATATTATTATTTTCGTTATTTATTTATTGTCATATTATTAAAAGTAGGGTGACTCCGACCGATTGAACGCGTCAAGTATATAATCGACGTTGTTAACGTTGCTTTTATTAAGGAATTAGTTCCCGTTTCGTCGTTCCTATTTAAAATCAAAAAGTACCATGTTGTTATACAAACACCTTTTCTTACACACTTTTTAAAAATAATAATGGATTTTGTTGATTCATGTTTTTTTATCAGATTCCTAAAAAAAAAAAAATTGTAATTTACATTTACTAATTAAATGCTTTACTAAAAATTACCAATAATTTGTTATAAAAAAAAAAACTTCTATTATTTTCAATCGTTTTTACAACACAACACGATTTAAAATATTAAAATTTTTAGCTATAGTTATTTGTAAAAAAAAAAACGCTCAAGTTATATTATTTGAAAGGAAACATTGGAATAGGTTAATTTTTGAAACGGATAATAGATTAATTTAAAATTAATAAATATTAATTTTGGGCGATTAGAAACCCTAACGGATTCAAAATATAAAGAAAAATGTGTTTAACATTAAAAAAAAATCATATAAATCTTTTGGGCAGTAAATTGGATTTTAAAGTTGATAATATTTATAATACAGAAAAATGTTTATTAAACAAGTAAAAAACAAAAACTTACAAAACTCTAAATAGAAATGGAATAAACATTTTTATTTATTTCTACTTTTATTAATAAAAAAATATATTAAAGTTTGTTCCAAACCTCAAAACAATTAACTAATTCCCAACGAATTTATCAATATTTCAAAAATATATTTAAAATTGAAAAATTCGTTTAGAATCAGTTAATTGTTTTTGAGTTTTGGAACAGACTTCAATATATTTTTTTAATTAATACAAGTATTTCGTTTTAAACACAACCAAATATTACAATTGGGTTTGAAATTTGATGTAATCGCATTTTTTCTTAAACTTATTTTTCCTAGGCAATGCATGTATTTATGTATTACCATTATATATCTGAGTAATGATGGGTTTTTCCCATAGATTTTTAATGCATTTTATTCAATTTTTTAATGGATATATTTAAAGTTTTGTTAAAGTTTTTTGTTTCAAGCCAAATAATGTTTTTATAAATAAATATACAGAAAAAAATATGTCAGATTTCTTAATAACAATAAAAAAAACTAGCACAGAATAATATTATACCTGTAAGTTGAATCTGTGGATGGTAGACATTTTTTAATGGGTATGGATAAAAAATCATTATACATTAAATAGGCTAATTTGTTTAAGATTGTACCTACTTTTAGTTTTTGGTTGAACACCGATAGGACTGATTGACAGTCTATCATAGCTGCTATTGTTTATGTAAGTAACCTTTATACACCTGTATATATATATATTTTTTAATTTATAATTTTCCTTATTAAAAAAAAAAAAGGGACAACATGTTCTCCTAGAAAATTGTCTGTGTTATAGCCTCATTATAGATCTACTAATGTTTTTTTTCCAGACCTAAACATACAACAGACAGATCAAAATAAATCTGGAAATAAAAGAAAAGTTTTCACAAATTTTGTGTGAAAAGGATAATGATCTTTTCATCTTTATAGTTTACACTAGTAGAGTATAAATCCAGTTCATAGATAAATGATAACCGCTGTCCACGTCCCATAGGTAACCACTGGTTGACCTGTACAATGATACCAACCTAATTTTGGCCAAGACTATGTTTAAAAATAGTTCTCATTTTTAAAGGGAAAATAATTTGTTTTTAATTCCTCCAGGAATTCCATTCATTTGCATTCACACTTCGCTTTCCTTAAGAATAAATGTAATGCATTCATGATTGCATTTCTCTAAAAAGGAATGAAATTCTATGAACGCATTATTTCCAAACACTGCAGTTAAACCCAAGAAGTGTGTACCAAATAAAATTAGCTTATTTTCTACTACTATGGTACTACGACCAAAATATAAACATAAAAATTAAAAATACACTTTTAATGCGTACATGATACAATTTAAGTAAAGGAGGAGCTTCAGCCCTATCGACACCTGCTAGGCTATAATATAGGGATGCCAGATTTAATTTCAAAAATACAGAACATTTGTTCAACACATTTTTACCTTGATGATATTTATTACCATTCCATCTATACATCATCGAATGTTTTTTTTATTTAAAGTTAGCACCAATTTCTGATAACCTTCGACCTCTCCCATTCCAATATATTGTTCTGCCCTTACAAATATTGATTTGAAATCTTTAAAAAAAATGCTGTATAGTGAAATGGTATCATTTTAACAAAATTTAATACATAGCATAGTGACATAATTGGAAAAAAACACATAGCTTTTCAGTACCTAAAATAGTTTAAAAAACGTTTTTCTGTCATCATATAAAGGGTGTCTCAAAAAGAACGCCGGATTTGAAAAGGCCGGTCTTTTTTTTTTTGTTGGCAGCATTGGGTTTGCTATTTTTGTTATCTGTTATTGAGGTTTTGTGTTGAAAAGGAGTTTCCTATATATGTACTTGTATGTAGTTTTATAGACAATTTTTTTTAAATATTGCTTATGGCAATTTTCAAGTGCTATTTTTTTTTTTTTTGTAGATATTTTTCCTTTTATAAAAAATAGTTTTTGAGTCATTTTAACTTGTGTGTGTGTGTTTTTTTAAGGACTTACAGCCCATCTCAGATCCGGTCTCTAATTGTTATTATTATTATTATTATTATTATTATGCTAAACCGTTATATCGGTATACCTAATCAATTCACCGACGACCATGATGATGAACACTATTGTCTATTAAAGAAGATGGGTATTGTAAACTCGTTGAACTCGACGGTTCTGGGAAACGCACATTGGACTAAGTAAGTATATTATACAAGTGGGATAGGAGAGGTTAACACAGCCATTCGTCGTCGTTCATAATAATAGAGGCTGGCGATAAATGCCAGATCTGTTTTATTGTGTATATATTATACAAATGTATACAGGGCGATAGATTTAACAAAGTAAGACGCACTCGTTCTGTTCGTGTCTGTTTTGCCTGAAAACACTTATTACAATTTCGTGATTTATCTTTGTGTACACATTTTACTTTACTTTATGTTACAGCGCATTGAACGATAAACACATTTTTTTTGGTAATTCCTATTAACTTAATAGGAAACTGAAATACTGTGGTAACTTACATACAGGGTTAAGGTTATCAAAAAATCATGTGACAGTAATTTTTTTCTACTGCACTTATTCGTAAAATGTTATATATATATATATATTAAACGAGTCAAAAATATGATTAATATTGGAAAATATTTGCTTAAGTGGTAGTTTTAAAGGGTAATTTTAAAATGTTCAATATATAACTTTGTTTTATCTTCATTAATTTTCAGTCCTATTCTTTGGCTAACTTCTATTATCTTTAGTGTACTTGAGATTATCTGGTCTTGGGATTCTCCTAAGATAACAATATCGTCCGCATATGCCAGTAAGGTCCTGTTCCCAGCTAGTTCCATGGACCTGTTATCTTTCATATCTCTTACCACATGTTCCAATGCCAAGTTAAACAGCACTGGAGACAGTGCATCTCCCTGTCTGAGCCCTGTTTTTATTTCAAAACTTTTGGACGTTTCTCCTAAATAACGCACTTGGCACATCGTATTTTCATTGGTACAGCTATTGATTAATCTCACAAGTTTTAAGGCGATTCCAAAGTTTTTAAGTATCGTCCAGAGTTGATCTCTGTTAATGCAGTCGTGTGCTTGCTTAAAATCAATGAACATCAAGTGTAAATCTCTATTGAACTCATAATATTTGTCTACTTAAAATTACGACTTATTTATTTATCAACAATTTTCAAACGCTATAGCTAATATATTTTATAAAAAAATATAAAAACTTTAATTAAATAATTTCACAATCAAAAAATATATACCTAATAAAAAACTTTATTTACTAATTACTAATCATATCTAATGCCAATATTAATTTTTAAATGATATCTGTTCAAAAAACATAATTTTTACTATTGAATTGAATAAATAATATGGTGACACTATCTGTAATGAATTTTTTTTTAAACTTTTTTTTCACCCAAATGATAAATCACCGTTGTTGATAAATTCTAACTCTGTTATTTTCATAATTTCAGTAAAACTTGCCACACTTGATGTATGAAAGATTTCTTATCAAAAAAAGTCTTTTTATTCTGAAAAATATTATTTCAAAATAAGATATTCAAACTTTTAAAAATCAAATGGAATCATAGTTCATACATACTTGATTTTCCTATTGAAACCAGAATAATACAATACAAATAATGACTGCTCGATAACTAGATAAGATTAAATACTATTCAAGTATTTCATTGACGTTTAAACATAATATAGGCTGGAGATGGGGTAAACTGTACCTAATCAGTAATGTTTTATATTCTATAAGCGAGACTTGCACTTTGAATGTTAATAATTCAAAAACTATTATTCCTCAAAACTGGTTATCGATTAGTCGTTGATTGTCGTTTCAGCAAATTATTCTTTATTTAAAATGTTAATTATTATTAATAAAGGAAGACAGGGCACATCCGTATTATCTTCTTAGTTAGGTATTTTACCTAACTAAAACGAAGGGTACAAGGAAAAAACCATAAAAGTAAATTTATTTTTTAATAATGTTTTAAAATTTAAAACTCAAGTGGGGTCGTTGGACTCCTCCTATCATGTTTTCATGTTAAATAACATTAGTTATCCAATCATTTGTTTAATGCTTTTTTCGTATATAGACTGTAAATATACTGCAAATAAAACATAATAAAAAATGTCAAAAAAATACTTAAAAAAAGTGTGCGGTAAAATGTTTTATCGTTTTTTGGTTCAATTTGATGTTATTTTTTTCAAATTATAATACATTTGAATATCTGATGTGTTTGATCTATTTTGTATGCCAGCATCCGGTTGAAGTTAGTTTGAAAACACTTTGAAGACAATTTACATATATTAAGTTTGAACAATACCCTCGTTTAAGAATAAACCGATTTGTTATGTTGTATTGTATACGTTTATATTTAATTTGTTTCTTTCGTTGATTTTTTAAAGTGTTTATTGGTTTATTTAAGAATACTTTTTGTTACTTGGAAGCAAATTACACATAAAGTGCTCGGATATTATAGAGAAATAATTTGGAAAAATCAACTAAATAATTATTTTATTAAGGGATTTACTATTTTAATTTATTTTTTAAAGATTTTTTACATACATATTTATTTATACAATAAAAATATTGATAACTTTGATTTGGCTTTTTCTCAAAACCGTCGTTTTTGCATACCTATTAGTTCAGTAATTTTTTTGTTTTTTTTTTATCTAACACTATCATTAATGTTTTTGAAACTATACAAAGTGATTTAATGAATTTCAAACGCTTAGAAGCGGATCTGTATATTGTATAACCTAGTGCAGTTTAAATCAGTACAGTTTATACCAGTAGAGTGTAAATCAAGTTCATAGATAAGTCAAGTTTATAGATAAATGATAATCGCTGTCCATGCCCCACAAGTAACCACTAATAAACCGTTAAAAAATACACTTTTAATGCATACATGATACAAATTAAGTAAAGGAGGAGCTTCAGCTCTGTCCGCATCTGCTGAGCTATAACATTATAGGGATCTCAGATTAAATTTAAAAAATACAGAACATTTGTTCAACACATTTTTACCTTGATGATATTTATTACCATTCCATCTATAGATCATAGACATTTTTTTTTGTTAAAAGTTAGCACCAATTTCTGTTCTTATAATTTCTGATAACCTTCGGCCTCTCCCATCCCGATATATTTTTCCGTCTCCACAAATATTTGTATGAAATCTTTAAAAAAAAATGCTTTATAGTGAAATGGTCTCATTTTAACAAAATTTTATACATAGCAGAGTGGCGCAGTGGAAGCGTGCTGGGCCCATAACCCAGAGGTCCGTGGATCGAAACCACGCTCTGCTAAAGAATTTTTTGTAATTTTTATAATTTTCATAATCAAATTTGAACCGAACAGGTCAGTATAGGTGAATCATACATTTATCTCGTTTATACAAATAAATTAAGAATCAAAATACGTTGATAATATTCAAGGTGATTTATTGAGGACTAGTAAATCGTCGTGTCTTTAAAAATAGCGTACAATTTTTTTTATAACATGACCTTTTTTTATAACTTAAACAGCTTTTGAAATTTAAATAGCAACCTACATATTTATACAAATTATATATATTGCTAAATATGCGAAGTTGAAGGTTGTAGAGGAAATTAAAATCCTGAAGGGAGAAGTGAAGTGAAAAAGGGGGGAGGTTAGAGGTGAGAAATTAGAGATAAAATATTCGATATGAGAAAGTACCAGGGTCCTTATTCTTGTATGTTAAGACAACTCAGAGGTCATGGCAACTTTTTTTTTTTTTTATAATCATATTAGCCAATATTATAATTTATAACATATCATACTCGTATTCGGTAATTAATAGAATAAAATATTTATACATAACCAACTGCTGATACAATAATTTGAAATAATATGCAATACTGAAAAAACCTACCATAAATTTCAAAAGCTGTTTAAGTTATAAAAAAATGTACATATTGTGAAAAGAATTATGCTATTTTTAAAGACACAACGATTGACTAGTCTTCAACGAATCACCTTGTACATTATGAACGTCTTTTGATTCTTGACTTAATTGACCTGTTCGGCTCAAATTTGAAAAATATATATAAAAATGACAAAAAATTCCTTAGCAGAGCGTGGTTTCGATCCACGGACCTCTGGGTTATGGGCCCAGCACGCTTCCACTGCGCCACTCTGCTATGTACTAAATTTAATTAAAATGAGACCATTTCACTATACAGCATTTTTTTTTAAAGATTACAAACAAATATATGCAGGTACGGAACAATATTATACTGGAATCGGAGAGGTCGAAGGTTATCAGAAATTATAATAACAGACATTTTTGAAACTCAATAAAAATGTTACGGCGGTACATTATGTTAAGTTGTTATCAGGTCTTATCAAGTCTTATCAGTTCTTATCAGCTCTTATTTCTTGTGTTATCACTCCCATTGAAAATATTCTCCGAAGGCTGTTATACAAGAAAAGTAATTATTATAAATAACTAATAAATTACAGTACAGCTGGACCTATATATCAGTGACTAAACGTCATCGTCTTAGTGATGCATGTTTGAAATGATTTTGTTGTTAAAACAAAATAAACACTTAAATGGCTAATAATAATTATAGTTAACTGATTTACCAATTTATATTGTATATTTATAAAAACATTTTACATTTGTTCCATATTTCTTATTCATTACGATTAGATGGCATAATATACTAATTTAATTAGGAGTTAATAACTTTTTATTTACCGTTTACCTATTTTCATATAAAGGAGCATCATTACCAAATATATTTTTAAAGGTTACCTACAGCTGTTACTATTTCTCCACACAAGAGTAAATATTTTAAAAAGATTGTTTTATTCGAAACACACTTGAGAGAATGCTTTTCATTTTTTTTCTTCTTATAAATGTGAATGCATTCATTTGAATATAAGAAATTGCCAAGCTTCACAGGTGACCACTGACTAACCTCTACAATGATACCACTCAAATTTTGGCCAAGACCATGATAAAAGAAAATATTATTCTCATTTCTAAACGGATATTTGTCTGGTACTTTTTTTTGAATTCCATTCATTTGCATTCACATTCCGAAATAAAATCAACGCATTCACGAATGCATTCCTATGATAATGTATTCTTACCAAACACTGTGTAAATTGAGTTGGACAGCGTGTTATGCAAGCAGGTATGCTTGTCTACAAAGAATCATCTTAGAATAATCATCCGGTATAATGTACTGTACTGTAGTACATACACATTATTATTATTATAGCTGTTATTACTTATTATATACTTATTACTACAGTGTGCTGTGCTACAACAAGCGCCAACTATATAGATTAGCAGCCGGCGATCACGTGGTCGTCACGTTCCTTACCCACTCCGCGCACACACAACTCACAAGTCTTGAAAAAGGTCTTTGAATCAGCCATACACGTTATTTTCTCATCGTATACACTTACATATTAATATATACAGTACATAATATAATTCCACTTTTAAATTTGTAAAACGTCATTGGCAATCAACAACGCGCGTCGTGGCTCGCCTCTCGCTGCAGTATCTATTATTATTATCATCATCATCATCTGCCAGACGTTCCCGGTAAGATTATACCTAATAATAATATTATTATCATTCGAATATTTGAACGAAACCGACCGATTGTCTGTGTGTGTGTATTGATAATATATATAATATATTATAACACAATAATAGTAGACAGTTTTTTTTTGTTGTTATTGTTTTAGTATTGCAATTGGTCTGTGGACGTTCATGCGCAGGTACTATACACACAATAGCTGCTACTGTAATAAAAAATCAATCGTTTTCTGAGGAATTGTGTTTTTTTTTTAGGAAACCGAATTAGTCTTTCAACATGTCTGCACACAACGATGGCAATACCAATTTGTATTCCAAAGACACGCCGGATATCGAGGTGGTTATCTTATTTAAAAATCATTATTATTATTAATATTAAAACAAAAAATATTATGTAGATGGTAGGATGGCGCAAAAACGGTTATCAACTGTTAAACTGAAATTTTCACTAACCGTAGAAAAAAAAAAAATCCAGAAATTAAACTCATTTCGCACTTGTTTATACTTATTTCTTATTATATGATTAGATATACATTTTAATATACACAGAAAAATTCAGAAAAAAAACCTTGTTGGGGTCAAGTCACTATTTTCCCCCTGATTTTAGTTGACTTTAATCTTTTTGAGTTTTGTAATTTTTTTTATACATACCTACTTAATTCGCTTTGAACCGTTATTTTATTGATAAAAGGGTCTAGTATCTATTAAATACGTTTTTATTTTGTTACATTTCCAAATTGTTTATAATATTTTTATTAATGTGACATTATTATAAATATTAAATGTATTTGAAATATCGTTATCATAAAAATTACTTACCTAACCATTTTGTTTAAAAACAGAAAGTATAAATCCAACTCAATAATATTTAAGTCATTTTTTTTAACTTTAACAGATATTTTGTTTTCTATTTTTATGAATTGAAATGTGCACAGAATACAAAATATTAAATGTTTTTATTATCCTATTGAAAAATGTTCTTCTAAAACTTATTTTCCATTTCTAGGGAAGTTTATAATTGTTGACTTATTCAATATCAGTCATAGTCTATACTTTTGGCCTACCTTTGGCCACTATTTTAATAATAATTTGATAGGTATATTACTTACGGTATTTGACTTGAATAATAATTTATTGTAAATAAATTAGGTAAACAAACAATTTTAGTTTGAGTTTTTTAAATAAATTATTGATAATAATAAAATAACCAGACAACCTATGGAGCTTATCCGATAGAGTTAAGGTCATTACCAGAAAAATGTAATTTTCACATAATATAATACACAACTACACAATATGTTCAAAAAGTGTCCTTGTTATATTTAATAATCAAAAATGGTAATTACTCTTTGTGTGTATTGTACTCACAATCAATTAATCTAAACAAACTTATGCATTGGGCTTTGCTCGTTGATATATTATATATATATATATATATATATATATAAATATATCTTAAAAATATTTTTTAAGAGTAATTATTAGAAAGAATTAATAACAACTTATATATTGCTATTTGCCCATTGATTTTATTGCATAGGATTTTATTAGAATTTTTTAGATAAATATTTTGCAAGGGAATATTTTTTAGTGTAAACAAAACCCTAACAAGAAATTATTTATGAAACGCAAAATTCCACTTAATGTTTAAACTTAATTGCTTTATCGAGGAATTACAGAAAATTAAAAAAGTACTTAAAGTTTATTAAAAAAATATATGATACGTTTGTTATTAATATCAATCTGTATTTAAATAGCTCAGTGTTTGAACTTTTCAAAAATTCGAATGAATTTAGGTGAAATAAAAAATGGTTTATAAAATTAATTTTAAATATTATACGGTTTTTTTTTTGTAACTTAAACATTTTTCCTATGTTGAAAATAATCATAGGCACTTAAACAATTTTAAATTTACAAGTTGAATAGTTGTTTATTTTGTTGGGGAAAAAATATAAAAATATATTTATTTTTAGTATTTGCTAACAAGAAGAGTGTAAAGGTATCTCAGGGTTAACTTGGAACTTATTAATTTGTTTAGCCTCCCTAAAGGAAGTGACTTCGATCTAATGTCTAAGTATCAAGTTTGTTTGTTTTTTTACTAACTTATGAAAATTTGGCATTAGGTTAGATTGGCCAATATTGCTTTTTATATTATTTTATTTGTAAAGTAAAATCCGAAAACCGCTAAAACTATGATTATTTTGTTGAAGGCATTTGATTAATATAAATAAATTAGCTATAACGTCGTTTGAATAAATAATGGAATATGATAGTGTATAATATTATGAAATGAAATAATCAATTTCGTTTATTCAACGAAACCTGTACATTAGATAATAATGCGATAATATTTAAGATAGGCTTAACAGTACATACTAATTGATTCAACGTCGGAGAAAATTGAAAAATATTATCAGTATACATTATAATATTATACCTACTCGATAGGTACCATCTATTTTAATTTGGTACACGTGCATTGATAGAGCTATGGCAGTAGGAAATCATTTTAAAAGACGAGTATTATAATGCTTGGTCGATAAAGAGAACAGCAAAGAGACCTTTTAGAGTATACATAGTTCATTATTTTTAGCGATAATAGAACTATATACAATTATATATATATATTTCCATTTTTTTCGTTAAATTAATTCGAGTTGTTCTACTTTGATAAAATGTATTATATTAGATATTCAATGTGAAATCAACACAAGAATTTCCACATGTACCTACTTAGTATTTTTTTCAGACATTGACTTAATATTCAAGGTGATTATGCATTAAAGTTAAGACATTCATTTTCACTTAGGATAATTGCAATTTGGAGACACTTAAGTTTATGTTATTTTACAATACTAACCACTATCCGAATATTTGCATCCTTTTTGTTTTTATTCCAGATCTCTTATCAACTCCTGTTATCACACCTCTGGCCTCCTGTTATCATGCCTTCTCCTCTTAACACTGATAAGAGCGGTCCGTTTGTAAACACTGGTCGACCATACGGCCAAAACGTACTACTTGAGTGCCTTATCCTTAAGGAATCACTCTGTTTATTATAAATGCTAAAAAAAAATGGTGATGCACATTTTCGGCTGGAAATTAATGCTTGCTATTACTTTACCAGTTACTATTTAAATCATTATTTTTTTTCATCTTAAAAAATGTAGACTGTAAAAGTTTAGTCGTAAGTAATTGTAAGCTTTTGAAGACATTTTAAAAATAATAAGTGTTTTTCCGAATTCAGGAAACCTAGGTCTGAAATCTCCTTCGGTCAATCTCCTAAGCTGTAAGTCCTAAGTCAAACCTTCGGGCCTTGGGCTTAGTTTGGCAAGCTACACACGGGAAAATTATGATAAAATGTTGGTCTGCTGTATGTTAATTTTTTTTTTCATCCATACAGGAATTGTTGCGGTTGAACCCAAAGGTAAAAAATACTGGAAGTTCGGTGTGCGCCAAAGTCAAGCCAACGGTTCGCACAAAATTCGATCGTCGACACTATAAGCGAAACTCGACTTTCTGCGAAGTAAGTACATACACAGTGTTGAATTGAAAACTAAGTACAGGAGGTCAACCTTAGATCTGGAGAAGTTTAAATCCTCCTATACTTGTTCAGGCCCCCCCCCCCCCCAAAGAAATGTCAGCAACCAATCAGGCAAAGCTAACAAGTAAGGATTATAATTTTTTAAATCTGAGGGAGCTTTAAGAGTTTTTAAAAGGCCTGGATTTCCTTAGCATCCCCCCCCCTTTTAGTTGCGCCATTGGGTATGATGAATGGAAGTGGTTAGTGTTTGGCACAGGATAAGAAAAACAATAGGCAAATGGAAGTGGTTGAATAGGATTGTGTTGACCAGGGGTGGATGTGGGATGACTAGGAGAGACACGGAATAAGGAATGAGAATTGAGTATACAAAAATTCCTAGAAGGAAATATTTATAATTTACAAAAATGGCCAGAAAAAAAAAATGGTCAACCACCAAAATGGCCAAAAGATATTTTTTAATTTTGAACATGTTTTTAAAATTATCCAAAAATCATATATTTAAAAAAAAAACTATTAAAGGACAATTAATATTTTATAACTTAATTAGGTTAGCACATAATTTATAAAGCTAACACACGCATGTTAGGTAAAAATAAAAAAAATTTAGAATTATTAGTTGAACTTTTAGAACTTGATAAGAGATAGTTTTTGGTTATGTTAGCAGTCTTTATATAATATAGAAATTAAATTAAAAAAGACAAAATATTGAGGAAGTTATTTGCCAATGATTGGTAGCGACTTTTTAAGTTTATTTCCATTCATTTGTTTTTTATCGAGTCGTAGAATTTTTTTTGCATAATACTAGCGTTTCCTATTTGAATATTTTTTATTTTAAAATCAATTTTTAAAACCATAATTGCTCATCTAAATTCCAATAATAACACCTATAGTTTTGACCACATTTATAGTTTAAACTGAACAAACTAGCATTCTAATTGAACTTTGCCATTATCTATTCGTTTAACTGCCAATTAAAATACAGGACATTAATAATTATTAGTAACATTATTCAATTTTAATTCAATAATAAATTGTATTATTTCAATGCAAGTATATTGTGTCTAATAATTCAAAGATGTGTATTTTCAATTTGTTCATCTTTACATGCCAAAGAATAAATTAGTTTTAATAACACAATTTAAGCTATGTAAACAAATGTAAATTAATATTTAAAATGATAAAAATAAACCAACCATAATTTATTTTAAATAAAATACCTTGGACAATCGTTGTTTCAACTAAAATTATTAGTTTAATAATCATTTTTACCTTAATAATAATAAATTACAAAAATCAGCTTGATTTAAATTTTAAATTTAAGTCGATCATTAGTAATTTCACCTTACGGACATACATCTATGTCTTAAAATTGGACAGGGTCTACTTGGGCAAAACAGGATAGGAGGGGGGGGGGAGTGCTAAGGTAGATTTTGATAACGTTGTAGAGGGCTGAAGAGTAACTTGCACGTTTTAAAACCGAGTTACACTTGAATTACAAATTCGAAATTCGTATAATAGCTTGTATAGCTAAAATTAAAAACCACATTTTATGTGGGGCTTTTTGGGCAAAATTAGGAATGTGGGAGGGAGGGCTAGGCGTTGTCTTGGAAGGAGTGATGTTACTATATTTTGCTTCCAAGGCCCAAGCCCAAAACATGTCTTCTTCTCTGACGTTGTCGTCACACATGTCAGGGCGTTGGTTAGCGGAGAAATGCGTTTTAAAAGCTCTGATGACACCGGAAGGAGTGGTTCCTCGCAGGGAATATCCATAAGAGGTCAACATGTCCAGTAAGACGTCGCGGTCGGGCTGCAGAGGGTAAGGTCGCTGCGGACGGTATTTCCGGATAATCGCATCTTTGTCCATTTCTTCTTGGTCCAACCACGCGCCCACGCTGTAATTATGATAGAACACAGCCCACGGAAAGTATGGACCCGGATCGTACTTGCGCCCCGGCGCGATGTCTTCGTGGCCCAGCACGTGCCGGGGTAAAATATTGTACTGTCTGACAATGCTGTTGCTCAGCACGCCAGAGCTGCGAATTTGATTTTGGTCGTAGGGGTAATATTGTCTTTGGGCGCCCGTCGTTTCTCGAAAGCCCTGGTTAACATGTTCAACCGCCAACGACACCGGGTTCAAGTCCTCGTCGGCTTGCCAAGCGCTCAGGCCCGCGTGCCACGCCCTCATGTCCTCGGGCACGACTTGCAGTAACTTACCGGCTGCTACGTGTGCTTCGTTTTGGGCGACGACGAAATGCGCGCTGACCCGACGAGTGTCCGCGTTAGCCGTGAACGTCTGCACCGTCAACGCGAAATTAATCACCGTGTAATGCATGATGAGATACTTTATTTTCGCCCCGTGCCGGCTATCGTAATGGTTGCGTTTCGTCTGTGCCACCGGAAACGGATCTATCGTGTAACTTCCCTCGATTCCGCGAATAGTGCTTCCGGTCACGTTGATGCCGGCATCCGGTTTAAACTCGCCCGGGAAAGCTTTGTACAGTGGCATTGGATTTGCACCGATCAAGAAGTTTGGCTCCATCGCTGGTATTTTTTCTGCAAAAAACATACGAACAAGTTTATTTTGGTAAAATTTAAGAGCTACACGGACATGAGGTGGGCACGAAGAGGTTGAAAACACGGTGACGCCTCAAGTAGTTAAGGTGTAGGCAATCTAACGAGCCAATGGCAAAGATAAACGGGAAGCCAGGAAAGGAATCAATTTAGACTGTATAGTATTGAGCATTGGGAAATTATTCACATCCGGCCCGGGCCTGTGCAATTAACCCTTAACCTAACAAAATTGAAATAATTATTGAATTACGAAAGATATATTATGGACTGTTTTCGAGCCATATTATACTAGTTGTATCTCGTTTCAAAAAACCATGTTATCAGCTATTATATCATATTTATTTTTCTGGACTGATTTTCAACACCACAATTTATTTAATTCGGTTGCTGGAATCTGATCATGCACGTCTAAATAGTTGATTAATATTAAAAATAAGTCCAATCACTTATTAAGTTATTTTTAAGTACAAAATCGCATGTATCCTAAAAGACACAATGCCCTAATAGTGGAATTATTTTTTTTTAAATAATTATATAAATTTTAATTTTTTTGTTCTAAACGGGTATTTATTATTGTCTTACAGTGAATAAAATACCTATTTCTTAAACGCAAGTACACTTTTGACTTATTTTCTTATTAAGAAATTTCCTAAAAAACAATTTTTCTCAATCAATACAAACCGACATACTTATTTACATAGTTCAACGAATAATACTTACTCCGTGTAAATCATAAAATACTATTTAAAATTGTTTTATTGTTTTTTTATATCTCAATAAGTCGACGAGGTAGTGTATCTTTAAAGGTACAAAAATATTAATTTAGTCAATGTAGGGTGGTGTGTCTTTAAAGTACCTTATAACTAAAAAAACATGGTTTGGAATTTTTTATTTCTGCCAAGTTTAGGGTCGACTTAAAATACTAATCAAACAGACTGTGGATGACTTAAGTGACTCACCAATTATTAGGATGTCGCCCGACCAATAGACAGTTATTGATTTGACCGAATTGGATCAACAAGCAAGACGACGAACGAAGGCCACGTCTTTTGGGTAGCACAAGATTTTTATTCAAGATTTAAAACCTTGTCGGTGTGATTGTAAAAAGCGACGTTAAATATTTCATAATATGGACACCATGTATAAATTAAGTACTTGGTAAAGAAAAGAAAAAAAAACCAAAAACTGGACCACGAACGGCAGCAGTGGCAAACAACAGAGACAAAGTGAACAGTACAAAAAGGAAAAACGTCATGTGATAGATATATTGTACTATTATCGCAGCTCATTATAATGGAAATCAAACGACAAATAAATAATTAAAGGAAATCAATGCATCCACGTCGTTTGTCTGATATAATGTCAACTACACGAGCTATGACGCACATAAAATTGTGATAAATTATGTTTTGTTAAAAATTCAAAAACAGATAAAAAAAAAAGAAGAAGCTAGTACAGTGGGGTCGGGGCATAGTGGGTAATGTAGAGGTCACAGCAGGTCTACAGGAATTATTTAATTAATAATTATTATAACTAACTAGTAGGTATATGTATAAACCACACACACACAGCTAGCTAAATATCGATTACGGTCAAAGTGTTGTAATTTTCCCTATTTTTTTGGGGGTTTTACTTAATAAAAAAAATGTTTTTTGAGAAAATTATACATGTTATATATGTTGGTAAACAGTATATATGGCATTTTCTGTGTTTAATTGCACACAATATTTATCTCGGGAAATAACAGTCCGTAATGGTTATAATAATGTACTTGGTAGAAAATTACTTTAAAATTAGTAGAGTTACAAAGGTTAAATACTTTTGAAATTTGACTGTAACATGAGATGGATTAGGACTATTATTTATAATTTGAATTGAATTCTCTCCTCAGATATAATAAAAATTGTGTATATAATGTCACTTTATCAAGCTATTTTACAATATAGTATTATTATTTGGGGCGGCGCTTCTGAAACCACATTAAAACCTATAATCTCCTTGCAAAATAGAGTTGTTCATATTTGTCTCAATAAAATAGATCGGGTAGAGTCTTCTGAAAAAATAAAGAACTGGGTATTAAAATATCATTCTAAGCAAGATTGCTTATTGCACAAACGAGAAAATTTTAAATACAATTTTAAGATTAAATATGTCAAAAAGAGTATAGGCCAGAAATTTGTTCATTTTTTGGTTTTTTTCTTTTGTCTTTGTACCATTATTTTTGTTTGTAATTTATAATTACTCTCTACCTTCAACTCAAGCTTTTTTCTTACTGGAGGTAGATAAACCAAATTTGTGTACTAGATATATGTGTATACTTTTTGCTTAACAATTGGTTATATACATTAAAAAAAAAATCGTATGGGGCTATAAGTTCTAGATCTACCTTTGGTCTAATTTTCATACCTAAACCCCAAAAAAAATTTCATGAAGAATTGCACCCCTTCTAGAAGAAAAGAGGGTGTACGATAATTGTTTAGGTTGTCAACGTTTGTCGGTAGTACTATGTCTTAAGAATATTCTATACAAATTCCATATTTGTACTAATTGGATTATTTTGAGAAAAAAAAGTGAAGCGCCGTAATTTTAATTTGAAATTTTTTTAAAAAAATTTTCAGGTGTTTTTCTCGATTTTGAAGGGAGTACCTGATCTCTTGTCATTAATATCTTATCTCTTATCTCTCATACCTTATCAGATAATAATTTATCAACCGCTAGATTGCGCCACACGCACACATTTTCTACGGTATTTTCTTATTGAACCCCAGCCATAAGACATATCCATGTCCAAAAAATGACCGTATTATGAAATCTCAATGGCTTGGTTAAAGTAATGTTGATTTCGCAGGACACTGGCTGCGTTGGAGGCAAGTGCGGCACCGGTTGTGGTCTCCTGAACAACTGGGATGACGTGAAGCCGACTACCCTGAGCGAAAGGGCCGCGCTGAGAGAGTCAGCCCGTTGTTTGAAATGCGCCCACGCACCCTGTCAGCTCTCCTGTCCGACCAGCATCGACATCAAGTCGTTCATCACCAGCATATCCAACAAGGTGCGGTTAGAGAAAATATTTTTCGCTCCAAGGTTCGACGGGATCAACGATCAATGATGTATTTTATTTTGTTTACACGCCCTACACGCAGAATTACTACGGAGCCGCAAAAATGATACTCTCCGACAATCCTGTGGGACTCTCGTGCGGCATGGTGTGTCCTACGGGAGAACTTTGCGCCGGGTCGTGTAACCTGGAAGCGACGGAAGAAGGAGCCATCAACATTGGCGGCCTACAACAGTTTTGCGTCGAGGTGACTATAAATCTCTAGAGTGTTACACAATAGGGTTGGTTTACTAGGTTTTAGTAACAGCTGCCCTTCGCCCCGTTGCAAGTAGTAGTGTTCTGACCAAACGAATTGGATAAATGATCAATTGGACATTCGAACCATGAATCACAGACAGCAGGATTTATTCTGAGGATTTTTTTCCAACTGCACATATGTATCCCACCCACCTTTTTTTTAATATTTCAAAAATATAACAACATAATTTTCATTTTATTTATTCTATATATTTTAGGTACTTAAAATTAGACTAGGGGTGTCTTGCCAAATGACCAACAATTTATTTAAACATTCTATGAAGATAATCAAATTAAATATGTATAAAGGGATAGTGATGATAGTGATCCGAGTAGTTTGGAACTAATTCGACGGTTCTTGGAGGAGTTATAGATATTTTTCTCGGTTCTGTTAGAGAAGAGGGTGGGGAGTGGATTTTATAATTCTTTTGGCCTGAAATCGTATCTTTCAGGTACGATTTCTAATTTATAGAATTGCCACATGCAGAAAACAATACCTTCTCGGCTTCACAGCAAACCTTACATAAAAAAATGTGAGGTTTTGAGCTAAATCTAAAAATTTACAAAGAATGATCATTTTTTTCCCCTAGACATTCCGGCGGATGGGCGTGCCTCCGACTGTAGATCCCAATCTGAAGCTGGTCAAAGGCTCGAAGAACGCCAAAATCGCATTGTTGGGTGCCGGACCGGCTGGTGTGGTGTGCGCCACGTACTTGGCTCGTTTGGGCTACGCCAACATAACCGTGTACGAGAGCCGAGCTTATCCGGGAGGACTGAGGTATTGATTTTTTCCCATCCAACCATCTTAAAACATATTACTGTACTTGTACAGTCGTTTTCCCAATGGTTCTCCGTATTTGATAATATCATTTAACAAACCGGTTGGCCCAACTGAACTCATTATATGGAACACGTATTTAGATTGAAAAATGTCCCGGCCAGAGAGTCGGCCATTTTGTTTACCAATTTCATGGAAAGTAAAAATTCTACGTTTCTTTTCCATGATACAAATTAAAGTGTTAGGTTAGGTTATGAAAACACCTTGTTAGGTTAGGTGTTAATAATATGTTAATTATATTATGATGGTAACTCCGTTATATATTAAAATTGATAAATCATAGAAAAAACAATAACTGTGCACAAAATGGCAGCGTCCTACTAGTGGACGTTTTTAGAAGCAGCCTAATATAGACAATACTCGTTCAATTTATTGAGTTCAGTGGTTGGCCCATGTGAATACTTGAGTTACCCTGAGCATTGTGGGAACGCTGCTAAGTCATAGTGTCACGCAAATGCTAAGTACCAGTGACTGTACAGGTTGTGATTGATTGAAGTTAATTTTTTTTGTCAGCACCACCGAAATACCGCAGTACCGGTTACCGTTCCAGGCCGTGCAGTGGGAAATAGAACAGTTGCTCAAATTAAAAGAACCCGACAGCGGTCGTCCCAGAGTGCGCATCGAATACGGGCGAAAACTTTCAAACAAAGACCTCACTCTAAAGGTATGGATGGCCCAAAATCAAGAACAGCTAAAATTTCATTCAACTCGTTTGAAGCACATTTAATGTATAATATTTACTAAAAAAATATGCTCGGCCTATAAAAAATGATAAACAGGGTGTCTCAAAAAGAGTGGTGAGGTTTCAAACGGCTGTAGATTGTGAAGTATTGGACCTACAGCGCTCTGGTAGGGCTTGAATGAAAGGCAGAGTTGTCAAATTTCTAATGACCGCTACTAGATGTGTCTGCCACTGTCTCTGCTCGTGTCATTGCTTCGCGAACTCGATCACTTGGAGAGACATCTAGTGGCAGTCATTCGAAACTTGACAACTCCCTCTTACATTCAAGCCCTACCAGAGCGCTGTAGGTCCAATACTTCACAACCTACAGCCGTTTGAAACCCCACCATTCTTTTTGAGACACCCTGTACACTTATCTGGTATACAGCAGGTATGTACTTATTATTATACCATGTTATTTAATTATCTGAGCTAAATAAGTTTTAATCAAATCTTTTATATATTTAACAATAAAAAATTATATATTTTGATACTTAGAAAAAAAAAATTATTTTATTGGGAAGTTTCAAAGAGTAATAATTGTAATAGCAAAATGCATAATATTTTTGGCCTACTAATGAACCACTCTGTGCGTGTTTTGTGCTGTGTCCTAATCGTTTGTAATCTATATTTTGTTTTGCAGGGAATGATTGAAGACATGGGATACGAGGCGGTGTTTGTGGGTATTGGCTTGCCGGTGCCCAATGTTCCCAAATCGTTCTTGGGCAGCCACGCTGGCATAGGAGCTCGGGAAGGCTTCTACACGTCCAAGACGTTGTTGAATGCCGTTTCTGCGTACAGCAAACGTCTCGCTCAAATTGAGAACAAAGAAAACTGTCGGAAAACGTCCGGTTGTTGCGGAGGCGAAAAATCGTCTTTGGGTACCTACTTAAGCGTTTATCTGTTTGTACTTTAAATAATGATGTGTAAAAATAGTAAATAACGTCATGTCCAATAGATTTTTTCAAAGTCAAGTCTAGATTACCTCAGGGGGCCTCTTGTATCTCCTCTTGTATTTCTAATGTTTATAAACAATGTCATCGGTGATAAGTTCAGTATATTCAATAAATTAGCTAAATGGCGCTTCCTTTTAATTTTAACAAATGCTAACTAATTACTCTTGTCTTAACCTTTAGCCGAAATAAAACTGCAATATTATTTAATTGTTCATTTGTTCGAGAAAAACACTTGTAAAATGTGTACTAGGTAATTGGTTATCATATGACCCAATCAATAGCTAAGATTAACACGAAATGGGAACACTATGGTGTTCTAATCCGTTGATCAATTTCTTATAAATGAGACCCATTTCTGGTCTCAAATAGTCTCAATCTCTTGGTCTCATGAGGCTTAACGTTATTGATTGGATCATAGTCAACCATACACTGTACATTTGAGAAATCGTCACGAAATTCTAAAATTAGGTCAGTGTTAGGTTTGTTTTAGGTGAGGTTAGGTTAGATTTTAATTAGATAGGTAAAGTCAGGTTATATTTAGGATAGATTTGAATTAGATAGGTTAGGTTGGGGAGATTTGTATACAGGGTGATCCAACTAACGTAAGACACTCATTTTCTCTGAAAATATGAATATTTTTAGAATTTTTATTTCTGAACTTTTAAATACATATTTTACTACATTTTTCAATATTTTTAAAATTGTCATCACTAATCCTTATAAGCCAAAAAGGAGGATTTTGAATTTTTTTTTATGGCAACATGTGTTTTCAATTACATATATTTGTAGACAAAAAAAAATATATATTAGCGTTTGAATTTTGAGTTTATTTGTTCATTTGTTATGACTTTATAAAGATTTGATTTTTCGACTGCATTTCTTAATGTTTTCTAGTACAAAGACGTTAGTACAAAAATAATTTGACGTGTTACCGTACTGTGTACCATAATCAGTTATAATAAATAACCTGTAATCTAAGTGATCTGTAGATAAGAACAGTTTGTCTATCATAATTTCAATATAATTTATAGTGACTTTCTAGTTGTTAGAATGTTATCGCCAATTGGACAATGCGAACATAAGTATGAATTATATGTGCTACCGGTTTTGGACAACCGAAGAAATATTATAGTTATTTAGAGGAAATGTAGTATCTTTACAAAGTCATAGCTAATGAACAGATAAATAAAAGTAAAAAATTCAAACGCTAATATAATTTTTAATTTTTTGTCTACAAATTTATGTAATTAAAAACATTTGTTGCCATATAAAAAAAAAATAAAAACCTCCTTTTTGGCTTATAAAGATTGGTGACTGCGGCCATTTTTTGGGTGGATTTATCGATTTCAAAGAGGAAGTGGTGATTTTTTTTTAAATATTTAGCCCAATCTATAGACTTGTTACAAAAATATATCGGTTGAGCGGTTAAGGAGATATCGTGGGTGGTCTAGACATGTACACAAAATAATGATTATAATAAAAAACACATCGTTGTAAAAACAATACTTTTTAAGCACCTAAACGTGACATTTTTATCAGACGGGCGCCTTATCTGTGACATCCCGCATCGCCCTCGCCCTTCGTGGTGGTTTTTGGTTTATACTTAGTAAAAAGTGCTTGTTTTGGATCCACAGCCGGACATTTTGATTCCCTGGATCAAAGAGTCACAATGCTGCTAGCAAATAAAATATACTCTGATCAACGATTTTTCGATTATTATGTTCAGGCTGTAGCGGTGGCGACGGTGCCGGGTTGCCTAGGATGAACGGCAAGAGGGTACTGGTGTTGGGCGCCGGTGACACGGCCATGGATTGTGCGACGGCCGCCCTAAGGTGTGGGGCTCGACGGGTATGGCTGGTATTCCGCAGAGGCACTACCGACGTGCGTGCCGTCCCCGAAGAGGTGGGTGTGAAGTCGGGTTGTACGACACTCGATCAGCTACAAAGGATTACAACAGCTTTATCTTCTTCTTCTTCTTCTTCTTTACCAGCTTTTACAGTTCACGTAGGACCTTGGCTGTCTCCACCGCTCCTCTCCACCTATCACTGTCTTCAATTATTCTTGTTCCTTGTGAGATTCCAGTAAGATCTGTCTTGATCGACCCGTAGGCCTTTTTCCGCTCGGTCTGCCAGTTATAGCCGATAATATGACGATATTGTGGTGTCCATCAGGTGCAACTGGCCGTGTCGGAGAAATGCGAATTCGTGCCGAACCTGTCGCCGGTGGAAATTCTGTTTGCCGAACAACCGCAACAAGAGAAAAGAGTGTGCGGTGTCAGGTTCAGGCGGACCGACCGGTCGGACCAGGACGACGACAAATGGATATCCACGGACCAGGAGTGCGTGTTGAAGGCAGATTTCGTCGTGTCCGCGTTTGGTTCGCGGTTGACCGGCGACAGCCCAAACGACGACTGTGAGTGTAGACCATGGTCAAAATCAGATAAAAATTTCATCAAAAACCTCCAAAAGTTTTTCTATTTTAACATGGGTATGTTATTGGGCTGGCTACAAGAACTTTCGCGTCGCCATGTCTAATCTCTTATCTCTTGTATTTTATCTCTTATCTCTTATCTCATACCTCCTCTCTTTCATCTCTCATCTCTAGTCACTTATATCGAAATGTCTTTCTAGGTGTGGTTTTCTGACATCAAATTGGCAACGCGAAATTTCTTGTAGTCGGCCCAATAACATATCCGTGTTAATAGGATATAAGAGATTAGTGATAAGAAAATAATGATAAGAAATTAAAGATAACATATCTTTGATTCAATGTTTTTCCGCGAAGCAGAGAAAATAACTGTCTTTTTTCAAGATTTAAAAGATCAAATTGTTTAACTTCAAAAAGGGCATGCTTAACTTTTCAACTATTACCAACCCCCTTCCTACTAAAGAACCAACTAGACGGCATTGTCGATCGAGTAATTCGGTCTAGCAGTTGGATCGTATAACCTTGATTTTGGAAACAATTTAAATTTATACATTTTTAATTATATAGGTTAAAAAAAGAAAGAAAATGTATAAGTTTCACAATTCTTGTGGTTTGACTTTTTTTACAGTAATCGAGGCCATCCAGCCGGTGATCCAGCTCGATCCTCGGACAGGATGTATTCAGACGTGCGAAGAGACTTCTAGATGCATCCTAGGTAATAAGGAAGATGACCAGACTGGTGCGCCGCCCGTTTGGTGTGGAGGAGACGCGGCCGGCCGATCTGAGACGACCGTGGAGTCGGCCAACGACGGAAAGACAGCCGCTTATCACATGCACCGATACCTACAAGTATAATAGTATTATTACATAAAAGAATAATAATAAGAAATTCAAATTCAAATAAGAAAAATTGTAGAAATTTGCTTTAATGATTTTACCTCTGGACCTTTCATTTCTGTTCGACTATTTAAATTTCAACGGCAATAGCAAAAATGTAGATTTCTATCGAGTATCATCTTATTTCCGTGTCTAAGACTAGAGTAAAATATGGGTTTTGATCTTGCTTTTTTTGACATGAATGTCTTATGTCTTATATCTGTCCATCCCCCAACCATACCAACCTCTTGATAGCGGTAAGAAAGAGCTGATAATGGATTAGCGATAAGAAAATAATGATTAGTGGCAGCTGATAAGGTCTCCTGATAATAGATCAATGATAAATGGATGGGACGAAAACGAACATGAACACATAATATTCGAAGTGAACGAGTGCGTTTTGTCTGTCCCACTAGAATACCATTTTGATCATGTCAAAATAAATGTGTTCATGTCAAAATAAACCTAGTTATTTTCTCCGCTTCGCAGAAAAACATTTAATCGAGGATATGTTATCACTTATCTCTTATCATCTATCTCTTATCACATCACTTATCTCTTATCATTACTGAATGTAAAAGTGTATTTTTCTTGCCACTCGATTGCTTCGTTAACGAAATTCATAACTCTGTCTTTGTCAATTAGAAACTGTATGCGTCCAAAAACAACATTGAAATCAACGACCAGGACATTGGTTATTCGCTGCCCGGATTCAGGACTGCCGTGGACGACGTTGACATAAGCGTGGAGATGTGCGGTCTCCGGTTCGAGAACCCCTTTGGCTTAGCCTCAGCACCACCTACCACCAGCGCGGCCATGATACGGCGAGCCTTCGAAGCCGGATGGGGCTTTGCCGTCACCAAGACTTTTAGCTTAGAAAAGGTATCAGACAAACAGAATGACGATAAAAATGGCCCAGCAAAAATATCCCATTTGATTATACAAAATTACTAAAAACGATTGAAGTATTAAGTATGGGCACATTAAGTAGGGGCACAATTCGGGGGTGACCTTGGCTCTGTTTAGCAACCCCAAAATTGTTTGTGTTTCATACTGTAAGTAGGTTTTCTAAAATTTTCAGTACTCAAGCACCCCCACTTGTTTGAGCGACATCGCGCTGCTGTTAATTTAGTGGCTAGGTTTTAAAAGCTACTATAATTAGACAATGCGGAAACGTCCCCTATTCTCACTAGGAATAGGTTTACAGCGTTTAATTAACAATAAGTACAAAAGTAAAAATGTATAAATTACAAACTACTCGAGTATCAAAATATTATCAATGTTGTTCTTTAAAATTTAATTCTACAGTAATTTTGTATATAAATGAATTTGCTTTAGCTAAAAAAGTTTCAAGCAAAATCACAATTATACTTTAATATTTGAGTTTAACCAGTCGGTTATCGTCCAGTCAATATATCCATTACATAATTTTGCTTTAAATAGGCAATTAAAACACCTATGTTTCTTTACCACCTTCTTTGAACCACTCTTTAAGATAATATAGTTTGTCATCGTTAAATATAACAAAAATATTATCATTATAAACTCTTTTAGCTTGCATAACTATTTCATTGAAAAAATCACTATAACATGAAATTTGGATAATCTTTTATTTGAAAAAAATGTAAAGTAATAAAGTACAAGTCATTTACAAACTGTGCAATTACAAACTAACATTTTTTTTTTTAGAAAATATTGCATCGTCAATAACCGATTGTCTTATACAAACTATTTATTTTTCTAAAATGTTGTTGCACCTTAATCACCCCTTTTATTTAAAAATAATTTGTAATAATCAATTCAAAATGAATTTTTAATAAATTATCAATTAAAAAGGGGCTATAAATAAGCGTATTTAAAAATAATTTGAGTATTACTTTTTCAGTTATTCGAATACTCACCGCCTCCGAGACAATGTTGTTTACTATTCCTTAAAATTTGTCTTATTTGTTTGCTATTTATTAATCGAAGGCTGGTGTAGTTTGAAATCAAGGTGACGACCAAACACAATTGGGAATTATTTCTGGGAAGGTTTGTTGATAATTCAGACAGACCGTTCAAGACACAAAAATAATTGTCGGCCGAACGACACTTTCGCCATGCGTTCTAAAAATTGTATTGTGATTTTGACTTGTCGACCGACCTTGGCCTTTTTTTAATTTTTGGGGTTTCTATAGGTCTATGGGTATTTGTATTTTTTTTTTTTTTTGGCGTTAGGCTATTGTTGAAGTTGTATCTAATGATATAGGACATTTTTCATGACATTGGAGTCGTTCGGCGGTTTTTAATGGGAAAGGCCAACTGGAAATAATACCGTAAACGTAGCTGTCATTAAAAAGAAACACCCGCTCTAAGACACCGGAATTCCCAGCATTGAAAATATATAATTTCTTTATCCCGTTTGTCTTTCAGGATATAGTCACCAACGTGTCGCCGCGGATCATAAGTTCGTCTTCCATGTCGAACAGCTCTGGAGGTTTTGGACCAGAACAAAATGCGTTTTTGAACATTGAACTCATATCAGAGAAGACCACCGATTACTGGTTGCAGTCCATCCGCGAACTCAAGCGTGATTTCCCCAAGAAGGTAAGGTGCACAGTCAGTAGAAGTACCTCAAGTCTTCAGAAAGAAACCCTTTCGCAGGAAGTGTTTTCTTTTTAACAAGAATATGTTTTATGGCTGTAAGACAGTTGAACATTTTGGCTAACACTTTCCAGTAAATCCAAAATCTGTCCCATTGTTGACCTACAACAAGCGATAAGAATGTATGACTGGGCACGGTGATACATGATAATGATGGATGATGACAGATAAGAAGGAGTGATAAGAGATAAGGAGGGATCATAAGAGATAATCAGGAGGTGATATGAGATAATAAGTGGTGATATGAGATTATAAGTGGTGATAAGGAGGGATACGTTTTCAGGAGAGGTGGGTGCCATAAAATGTTGTTGACTAAAAAGGAGGACATTTTATTTTTTTTAGCACAAATTAAAGTCTTGTCTAATTTACAAGAATTAGGAAAGGTAAAACGGTTTACTTGGGTGTAAAGGTAGACAAAAAGAAGAAGTGAGGGGCAGTGATAAATCAAGATTAAGAGGTGTATGTGAAGTACATATAAAGAAATAGTGATGGTAAATTACACAATTGAACTACAAGCCATTAGTTGTTATAACTGGGCATAATATGTTGAAAATATAATAATCCTAACACGTTTAAATGACTAAGATTTTAGTGGTCTTAAAAAATAGATAATGATTTTGTACAATTTAACGTTATCATTCAGGTATGTGTTTGTTGTTTACTAGAAATCAGAAGTACTGAAATAATTCTTAAACAATCTTCACTACTTTTTTCGGTACAACTACAAAGCAGATACTTTTCGATTAGTATTTTAATTTCAAATATTGAAATTTTAAAAAAAATAAACAGTTTTACAGAAAAATTAAACTATATATATACATGTAGTAACGTCACAAGTAATCTTATGTCAACTTTTATGAGGACTTCCCCATGTGTTAACTTAAATTAAATGTAATAAGATTTCAATTATACATTCTATTGAATAGAATCTATTCTATTCTATTCAATTTTTTTCAATCATTCGATAATAAAATATTATTGGCCAACAGGACGTCACCACATCTATTTATTGAAGTCAACCATTTTTATTTTATTTTATAAGCTGTGATGTAATTCCGTTTTCATGTCAGACCGACGTCTGATTTGTTTAAGAGTCGAGGAAAACCGTCTTGTCTGTTACGTCGAGGAAACCATGATTTCAATGAAAATCTATCGGTTGAGTGGTTTATGACTTGCGGTTAAATAATATTATTTTCCTGCTCAAGTAATACACATAATATTTTAGCTAAGATGCGGTGCTGCGAAGGTATTGATTTTACAATGATGTGTTTTTATTTTTGTGACCTTCCCTAAGCTAACCTTATTATCTTGCTAATTATATAGCTTCATTATCTTTAACGCCACTGGTTCGATTCATTGATATAGCAAGTCTACAGAACGGTTATTTTTTCCAGAAATAGTTGATATTGTAGCAAACATCAAACGGTAGTTCTACTTCTCCTTCAAAAACATGAAAAACGCCCTAAAAATGTACAAAATTCACATCATATAACTTGTTTGAAAAAGTCCAATTACTCCCAAAGGTGTGTGTGAGATATTTTTTTAGACGTTGTACTGCTGTTATAATAAACTAAAAAAAATATTATCAAAAACGTTTGTAGTAGTCTCTGCTTTTTTTTTTTAGTAAACTGGCTTGTTGACCTCAAAAAAAAAACACAAAAACGTTTTTTATATATTATATGTTAGGTTAGGTTTCAAGGTATAGTTATAAAAAAATGTTTACTTTTATTTTGTTAGTTCAATTTTAATATGTCTTTTGTTAATTTTTATTCAATTAATTTCTTATGGAATGAGTGTATCATAAAAATAATTCCGTTAAGAAACAAGAACTAGTTTCTGACTCCAATAAGTAAAAATATGTATATCATACAAATTCGAAGTTACACCGCTTTTACAATGAACGACCCATACAGGGTATCTCACAGAGATAAGACATGTTAAATAACTTTTGTTCTAGTGAATATGTTTAAGATTTTTTTTTAAATTAATTTATACTAGTTTGCGCTATAAGCACCACGTTTTTTATTGCACTTAACTATTTTACCTTTTTAAATTATTTTCTTATTTTCTAGATAGTCATTTTATTGATGATAATTTGATGAGGATTTTGACTGGCCCATAACCAGTTTTGGTGTATTACTTTTCAAGTTATTAAATGTTAAAGGGTAGGATGCGGGTGGAGTGCGGTAGACAGTTATGTTTATCTGCACCCATTACTCTACCGCACTCCACCCCCATCCTACCCTTTAACCTTTAACAACTTAAAAAGTAATACACCAAAACTTGGTTATATGGGCCTGTCAAAATCCTCAACAAATTATTCTCAATAAAATGGCTATCTTTGATTTTTTTTTTTAAATGTAACAAAAATAATTTAAAAAAAGTAAAATAGTTTAGTGCGATAAAAAAAACGTAGCGCTTGTAGCGCAAATGAGTATAAATTATTTTTAAAAAAAATCTTAAAAATATTCACTAGAACAAAAGTTATTAAAATTTTTCCTATCTTTGTGTCCCACCCTGTATTAACATGCTTGAAAAATAAAAGTGTCATATTATAGAAAGCAATGTTTAGAGAATCTTACAACACTTAAAAGTGGCTAGCACAAAATTTTACTTTGTAAGACTTTTTCAATCACAGATGTACTTTGGTTTATAAAATAACACTTATTAGACCCTTTTTCTAGTTTTAAATAAAATAAACGCTTACTGCGTCAACAGTATTCTACCACAATATCAAATAAAATAAAAAAAGAAAGAAATACATTTTTTTTTGTAGTCTTTATTTGAACATATGACGGCTCAACAGTTAAATAAAAAAAAGAAAGAAATTGTTTTAAGAAAAAACGCATTTTGCAAAAACAAACCGAATTGGGCCTTTATTCTGATATAAGTTTCTCGATTGCAGTTTTGTAGTTTTTCTTGTTTTCCGGAATTAAAAAAAATATTCACTAGAACAAAAGTTATTTCATTTGTCTTATCTTTGTGGCTCGCCTTGTATACAAGTTAAAACTCTAGACTAATTTGGTATTTTGTTTATAGGCAGCTACCTTTAGGACTTTGTTATAGGGCTCAGTAATAAAAAAAATAACTCATCAGGTCCATCCGTACAAAATTGAAGACCTTGGGGAAACAACAAGACATGTCCTTTTTTTCAATTTTTTTTTATACGTTTTAAATTTAAAATAAAACATCTTCAAAAAATTAAAATTTTTATTTTTTGAATTTAAAACGTTTTGAAAAAAACAACAAAAAAATTGAAAAAAAGGTCATGAATTGTTGTTGCCCCAAGGTCTTCAATTGATCTGAGACCAGGTTTTTTCTTGGAGAATTCTTTTGTAAAAATCATAATTGTTATTATTATTATTTATTCAATACAAAATATTGCATAGGTATAACATAATAAATTGTATAATGGGCCTCACTGAGCAAGCTCGTGTGGAGGCCCGTGAGCCTTAACTATAGCGAATTCCAAGTTTTATTAAATACATTTCTTAAATTAAGATAAAAAACTATTTATACTTAAGATGATTAGCACATACAATTATAACGGGATAGAATAATTGATGTTACGAAATTAACAATATAGGAGTATAATCAGCAGCTTGTTGTAATAGCCAATTTGTCAAATTTAGTTTGAATATATCATCATTTTTATAATCACGTAATTCGTAAGGGAGGTTATTATAAATATTTTGACCTGTATATAGAAAAGAAGATTGAGAGGCGGATTTATGTACATTTGGGGTGATAATATTATTCAATTTACCTCTGGTAAAATTATGGAAAATGGGTTTAACTAGATTGTTTGTTTTAAAAAAAAAATGTAACTGTTGTTTTGTAATAAAGTGTTTTTACTGTCAGAACATTTAATTCCTCATACAAGTCACTAACACGAAAATCACGGGTTTTATTTAAGATTATTCTTAGGATATTATTTTGTAAAATTTGTAATTTATTTAGATTACTTTTATTTGCTGCACCCCGTGCAATTATGCCATAAGTCAGTTTTGATTCTACTAATGCCTTGTGTACGGTTTTTAATTCGATTTTCGTTTAAAATAGATCTAAGCTGTTTAAAGACATACGGGAGTTTCCTCAATATTATTATATTTCTTCTAGATCTTGGTGGTGAGCATCATGTGCGCGTACAACGAAGACGATTGGACGGTGTTGACGAGGAAAGCCTGCGAAGCCGGTGCCGACGCTTTGGAGTTGAACTTGAGCTGTCCGCACGGCATGGGAGAAGCCGGCATGGGTCTGGCGTGCGGCCAGGTTTGTAGGATTAAATTGAACTGCTAATTTATCGCTACTACTCGGTAATGTTTACCGGTAATAAATAAATAAATACCCATAACCTAACGGGCATAGTCGACGTCGTGGCTTCCGGATAGTATAATATCATCGAGTCAAGTGGAACGATTTACAATACAGGGTGATCCAACCAACGTAAGACACTCATTTTTCCTAAAGTCTTATGCACATATTTTACTACATACCTCACCAATCCTTATCAGCTAAAAAAAGGGGATTTTTGTTTGGTTTTTTTAAATGGCAACATATGTTTTTGATTACATAAATTTGTAGACAAAAAATGTACAAAATATGTTAGCGTTTGAATTTTTTATTTTTATTCATCTGTTCGTTAGCCATGACTTTGTAAATATACCGCATTTCCTCTTGATAATTATTATCATATTTTTTCGGTTTTCCAAAACCGGCAGCACATAAAATTCATATTAATTATGTTCGCGTTGTCCAATTGCTGATAACATTCTAACAACTATGAAGGCACTATAAAATACTTTGAAATAATGATAGACAAACGGTTCTTATCCGCAGATTACTTAGATTACACGTTATTTATTATATCTGATTAGTAAAATATGTACCTAAAAGTTTAGGAAACATGAAAATTCTCAAATTAGATGGATCACCCTGTATATACGAGCGAACAAAATTTCGCCATCGTCCGTGTGTTCATAACACAATAACTTACCACTTGCAACATTGTACATTGCGTCCCATTGTTGTTGTTTTAAGTACTTTGTAGGTATTTTTGGATTTTACAAATATGTTTTTCCAAGCAATAAATACATTGTTACACAACGACCAATCGGATATGTCTGATGGTACACATACGGCCTCGGTTGTATTAATATTATTGATATTCCATCGCTTCATCTACGAGAATTTCTCATAGTAATACTGACAAATTAAACAGGCGCCATTCATAATGATCCAATATCGTTGAATGATTTACATTTGGGGCTTGGATTTCGAAACACGGAATTCAATACCTCGATTGTGATCATTATTTGATGGTTTTAAATTCACTTACATGCAAAAACCCTTTCTCGATATCAACGTCTCGAACATTCGCTTCCTCCTTTTCTCCACACTTGGAAAATTTCATATTTTAGTTACCTAACCAGAGATGGGCAGAACTGTTAATTCCGGATTACTGGATTTTTTAATAGTGTTTTTTTTATAACGTGATCTCAATTTTCCACAAATTTTCATGTTCCTACCCGCTCCCAAACTAAATATTTTTGTATGAAGTTTATACTCAGATATTACAGCAAATAATTTGTCACAGTAAATGGTCGCTTCTTTCTCTTTACCATAACTAACACAACAAATATAGTCTATATCTATAAATATAAAAATGAATGTTTGTCTGTTTATTTGTCCTTTATGAATGGTAGGTGATGATTAAAAGAACAAACCGATTCTGGTAGTTTATAAAAGTCTTATAAATAATATCAAGGCATGTGTTAGTATACATTCTATAATACAAAAACAATATAATTACTCAAATTACTTTCTGTTATTTTAAAACAATTTCAACACTATCTGAAACTGTTCAAGAGACAATAATATTTAATTCGTTCAAAACTGCATGACCAAATACGCCATATGATTAAATAATTTTATCGGTAAAGGTCAAAACACATTGAACTAAATAAAATACCACCTCGTAAAACATGCTAAAAATTGTCAAATAAAGTAAGTTATTAGAAATCTATTTACGTTCACTATGAAACTATTCAACATAGGTAATCTCAAACTGGTAGGTATTTTAAATAATTAACCAAGCAAGTAATTAGCATACATACAGTTGTAAAAAAAATTATTTGGGAAATGACATGAATTTTTTAAAGTAGTCCATTGAAAAATAAACCGTAATAAACTAACTTTTGTTAAACTTTATCTTTTGTTAAATTGACATATTGTGTTAAATTTATGAGGGTTGTTTTATATTCAGGTTACTACCAGTATACCGGTTATCGAATAAATGGTATCAGCAGTAGGAGTTAATATTATTATCACACAGGGTCTTATCAATGATAAACTGATAACGCACATTTCAATTATCACCACTTTAATGTAAAATATTGATAACAAAATTTAACTTCACATACATTGCAGTGTGTACTTAATTAACTATTAGAATGGGATACGTTAGGTGATGTTTGTCGAAAGCAACGATAATTATTGTATAGAGTTTAACTAGGGGATTCATTTACTACAGTATAAATATGTAGGTAATGTTGTTAATTATTACACACTGTAACCTGCAAAGTCTTGGATACATTTCACAACGAAGTAAATCATATTACAAACATCAAGAATAATCCTCGTGAAGCGGCCAATGTTTTCCAACGACTCGCGCCGGCGTCTTATCTTGATCTTATTCTTATTGAACTCTACGCATTTTCCGTGGCAATCCCCGGTCGTCTCGTCTACCGTACCTTTGCAACAGTGAAAGAAGTATCCGGTCGATCTGGCTTCGCTGCCGTCTTGGCACGTGTGAGCATACGGGTCGTTGTAGCCAAGACTCTCTGTCGTTACCAAGTCGTCCAATGTGATTGCAGGTTTGTCAGCAATGTCTTTTGCACTGTCGCCCAGGCCCAGGTGTATTTCTTGTTCCTCGACGGTGGGACACCTGACGGCTAATGCCGAGCGCCAGCCCAAAGTGCAAACCGCGAACCAAACAAAAGCAGCTCTGGTGGTGATCGAATGCATCGTGTACGGACCACGTGAACGCTACACCCACAAGGGACAACACACTGAGGTCGACTGGTAGACATTCCAACGTTGCCGACGGATGAACTATGATTATTGTAGGCGCTGTTAATCACGTGACAAAAACAAAATTAAAATTATCAAAAGACGTCTATCGAGTATCGGAGCGAGAGACTCATTATTATTATGTTCACAACAAATTTAATAGTTGGCCTAGAAAATTAACGTTCCAAACGTAAAAGAAATGGAAAACAGCAATTGAATGGCTTATTAATTATTAGTTCAATAGGGCCCCAATACAAATTTTGGTTTTTTTTTCAAGAGACTTAAAAACATATCTCTTATCTTATCAGATAAATCAGCTGATATTTTCGTTATGATAACCGGTGTCGATTTTTGCGTTTGTGTGCCAAAGCACAGATATAAAAATGTCTAAAAAAAATTGATATCACGTTGTATAAAAACAATATGAGAAAAAAATGTTTTAATTTCTTATTGAACCCCATGACATATTGAGTGGTTCGCGACAAAATGATAGGGTTCTATATTTTCATGAAATATGTTTTTTTGAAATATTTTGTTCTTATTGTGGAAAAAAAATGGAACTTAATAATTTCTTGTTCTAACATTTTTCCTTCGCACCTTAATTCGATGAAAACCTTTACCAAACAACTAATTGCTTTATTTCCACCGACAACCTATTTCATCCTACCTGTCACACTCAATTGGGGTTTACTGCTTTTTGTATTCATCACTAACTCTACATTTCCTCTTGTCCTACTTAAAGTGTCCAAGAGTAACGGAAATGTATCAATTATTTCGTCACGTTTTTGAACCTCGGTTATAATAGTGAAATTGTCTTATCGTTAATTACTGTTGAACTATCGGTCTTCACGTCCAAGACAATTTTTTTTATGTATTTATATAATAACCAATAATGAGCGCCTAAAAATGATATAATTGTTATCAAAAAAAAAATATATGTCAAGTATTAAAGTCATCAATAGGTTAGTAATATTATAGGTTCGTTTTCTTAATTGGGCAATTTAACTGTGCACAGTAAAGTTGTTATATAATATCGGAAGAGTATTTATAGCTTTAAGGAGGTTTTGTTTTTACAAAGGTTTTTTATGTAGCAAGTCTATAGCTAAAAAATCTCACTTGAAAGGTCTTTTGTTGGGCCAATATTTAAAAGGTTCATCCCTTTCCTTTCAAAATCGACAAAAAAACCCTTCCAAAAAAATACATATATAGTAAATTTCTCGGTCGTTCATTTTAAATGCTTAGTAGATTATTCTCAACTAATTTAAAAGTATGTGATTTATATATTTTAATATTTTTTTTTACCATCTACAGTTTCACATCATAAACATAGTGGCAGCTGATAGGATTGAATCCCACGCTAAAAATACATCTATGTCAATATAAGTGTTTATGTAGTCATATTATTCGAATTCTCTTGATTTCTCTTAATGCAAAGACATTGAATCAAGGGCGCCTTTGGGTCCTTTACAATATGATCCATCATATCCTTCCACATACCATCTCTTACCCTTCGTTTCCCTCCCCTTCCTACAGCCAACCGTTCCTCTTCCTCTGCCGAATTGTCTACAGTTATGGCTCCTCACGGCTCCCAGCCGTAAGACGTGTTCATGTGAAAATTGTATTTCATTTGTTCAGGATCCAGTGTTGGTGGAAAACATTGCCCGCTGGGTGAAGAGAGTCGCCCAAGAGTATACCAACGAAACCGGGCCTTCGTCGCAGAGACAGGCGATCCCGGTGTTCGTCAAGCTGACCCCCAACATAACCGATGTGGTGCAAATAGCCAGAGCTGCCAAACTCGGCGGAGCCGACGGAGTGACCGCGGTCAACACGGTTTCTTCTCTGATGTCCTTGGACCCGCTCGGGATGCCTTGGCCCAAGATAGGTCGCGCGGAGTCAGCCGGGGGACAACCTTCGGCTCCCAGTTTCAAGACCACTTACGGCGGTATGTCCGGCAACGCTTGCCGACCGATAGGCCTCAGGGCTGTGTCGGCCGTAGCCAAAGCCATCGGACCCGAACCCTCAGGGCTCGCCATAATGGCCACGGGCGGGGTGGACAGTGCCGAAGCCGCTTTGCAGTACATCCGTTGCGGTGCAGCCGTCGTTCAGGTGAGCTGTTGTAGCGCGTGACCTTCTCCTGGAACGGACGACAAAGCACGTTCCATCCGTCTCAATGTAGAGCTAATCCCCTGCGGTCTGGATCTCAGTCTAATCCGATTTTACCGTCGTGCAGGTTTGCAGTGCCGTGCAGAACCAAGACTACACGTTGATTCGGGACTATTGCACGGGTCTGAAAGCTCTGTTGTACCTTCAGGCCAACCCGCCGCCTTCGACCGACGGCAGCCGCTGGGTCGGTCAATCGCCCCCCGAACCGGTGGCCGTTCAAAAGGGCAAACCCATCGTGCCCGGCACGGAGGTGAAAAACAAGCAGCTGAAAGACTTGCTGTTGGAATTGCCCGCGGACGACCTGGAAGAGTTCCAAGGAGCCGCGGTGGACAACACCAGGGCAGACGACGAGACAGTGGTAAGTGCATCTCAATCTTTTGTTTTCAGTCTGCAGAAAGCTTCAACTCTTCTCTGTTGTTTACCTTGCTTTTTATTTCTTGGCACGTGTCGTATCGCGGTCTTATCCTATGATTTTTACCTTCCACAAACCTTTCTACGTATAATTAATCCACGCAATCCATTATGTCCCAGTATATGGCCAATACATTCATTTTTTTCCTATAGGAAATATGAATTTGCCATGTTTTTCCAACACTTCTTCATGTATTCCTTGAAACTTGACTTGATCATTGTTCTGTAACACCAAATCTCAAAATCTTATATTCCTCTTTGTTGTCCATTGACCACGTTTCGCTACCATATTGCATTATACTCCTAAGGTGTGATTTAAGAATATATAATCTAACCTACAGAAGGTTAGTATTACTTAATCTAATAATGTCCTCTTTCGTGTAATCGAGATGTTCGATAAAAGGTAGAAAATCGGTTGATCATAAGACATGATCCTCGATGTCTTTCCTTCGAGAGAATGACGGTATTTTAGATTTAAATAATTTGTTTGTTCTTTGCAGTCGCTTCCACATTTCGGGCCGTACTTGAAAATAAGGCGATTGATTTTGGCCAAACAAAACCGAGAATCTCTTTTGAAAGCTTCGCCAAAACCACAGTGTTGTCCGGTTGATATCGACTCACTTGGACAGTCCAACGAGGAGGTTGCTGCCGCCCCGACCGTGGGAAGTTTGATAGGGTACAGCGTGCCAGCCATCGGGCCTTATGTAAACTTGGACAAAGCAGCCCAAACCGTAGCGCTCATAAACGAGGTAAGTTTGAAAAAAACTTCAAAATTCGAATGGCTGAGTACACATAGTTTTGCAATTGGTGTGCTAGTGTTTATTTCAAAAATATAGTTGTTTTTGTATTTGGACCTCAGATATCTTCTGAACAGGTTTCTTCGTGTGGCAAATCTTTACACCAGACACCGTACTCGAAAGTTGTTTTATTCGGCCACAATGTTAAAAATGTGTCCTTCCCCCTTTTAAAATTGTGAAATTCATTAGAAATAGTATACACTATATCTTACTCGCAGAAGGGAGTGAACATTTTTTCTTTATATTGATGTTTTGAATGAAGTTTTGGGACATAATATCCAAAAGTAATACAACAGGTAGATTGATTAGGTACATTTAGATTGACCCTATTTCATAGTTACAAGTCTCACACAAATTTATAGTCAAACTTATTTTACTTAATTGAATTTTAAAAAATCAAGTAAGTATGGTACTTAAAATAAACAACAATTGTATGTTGGATAAGTTTTAGAGCTTGTTGTGAATAGCAGCAAAATAAAACAGAATAGTGAGAAGATAGATATTTGTCTTAGATTTAATATAAGATAATATACAGGTAGACCGGATTTCATATCCATTTTTTCAAGTTCAGATTATTATACCAATGATTTGAACTTGAATAATGTCTGAGTGTTGGATCGTATAAAACTTTGAGTTCCAATTAAAATACGGTATATAATTTTATTAAGTGTATTAAACGGTATTCTTAATAAATGAGCATATTAAATAAATATAACACAATTAATTTATTATAACACTAATCATACTGTACCTATATTGTAATAAATAAATGATACATTTATATCGCGTCTAAATAGTCCAATTTAGCTGAAATCGATTATTATTTCATATTTATGCTGACTAATATTGACTAAGATAATTAAATACTAACAAATTGCTTTGAGTTAAAAAAAAAAATTTAATTATTTAAAATTACTAAAAAATCATCAAATAAATATTCAATCGCTTCGAGTTACCTTTTAAATTGCTCCAAATTAGTGTTGCGTTATTTGTATACTAAACAGATTAATTTCAGAAGGCGGGGGAAAAAAGTTTTTTTTATTTTTCAAATCACATTATATAGTCAAAAGTTATTCTACTTGTCAAAATTGATGTCAGAATATAAATATTTAACAAAAATTAGGCGATTTTTGGTACTTTTTCCGATAATATTGAATTTTATGTACTTGGGGGGGGGGATGTGGCTTGTGCCAGAAACCTAATATTTGAGTTCAGTGGATCATAGTATTTTCGGTAATATAGTACAAATATGAATAGACCCAACTAGGTCAATAACACGATGTTCAGAATAAAGTTAACAGTGATGTAATAAGTTTAAATCACAATCATCACACAATCGGTTGATAATTAATAAATACAACAACGTTCCAGTTTGTTTTTACTCGCTAATAATTATTATTGTTTTGCTCGGTAATTGGGTACTCTACGATAAACCAAAATGGGTCGTTCTCATATATCTATGGAATATATTATATTAAATTTACTAAATAGTTTACATTGTGTATTGTGTTTTGTAATCTGGGCGTTTCGACAATGACAATGATTATATATATGTAATTTTTAAACATGATATTCGACGGTGCATTCTCGAAAACTACTTTTACCATGCTATGACGTTGGATGTGTATAATTGGAAGTCATATAAGTGGTTTTATTTACATCAGACAATAATAATTAAATCGTACGAATAATGCGTTTTAAACGTGTGATTGTTAGGCTGGGTCAGGTCAGTTACAATAGGAATCACAACGATTGTATTTCATTGTTTCCTTTTTGCTTCATAGAATATGATTAAAACTAATCGCTCGTTAAATTAGTCGTCGCGCAAATGGCTCTTAGAAAATTCTAGAAGAAAATTCTCAGCTAAAATGTGTAACGAAAATCAAATTTGATTGTAAAAGATATAAATCTACGTTTGACAATATCCAAGCACAGTGTAAACCAGTATAGTGCAAACCAAGTACTGTCTAATCCAGTACAGTCAAAGAAACGCTTTCTTCTTATCGGTTATCCAAGAATTGACGATTTCCCCTAATCACTATCCCTTCTAAGCCTTGTCCACACTTAAAGAAATGTTTAAAATCAAAGAGAATCAAAAGGATCGGTTTTAATGTTTTAGACCAAAAGCCTGACACCATTTTCACTACTCAAGATGGTCTGATTTCAATTCCGTAATGATTGATACCAGTTGATTGGCTACTTAACTAGGTTATGTTGGAAACGGATTTTTTTTTTATGTAATACAAAGTGCTTTAATATCGAAAATGCGCCAAATTTAATTAATTTAATTACAAAAAACAAAATTTTTCAAAATAAAAATCGGTTTCCAACATACCTAACCCTAATAAAAAGACCAAAAAGTTCTTATCCTTTTACAGAATTTAAATTAGACCAGCCAAAGTCTGGCAGTTTTGTCACAGTAAAAGCATTATGGATATTTCTTATGGCTGAGGGTCATTCTGAAAATAAAATTAAGAGTATCCACACTTTATGCAGATACATCAAGTTGCAGGATATATTAGGATATGTAAAGATATAAGGATATATAAGGATATATACGGATATATAAGGCTATTAAGATATATATAAGGATCTATATAAGGATATATTAGGGTATATTAGGATATGTAAGTCAAATGAATTTGTTAGGTAAGCACTTACTGGCGAACCACTAAAATTGATTTATGAAAAATGTTAAATTTTGATAAATGTTGCCAGTAAACCGATTAAGGCCAAATATTATAAAACTACTAAAAAAAGTTTGACCAGAACATATAATTAAGACTATACCATCATCATATATCGCAAAGAGGTTATAGATCTGAAATAATCTAATAACTATATGTCAGGACATTCCATGTATTGATGTATCTGCATGAAGTGTGGATACTCTTAACGGAGTTTACTCATTGTCAGTTATCAATAGATGATTTTTTTCAACACCTAAACAGCTTTTACTCATACAAAAAAGGTTGTACTCTGGAAATAATGATCTGAAGCTTTTGTAGGTTCACCAGAAGATAAATTGATGATGATTAAAACCATTTTTTTGTTTTTTTTTTCGCATTTTAGGATTCTTGCGTGAACTGTGGCAAGTGTTACATGGCTTGCAACGATTCGGGTTATCAGGCCATCGAGATGAATCCACTCACACACACGGTCCGTGTCCACCCAGACGACTGTACGGGTTGCACCCTGTGTTATTCGGTCTGTCCAATACCAGGATGCATCAGGTATGTCTTTTTTTTTTTTACTTAACATTTTCATTGGTCTGTGATCACTAGTTAATAAATTTTAAATAAGGACTCTTTTTTTTTGGGGGGGGGGTTAATTTATTATTCGCAATATCACAGCATCTTTGGTAGTGATTTAAAAAACGCATAATAAAGTTCCTTGGACAATCTTGTCCTCTATATATTTTTTATCATAAATGTTTCATCTCTAAAATCACTTTGAAAGGTACTTTGATGTGTTTTTTTTGTAAACCTGATATAGCTTCGATGCGGAACTGAGAGGCTATTGGTTCTAAAATAATGTGAGTTTTTTTTGTGTTTGACTATTCTGAAAATTGTTTTACTACTAGACCAATTTACAATTCGAACAGCAACTCTATAAATCACAAATTTTATCTAGTCGGTACTTTGGGGGGAGGTGGGAGTAAAAGTTAATAAAGTTTACTCCTTCGCGCTTAAATTTTGGAAAACTTCAGCTCAAACTAAGGAGTAGAAAAAACGTTATGCGTTGATTTGTGCACAAGTGTACGGGCTAAAACTAATATTTCTTAGTTTTTTTAAAAAAAAAATTTTTAATTGTATTTAGAAACTTTTCAGGGGGCGTCAAGGTCGAGGTCGAAATTCGAAAACCGACTTTTTAAGGACCACCCTTATGTATATTAGTGATGGGAATCCGAAAATCCGGATTTTTCAAAAAAACGCTTTTTAAGTCATTTGAAAACCATATAATTGTTAAATACTATTACAATATAAAGATGTGTACCTAAGTAAAATTTGTTGATAAAAATTTTTAAAAAAAACTCTGAACTTTGTCTATAAAATGCTTTCGGATTCCGGATTTTCGGATTTCAACAAATCCGAAATTCAAAAGCAGTTTATCTCTTTGGTGTTTTGTTTTATTTTCACATATTTATCAAAAAAATGTTACTTAGATATAGAGCTTTATATTGTAAAATTATTTAACACTTATATGATTTTTAAGTAGCTTAAATATCGTTTTTTTGTGAAAATCCGGATTTTCCGATTCCCATCACTAATGTGTATATTATATAATGTAAATATATATATATCTGTGAATTTGTGCTATCATCAACTTGTAATTGTTATAAACATGTGATAAGGTTTTCTAATTCCTTACAAAGATGGCGGAAAACGGTTACTTTAATTATCTCTATTGGCGGCGTATACACTTGGCAATCTAGTTTATTATATATATATATATATATATATGTACAAGTGAAAGTGATCACTGTTGATCTTGACTAGACTCGACGGGGGAGTATTTTTTTTTATAGACATAGCACGCGACCTTAAGTTTAACCGGACGACAGACCTTATGTATATATATATATATATATATCATTTGAAAAAATAGTACCCGTAGCACGCCCGTATCACGTGTGTGGTGTGTGTCAATTACCGAGGAAAGTACATATTATAATAATTATTGTAATAATAATATCAAAATGTAAATTGCAGACAATTTTTTATGCCCTCGGTCTAAATCGTGAATATCATGGCCGACCGCCGTTTGATGTTCAAAAAACGTTTTGTCGGCCAAACTGTTTTCGGCCAATACCGCACACACACACACACGGTCTGGTGTAATATTATATTCTGCTGTCATTTCCATCTCAATAAAAAAAAGGTTAAAAAGGTTCAAAACGGTTTACGGGTTCGTCCTCGACCGTCGACATATTTTTACCACTGTCTTGTTGTTGAAACAGCTGTTATATTAAACCGAACGCTTAATAATAATTAATATTATGTACAATTACATAATAATAATAATATAATTGCGCAACAACCTCTACACAAGACAATAGCGTCGTTTTAATACATATAATAATAATAATGCCAGTAATTTTGTTTATTTCTCAATACCGACAACGAGATATATTTTACATTATAGCTCGTGATAGGGGATGGACGTTAGTTCTATATCTGTATGTTAATATTAATATATATACGGATATATAAGGATATATAAAGATATATAAGGATAGTCAAATGAATTTGTTAGGTAGGCACACTTACTTACTGGCGAACCATGAAAATTGATTTATGAGAAATGTTAAATATTGATAAATGTTGCCAGTGAATCGATTAAGATCAAATATTATAAAACTACTTAAAAACGTTGACCGGAACATATAATTAAGACTATACTATCACCATATATCGCAAAGAGATTATAGATCTGAAATAATCTAATAACTATGTCAGGAAATTCTATGTATTGATGTATCTGCATGAAGTGTGGATACTGTTAATGTATTATAAAATTAAAAATATATTAGTGATAATATTATAAAAATATTAGGGATTATAACAAAATAGGAGTGTGTATAAACGAGCAAACGTTAATATCTGATCTACTAAAAAGCTATAAGAAATTAGAAGAAGAGAGAAAACCGGCATAAAACATCAAACTTGCTAAATGGTAAATATGTTATTTAGATCTAAAGATAGTATCTACAGAGTGATCGTTTTATCGTGAACCAACCAATATCTCATTGGTATTAATTAATAACTGCATTTTTTTTTAAAGTAAAATTTCATAAAAAAATATATTGACTAGTATTCATTTTTTAAAGGGTAGATTTAAAGAAACTATTACTATTAACTAAAAAAAGAATGCTTTCCTGTTGCTCGTTCCTTAATTTTTTAAAATGAAGCAATTCCAAGCATTGTTCCTACAAAAAGAACTCCTTCCAGAAATCCGGTTGGAACGAGTTCCTCCTTTAAACAAATCAACACGGATTTCATCAGTCAAACCAAGTCCGTTAGGTGAATGGAGCTAATAAATACAAGGTCGCAGCTATATACTTATGTTGCCGGTGGCTAATTAATGGCACATTAATAGTTTTAAAGCTTAAACGATCGAGCAATGGCTTTTTCCTAATACCTTATTTCTAATTTAAATGTTCATATTATATGTTATATTTTTGTTAATTAATAATAATTAGTTTATACAAGTTTAAAAATGAAACACATCATTTCTATTCTAATAGATCTATTGGAAAATTGAAATTTAATTTAATCTAACCAGATAGACAGTGTAAATAAAATTGTAAATATAAAGTAGTTATTAAAAATTTTATCTTTACATTGAAGACTTATACTGAGTTTATAACTTAAATTAGATTTGTGTATCTAATATAAATTAAGCACCTATATTATGTATAATGCAAAGAAAACAACAATAATAGTGTTGATCGTTTTCAAGGCTGCGGGGGCTATACTGTATTTTTGGGCATCATTAAAGTGCAATTATAGGCTACTGTTGTTGGCTACAGTGACAATTGCATTTTAAATTAATAATTGTGCAAACACTACACTACCTAACCGATTAGTGTTTGATTTTTAGCCGGAGATGCTGGCGCTGAGAAGGTATTGTCATTATAAAAGTGGGTACTTAACCGATATCTTCGTGTGGCTGGTCTAAGTAGATAGGAAATGGTACCTAGACGGTTCTTTGTTGGGCCTGAAATTCTTTAGATAGACTACTTAATGTTGGAATTTAGAGCACTAGATTCTTATACTCGAAATCAAGTTATATGGATGGAGAGTTAAGAGGATACTTCATGCAGATACATAAATACATGTAATGTCCTGACATATAGTAATTAGATTATTTCAGATCTATAATCTCTTTGCGATATATGCTGATAGTATAGGCTTAATTATATGTTCCAGCCAAACGTTTTTTAGTAGTTTTATAATATTTGGCCTTAATCGATTTACTGGCAACGTTTATCCAATATTTAACATTTCTCATAAATCAATTTCCGTGGTTCACCACCAGTAAGTGCCTACCCAACAAATTCATTTGACCATCCTTAAATCCTTATAATATATCCTTATATCCTTTTATATCTTTATATATCCTTATATTTATATGCTTTCACTGTAACAAAACTAAGAGAAAAGTTAAGAGTATCCACACTTCATGCAGATACATTAATACAATGTTATGTCCTGCAAACTAGTATCTCTAATTAACTATCTCTATTCATTCACCTCCATACTCCTCCATGGAATAATTAACACTATGACTTGTTATATATTATTGTGATATTTAAACATTTTTACAAACAAACTGTTTTTATTCGATGCATTTCTTTTTATTATCCAAGCTCGGTGTTGTTTAAAAAACCCAATAATAACCATCAAAGAAAGTTAACATAAAGAACTCGGCGAAGTCACTGTTTTTTTTTTTTTTAAAGGGTATTGCAATTCATTTTATATGAATAATTGCGTGTAATGTGTAGGTGACAAAAAATACAAAAAAAGCTGTTAGTGAAGAAATGTATAATATGTCCTACTTTGAATTTTAAGAAAGAATATAAATTAATGATATGCAAACAGTAAAATCTAAATTGGTTCCAAATTTTTAACCGATGTCTTATAAAGTAGTTTTTGAATTCTTTTCATTATTCTTTAAATTGTATAAATAAAATAGACTAGTCATCTGACATCCGTCCATACCATAAACTTTAGCAACACAACTAATTATTTGTTTTTTTTATTAACTTTAACCAAAAAGGTATTACAGCTCGACAATTATAAGACACAATTTGTTATTTTATTTAACTCAAAAAGGTCCTAAATTTTATTTCTCTGTGCATTGGACAAAAATACAATATACATACAACTACACAATAAAAGACAAACGTTTTTAATTTATTATTTATTATGCAATGTTGTTCTTGCCTGTATATGAAATTCACTAAATAAATTTACTTGATTTAATTCGTTTTCTTTTTATCTCATCTCGTTGTTTATTATTTAAATTACCTTTTAACCATAACTATATAGATATATGAATACAATAAGGTTATCTGTGAACAATAATTATCTTGTTAAATTGATTTGTTTGAATTTAATTGTGTGCGTTAAGTAAGTTTTAAAAGAATATTTAATTATTCACACTCTATTAGGGCTGCGTTTATTTAACACTTATCAATACGATTATTTTGAAATAACAATAAATGAAAATATTATTATTATAATAATTCATTATTAACCAAAACGTTTACATGTTATACAAACAATTAAAATCTCGTGAAATAATTTAATATGAATGAGGAAACACAACTGGTGTTTTCTTCATTTATCACTTTGCGATAATACTGTTTAAAGGAGAAGACGCAACTTTGATTGCTTCTAACGTGGCTAAATTAATTATATAATGTGTATTATACATAGGGCAATTGAAATATTATGTTTCAATCATTTTGTCCGTTTAAAAATTGTTTTAGCCTAGTAAGATTCAATTGAAATCTTTGTTTTATTAAATGACTATGTCTAGTATTCAAGATGAAATTTTTTTTTTTTTTTAAGAACAATATCAAGGAGTGAAATAGCAACCCTATGTAGTGGATAATAATGTATTACCTTATGAAAAGTAGATTGATGTGATGTGAAATTAATGACACTTTAGGATAAATACTTCTAGAGTTATTAACATTTAAAGCACCTCTCACATGCACTTTGTTGATTTTAAATGCTAATAAAACTCAAAACTACTAATCGACCATTCGTTGTTTTCATTAAAACATTTTGCTCTTGATAGGTCTGTAAAACATGTATGGTGTGTGTCTATTTGTCTTTCAACAATTACTCTTTAAAACCAACTAACCTAACCTAACCTAACCTTATGATCTATGGAGCAGGATTATGGAGGTGAATTAATAGAGATAGTGGATAAGAGATAATAGATTGCAGGACATATCCGTGTATTGATGTATCTGCATGAAATGTAGATACTCTTAACTAAATTTTCAGAATGACTCTTCATAATCCCTTTTTTTTTTTTACTAAATATGTGATTTTTTTTTTAACCGTTAAATATTATAGTTATTTTATTAGAAGCGTTTTTCCAAGATACACAATTGTTTGGTTGAAAAAACACACTGTTACACGACACTTGGGTAACCCTGTATATTATTGAATTTTTGTTTTTCGATAAAGAACCAAAGTCGATGAGCTCTTGTTATCTCTGTTGGGCTTATTTCGCCATTTTACCGTTTCTCGTATTGCCTTACCGACGTGACCTACTTAATTAAATGATTATACTGTGTTGTGATACTTAATATTGTTACATTAAAATGTGTGTGTTTTTTTTTGTGTGTATTTGTTTTAGCATGGTAACCAAAACGGTTCCTCACATATTGAAAAGAGGCACCCGCAAAGAATTTCTGCCCACACACGGTTATAAACCACAACAAACGTCGTCGGACATTTCCTTGGGATCGGCTGTTCAATAAATAAATAAAAAACAAATTAGAGCAAAATATTATAATGATAGAGAAGAATGCGAGTAATTGAGAATTTTTTTCTTTCCCAGTAACAATAATTATTATTACATAATCGATATTTGTAATTAGGACAACAGCAACAAAAAAAAAACAAATTATATCTTCACCGAATTTATGATAATAAATTATAGAATGCGGGTTATATCGTGTGAAATCGACACAACAATTTTAATTTTTGTTTTGTCATCGAAACGAGATTAAAAAAAAATAATTATTAAATTATCAAACAATAATATAAAAATATTAATAAAAATTGTGTGTCAATTTTAAAGTAATATCTGAAGATTGAAAAAAGAAAAAAAAAGGTCCGTTTAAAGATGTTACTTTGATGAAGAAAATTTAACTTCAGACAATCCAAATTGTGCAAGTACATTGTTTCACCGTGTTTGTACAACAAGTATCAAACATTTTGGCCGAATGTGAAACGTAAGTGAAAATTGTTGTGTTGATTTTACATGACCCAATTATTATCTTGGTAATAACCCATTTATTTTATTAACAATAAACGTGAACGGTTGATTTATGAATGTTTTATCATCGTCCAACAAAACAAAACGCATCGTTATTATTACTATTGTTACATTTTATTATTATTTGTTTAATGTTGTCAAAAAAGTCAAAAAAGTTGGTATCGACCGTGAAAACTTAACACTGTACAACTTGGTGGACGGCGCGGAAATTCAACTACAGCTGTTATCAGGTATTGTTATTAGAAATGAATACTTAATTAGATATTTCATAGATTAGGCATTGTTGTGGGCTTTAAGAGACATCTAGGGGTGAAAAATTCATGGGTAAGTTAAAAAAAACACGGTGGAAATGATGGAGGAGTAGGATGTATTGGAAAGAAGTAAGTGTAGTGTGGTGAAATAAGGACAAGTCATTCAGAGTGAGTTGTTAAGAGCCATTGTGAGTCAGCACTGATATATTATGTCAGTGAGCACGTTGTGCGTTGAACAAGAGAAATGTAAATACAATTAATATTATGTCGAAGCTTAATTAAAACACAAAATAACGTCCAATTGATTTGACCAAAATTGACCAATTGATCAAAATATCGATGATAATATTAGTTACGAGGTAAGTATTGAGCACCTTTTAGCAGTTATAGCTTCAATATCAATCAAGAAACGATTGAACTGATGATCTTAATCCAAATGATATACTATCATTCGAACCTTTTTAATCAAACGATGACTGTAAGTAGAAAGTTTGGCACACTGCACATTTGATCTACTCTCAAAGGAAATGGTATATATTCTTGTATTGCAGCACTTCTTTAGAGGTGCTGGCAGTAAGCACATCCAATATTCCCTTTACCGCCGAGACAAGGATCTATAGTACTCTCGGTTGTTTATGAAGGTTTTTGTCTAGTGGTTTCCTAGCTCGAGGCATCGGATAGCTGTTACACAGTGGAACGTTATTCGCATTGAGATACGTTGAGGAATTTTGTTTTCTCACACACAATGTGTGTACAAATTTCGGAGTGGGTCGGTGCGCGTGGGTGGTTCTTTTTCTTGGATTTCGGTGCCGTCGATAGCGATCCGGAGAGAGGCGTTAACGGCTTGTCTTCTCGCCGAGGTCGGCAGTGTGATTATCGATCGATGTACTCAGATACAAAATTAATGTAAAATAATCCAAACGATAATATATCAATTTAAAACGTCCACCGACGCCGGGGTCAATCCGTCACACGCGCGGGGGTCGAGGCGAAATTCTCGATCCCGGTCCGATCGATCAAGGCCGGGTTAGTCATCGATCTACCGTCGATAGGTCCGTCGATCACGAGGTCGTGCTTTGGCTTTTGGTCTCGATCGGTAGCCAGGGGTTAAGGTGAGAGAGGCCGCCGTCCAAGCGCCAAAACCTATTTCCTCGTTGCGTACAAACCACCACTTGTAGCTTCAACCGATTTCTCGGCGTAGGTAGCAAGAATCTACAGATCAGAAATCGTACCTAAAAGGTACTTTGTTTGGCCAAAAAATGCACACCTTCCTCGTAGAAATCCAGAAAAACACCCAGCTTAGACGTAGCACAACCGATAAACGTTAACAAATCAAAAAAAAAAAAAAAATTGGGGGTAGGTAGTATTTATGTATTTCACTCTTATAGGTGCAGTTTTAGGGCTGGTAGAAGGTTAGATCGGATGGAGCTATAACATCTTTTGTCAAACTTTATTTTTTTTCTTTTAAAGAAAATGGACAGTTACATATTATTGGCCGTAGTCGGTTTTCAGTGTGTATTTCATCAACACAATGGAAAATAACAGTTGTTATCAGGTTATAATAAAGGTATTTTGAAAATCACTAATTTCAAGTTTTAAGGTGTTCAGTGGGCTCAAGCCCACATTGATCTCTGCCAATAGAAGCCACAACGGCTCTGGTTAGTGTTTGGTTTTTAGCTCCCATACGGTGCTGGGGAGGTGTTGTTTTTACAATAGTGAGTTTTGTTTTTCAAGCCACTCAACTGATCAACTGGGGCAAATCTATAGATCAGAAATCGTACCCGAGAATGACATTATTTAAAACTTCCCCCTTCCCCTTTAAAATCAAGTAAAACATCCTAAAACAGAAGAGCTGGACATACAATAACTTCTTTAAAAATATTCTACTTAGTCTGTCTTAGTTAGTTTGAAATATTCTCAATACATTGTACTGTAGATCAAAAGAATATCATGATTTTTTTTTTCTATAATGGCTGTACATTTTATTACATCCACTCCTTTAAAAGGGATGTGAATGATACGTTTTTCGTCGAACACCTACAAATGGAAAATATTTTTGATATAAAAAAAAAATAATAAAAACACAATATTGTAAAAACAATACCTTCTCAACTACTTGCAGGGGTGACTGCAAGGGGTGGAGCAATTAGGGTTGAAGTCCCTCCCTTATAAACTTGAACCGTATGCATTAAAAGTGTATTTAAAAAAAAAAATTGTACCGAGAAATCTTCAACTCTACCACTGTTTTTTATATGTATTTAAAGTGATTTTTCTTAACACCCCCCCCCTCCATTTTTCTTTGATTTCTAGATCTGTCCACACAAACAAAAAAATTTTTTTTTTATTTCTTTTTTTTTTGCCATTTTTCTCAAAGCCATTCGCGAGGCTATTTTATCGACCAAAATTACATAACCATACTCAATGTATACCTAAATGTATGACTGTAAATCGTGTAAACTATTTGAATTGGTATTCTATAGATATGAGAACGACCTTTGGGTTTATCGCAGAGTGTCTAATTAATTACCGGTAAAAACGCTAATAATAATTGTTATATATTATTCACTATCATTGATTTTTATCGTTCCAATATGATTCTGTGTGAATGTAAATAAGAGAAAAACATTTAACAACAAACGTCCACAGAATATCCACATGTATATATATATATATACACACATAATGTGCATATCACTTTTAGTTCATTGTTTATAGTAACCTACGCATATTTTCTATTAAAAAAAAAAAGGAAATAATTATTTTTTTCAATTGTGCACAATAATTTATCGTTTTTTTTATAATATCTTTGAACATAAAAAACAAAAAAGATTGAAAATTAGTTTCATGTATAAAATAATCTCAGCTTTTTTAAAAAAATAATGACTTATTTTTTCGAGTATAAGAAAGTCGTTAAAGTCGAGTTTGTAATCTAAAAAGTTGGTCATTTCGTGTTGTCTAAATTTTGAACATTTGTTTAATACTTTTTTCAGAAAGCTGAGAATATTTTACATAAAATGTGTAAAATTCAAACTAAATTTCCATAAAAAACGGTTAGAAAAATAAAAAAAGCGTTGAAAATTCATAAGGAAAAAGTCGAGAAAAGGGAAAATTATTTTCACACATAACTATATTTTGTTTAGTGTGGTCGTTTTTTACCGTTTCATATGTTGTTCAATTAATTTTTTTTATAGTATTATATTATATCCGGATACTTTTGTCCAGGATTATTCATTCAATTTAGAATTTATCTATTAGTCAGTCTATTTAGTATAAGAATGAATGTATTATATGTACATACAAATGCATTGTATTATTTGTACTCCTCGAGCCACACGTGCTAAATAATAATAATGACTTGGTAAGTGGTCGCACCTTCGATTTCGACACATTATCTAATATATTAATAAATTAGCTTTGCATTGTAGCTGAATAACACTCATGTACAATTAGATAACTTCAAGCTCGAAGAGTGAATCACAGTGAAGCAATTTTTTTTTTCTCGAATTGAAGTATTATTGGCATATTTTTTTTAATTTAAAAAAAAAAAACCAAAGCTTACACACAAATTGTGGAATGTTGAAAAAAAAACAGCAAAGTGAGATTGGCGAGGGAACTAAAAAGTTAAAACAAAAGAAACAGATTAATAAAGTAATCAGTAAAGTATTTAATAAAATAGAAAATAATAACTAAAAAAAAAATATATATATGAACATTTCATTAAGTTAATGAGAATTAAAAAAAAAGGTTACACACTTATAAGCTGTTTGTTTTTCTACATAGGAGTGAGATCGGTTAAACTTATTAAACTTAATTTTGAAAAATCACAAAAAGTATCAACAAATGTAACAATACTTATTCAAATGTATAGCAATCATTATTGTACTGGTCGTTGTGTTTTTTTGATTAATAAAAAAGTGGATGACTATAGACTTTTAGAAAATTTGTGAATGTTATAGATCACACTTTTACAATAGTTTAGGCTCGAAAATATACCTAATAAAAAAGCTGGATAAAAGTTTTTACTCCTTTGGGAAAAAGGGTTACAGTTATTTGTTAGCTATAAATAAAGCGTTAAGCATATAAGTTTTTGGAGATTAGACGATATTGTGCCTATATTGCTCGATTCAGAATAGATTACATAACTGCCTGTAAAAAATCATGTATTTTTTCATTTCTCCAAGTTTATATTTTGTTTTATGATAAAATAGAAACAAATGTACAATATACACAAAACGTCCAATAAATTGTTTGCAATTAAATTGGCTATGTTGAACAGTGTTCAATAAATCAATAACCACACACCACTGTAGTCTATAAGAGTATTAACATGGATGTGTTATTGGGCTAAAAATATTAAGAGATAAGACATTTGATGTAAGCGATAATAGATAAGTGATAAGAGAGAAGAGAGAAGTGATAAGAGATAACACATTCACAGTTCAATGTTTTTTAGTGGAGTGGAGAAAATAACTAAGCTTCCATTTTCAACTAAATATGTTTACCAAAAAGGGTCCTTACCAGTTTAATTTAATTCCAAAGAAAATTTTTTTATAAAAAACTTCCTAGTTTTTTATGAACAGCAAAATCAACAAGCCGTTTTCTAGCCAAGGGAATGTTTGAATAAAGTGCTTTCTTGCAGAAAACTTTGAATCTACCACTTACACTGAAAATCCGCGGTTAACATATTATTTTGACAAAATACAAACAGTTATAATGTGTGTTGTAATTTCTATTTTTATTGGTAACTAACCGGAGCCATTTTTACGGTTTCTTGAGTCTTAACGGTATTGTAAAATCT